CGAGTTTGCGCGAGACGCCGTATCCGCCCCAGCCGGATCCGAGGATGACGACGCGCTCTTTCTTCTGCTGGTGTGTGGTGGTGGGAGTGGCTGTTGTGTGGTTGACTTGGGTGGCGAGGAGTCGATGGGGTTGGAGGAGTCGTGTTGGCCGTGTGCGTCGCACTGTCTGTCGTAGGCCGGGCGACAGACCCCGAACGGGGTTTAAGGCTGGCATGGCGAGGGTAGAACACGTTTCGTCGAGGTAAGTCCGGCGATGGGATTGACCTTTTGTAGTTCAGTCTGTCATATCTGACATCGACCTGCGGGTCATCATGACATCACGCTCGGGAGAACAGCAGAACCAGAAAACAGCAGAACCATAAAAAAAAACCATCGAGAGAACCGTAAAAGCCATAGAAAGACAGGATATCGCTAATCCAGTCAATTCCCGGGTCAACGGAGGCAATATGTGGTCCACATGCCGATATCACCGTCCACGAGGCATCTCACTCCGAGACCCTCCGAGGGCACGAGTCGCGTCGGAAGGAGGCGGATAGATGATAGCCAGTATGATTATCTCAACATTCAGCTGTAATTCAGGCACATGTAAGCATCGGTCGGATTCACGAGAGATTACTTACGGGAATCCACGGGAGGAAAGATTCGAGAAGTCGGAGAGAGTTCGGGTTTGAGGTCGGATTGGAGTCGGATGGAGATGATCTGTCGATCTGTGGAGCATGTGAATTATTGATTATACTATTGATAGAAGATTTAATTAGTATAGTACGGAGTACTAGTGGTCAATATATTGATCGTTAATATAATAATGGTCATCGTGGACAGTATCGTTAGGGTACATGTTATGGTTAATGGTTAGATAGGCTATACATCCAAAAGCTTCACTTGATATCATACGAATAGTCCTTCGAAAAAGGCAACAAATCCCCTCGATACGACCCCTCCACACTCCTCCCCCCTCTGGATCTCACCCTCCGTTCAATCTCCATCGTTCTCCTCCCATACCCACCATCATCAGTATCTACATCCTCCTTCCCCCGCCGTGAAGAAGCCCAAAGTTTCAACCGTCTCCCCCCCTCCTGACAAACATCCCCAATATCATCAACAGCCAGCGCAATCAACACCAATGGAATCGAAATCGCAAAGCCCACCCCAAAAATATACCTCGCCACAAACCCCAGATGCAACCTCTCCTCCCCGTTCTCTGCCCGCGGGAACTCCACGATGTTTATCGTAAACAGCGTCGCTATAAAACTCAGCGGCAGAAACACGATCGTCACGATCGTGAACACCATGATGATCTTTCCCTGCCGCGTCGTTCCCGCAGCTTGATCCCGCGCAAACCGCGCTTCGAAAGCGTTCGCATGCTTCTGTTTCAAATCCAGCAAGTCCGTAATGGACATGTAGATGCGCTCGGCTTGCTTGTCCATGCGCTCTATGTCCTTGAGATGCATGTCGATCGTGCGCTGCTGCTCTTTGAAGCGCTTTTTGACCTCGTATTGGGAGCGCTGTTGGCCGGCGTAGGTTTCGCAGATTGCGTCTTGCAGGTCGGACAGCACGTGTTGTTGGTGTTCGAGGACGGTGCGGATCATGTTGAGCTCGTCGCGGATGTCTTTGGCTTCGGAGAGGAGGTCGGTTTCTTGGCCGATGTCGAGGAGGTTGTCGACGAAGAGGGGCTGTTCGCGCTCCAGCTCATCTGCATATAAATCCAGCGGACTGGGTCGGTCAGGCTGGTAGCTGTTGCTGGTGGTTGGCCGAGGGGGAGGAGGGGGAGGAGTCTGCCGCGCGAAACGGCTCAGCTTGCGGTGGTTCTTGAGCCAGTCTGACGCCTGGGCGGAGGCGCGATTGAACAGGTTGAAGAGCAGCGTCTCGCGATCCGTGGCAATACCAATGCACGACTCGAACATGTCCAGAAACTGATACTCCTCGTCGCCCATGCGGTGGCGGTCGAAGACGCCCGAGCAGCGGTTCGTGATCGTGATGGCAAGATCGTACACCGAACGCACTGGCTCGCGCGTCTTGGAGTTGATATCCTCGATGATGCCGTCCAGCACGTTCAGCGGATCATTCCGCGGCTGGTCCCACCGCTGCGCGAACCCGGTGACGATCAGGTTCGTGCCGACAATCCACATCCACAGCTGGTCGACCATGAAGATCTTGGGCTCGCCGGATAGTCGCTCCCGGCCTTGGCCTTTCGTCTGGTACCGGTAGACTACCTGGTCCTGGTCGCGCGTCTGCGTGTCGATGTTGGGGTAAAAGAACTGGTCGAGGGTGCGGCGGATGTGTAGAGATGTGCTGGATGATGCTAGATGCGCTCTGATGAGCAGCTCATCGCGCGTCCGCGTCTGCTCCCCTCCTCCTCCGCTCGGCCCCAGCATCTGCGCCTGCTGGATCGCATCCTGCATCTTCTGTCTCCCCTGCGCGGTCTCGAAATGCAGGTACGGCATGAACACGCAGACGTTGCTCGTCGCCGCGAGCGCCGTCTCTTTGCAGAGTGTTAGCGGCGCCGGCTTGGCCTTGTCTTTGCGGGCAGCTGTCGCAGACGGCGGCCACGTCCCTGGCTTTTTCTTCTGGCCTTTCGCTTTCTTGCCTCCTTCCTGGCAGTAAGACTCATTCTGATACTCCCCCTTCTTCCCCCCTCCAGACAACGGCTGCTGCTGCTGCTGCTGCTGCTGCTTCTTCCCCTTCGGCCCATCCCCCGAACACCTCCTAGTATCCCCCGCAGTACTCTCCCCCACCGACCCCTCCCCCCCAGAACTCCTCTCATCGTGAACCCTCGACCCCGAACCGGACCCCGACCCGGACCCCCACCCCCTAGGACTACTCTGACAAAGCGGCCTCATAAAAAGCGAATGCGCCCTCTGCCCACGATGCTGATAATGGAAGCTCCTCTCCAGCCCCTTAAAGCTCTCCACATCGTGCGCCCCCTCCTCTATAAACGCCTTCGTCAACAACGCCTCCACCCACCCCATATCATTCGCCGGCAGATGAATCCACCGAAAGTCCGTGGCGCCGCTCCGCTCCGGCACAGTGCTAAACGCCGCCTTCCGCGGATTCTCCGCATCCCGCCCATACAGCAGTTCATACACGGAGATCCGCCGCACGCGGTTCTCATTATGGAAGTTCCCGAAGTCCACGACCGTCGCATCGAAGGCCTCGCACGCGCGTCGTGCATCGGGAGTCAACATATTGATGTTGTTTACTGGAGCCAGCAAAGCCAGCACATCCCGCCTCTTGAACTGCGCCGCGCGCAAGAAAGGCGTACTCCCGAAGTTATCCCGCAGCCGCCTCTTCACCCCCGGCTGCGCAAGCAGCATCTCCACAACGCCCACATGGCCCCCCTGCGCAGCAAGATGCAGCGGCGTCACCCCGTTCAACAACTGACTGTTCACGTGCGCGCCCGCGCCCAACAGCAACCGCACCGTCGACTCCGACCCGTTATCGCAGGCATTATGCAGCGGCGTCCAGCCGCCATCGCTGCGCGCGCTGACATCCGCGCGGAACCCGAGCAGCAGCTCGACGACATCGTCCCGCCCGTCTTTGATCGCCAGGTGCAGCGGGGCTTTGTTCCGCGACTCGACGGCGTTGGGGTCCGCGCGCGCGGCCAGCAGCATCTCCGCTAGGCGCAGCTTGCCGGTCGCGCAGGCCCAGTGCAGCGGCGTGCGGCCGAGGGCGTCCACGCCTTCGATGCAGACCGTCTCGCGCAGGAGCAGCGCGATGACGTCCTCGCCCCAGTCGCACTGCTTGTCCGCGGCGAGGTTGTGCAGCACGTTCCGGCGCCGCAGGTCGCGCGCGTTGGGGTCCGCGCCGCGCGAGAGCAGACAGTGCACCATGTGCCAGTGGTTTCGCCAGGCGGCTGTCATGAGGGCCGTGCGGCCCTTTTTGTCGGGGGACTCGGGGGAGGCGCCGTAGTCGAGGAGGAGCTGCACGATGCGGACGTGATTGCGCTCGGCGGCGCGGAGGAGGGGCGAGGGGCGGGGGGGAGGACGTCTGTGGGGGCGCCTTGGGCGAGGAGGTACTGTGTTGCGGAGATGCATCCTCGTTCGCAGCTGCGCATGAGCCCGACGCGGAGGACGGAGTCGGTGAGTTGGTTGGTCTCGCGGCCGGCGGTGAGGATGTGGTGGAGGGCGGGGGTGTCGTTTTGTTCGACGGCGCGGAGGAGGCGCGGTTCGAGGCGGTCGTTGGTGTGGTTGGAGCTGGTTATGCTCGAGCGGGAGGGGGACATTTTTTTGGGTTGTGGGGGGCTCATTGTGGTTGTGCTAGTGTCGGGGTTAGGGGGCATGGTTGTTGGGTAGGTATGGTGGTTGGTGTGGTGATATTTGGGGTAGGGTGTGGTGGTGATAATTGTGATGAGCGTGGTAGTTATAATTGTGGTGATGATAGCAGGGGTGCTACGGATAGTAGGTGTGGGATGAAATACGAGGCTGACACCATTGCGACGATCAATGAAAAACTTGCTCTGTCCGGTTAGCTGCAGGTTGCTGATCGACTAACCTATTCGTCAAGTTAGTACAAGCCCCTCGTCTAGCCTGATCCTACAGACGTCTACGGGGAAGCCACCAGAGTCGACTAGTAGACTACGACGAACATACAATATACTAGATGAATTCTATTACCGACCAAAGGTCTGATTATGCAGTCCGTCCATGGTCCAGAACATCCAACCCGAACCATGCTCACCGGTCTAAACACGGGTACAGAATGACCCAACAGGAAAACGAGAAAGTCGACAGCGGAGATCGCATGTCCGATCGACCCTATCCACGGTCTGGTGACCATTGGACGGGGATAAGAATCGAACGATGAACACGAAACGGAAGATGGGGGAATCACCACACGGGCTCAGCAGGAGAATTAAAAATGCAATATGCGAAGGAAAATCATCGCCTCAAGATACAGAACAAGAAATGTTAAAGGAAAGAAGAGAAAAAGAAGGAAAGAAGAAAGGAAGGAAAGAAAGGAAAAAACGAAAGGAAGAGAAGGAAGAAATGGCAACGATGGGATTATCGTTTCTTCTGGTTCGGCACCTGCTTCAGAATGTCATCAAAGCTCATGGTCGGGTTGAAGCGGCTCATGGGACGCGCCGGGGGATCGATCGGCGCCACACCCGCCGGCAAAGGAAGCGCCTCCAGTCCCGGGTTGATGGACATCCGGTGGTCGGTCCGACTCCGCGCGGCCGGCGAGGTGGCGCGCGGGATGGCCGGCGGCGGCGTGAGGCCGACGTGCGTCGGCGCCAGCAGCGGCGTGGGCTGCTGCGACCCGGAGTAATACGGCTGCTGCAGGTGCGGTTCCGACGAGGAGCCGGCGGACGACTGCTGGGCCTGGTACGGCGAGGAGAGCGAGGATTCGTTGTCATAAGGGTCGTCGATGGTCGGCGGCGCCAGGATGGCATCCTTCTCGGCCCAGAGCTCGGCATCCCGCCAGCAGTGACTCCGGCGGTAGATGCCCTCCACGCCGTTGATGACCACGTCCGAGGGCAGGCTGACGACCCCGGCGCCGCCCGCGACGCCGAACCAGCTGCGGGCGGCCTTGCCGTCGTTGTGGATCCAGGGGCGCCGCCGCGCGGGGCGATGCAGCAGAAGTACTCGACGCCGTCGGTGTACTTGACGTCCTGCACGTCGACGACGAGCAGGGGCAGCGACTGGATGACGCAGTAGAGGAAGATCCACTGGCCGCAGCGCAGGTCGATCAGGTCGTTGAGGCTCTTGCCGTGGGCGGAGCGGCGCTCGAACTGCATAAAGGCCTCGATGAAGGGGGTGGGGCGCAGGCTCTCGCGGGTGTAGGAGCCCATGAGGACGGCGTTGATGTCGGAGTCCTTGAGCTTCTTGGTGCGCTTCTTGGCGTCCTTCTTGGGGTCGAGCGGCTTCCGGTAGAGCGGCTGCAGGGTGGGGTAGAGCGGGATGTCGAAGGGGATGGGGGGCAGGACCGGGGGCGTGCTGCGGTCGTACTCGCTCTCGACCTGGCGCAGGGCGCGGTTCATGACCTGCTCGGGGTCGGCGCCGTCGAGGGCCCCGTCGGAGCCGGCGCCGGCCATGTCGATGGTGCGGGTGGTCAGGTTGTTGCGGTCGACCATCATGTCGTAGAGGCCGGCAAAGTCGTCGTACAGCTCGGAGAGGACGCGACGGTTGAGGCCGCTCTCCTCGAACTGGTTCTTCTTGGAGCGGGCCTTGGGGGCCAGGAGCCGTAGCGCTGGCGGTAGTACTGCATGGTGAAGCGGCGGAACTCCATGAAGCCGGCCTTCCAGGTCTTGAAGCGGATGACCTTGCTCTCCATCGAGGTGGCCGAGTTGGCGATGCCGGAGAAGACCGAGGGGAAGTCAAAGTCGTCGAGCTTGCTGTAGAGGACGCGCAGGCGGGTGTCGAGGTCGATGAAGCCGCGCTCGAGGCGCTTCTGGGTGACGGGGCTGATGAGGCCGTACTTGGGGCTGCGCAGCTGCTTGAGCTCGTCGAGCTTGCCGACGCCGTGGACGAAGCCCTCGAGGTAGAGGGGGAAGAAGCGCAGGCGCTCTCCCAGGACGATGGCCTCGATGGTCTTCTCGCGGCTCTTGCGGACGTCGTCGAGGCGCAGCTCGTCGCAGTAGTTGCCGAAGCTGGTGGTGGCGGTCTCGCCGAAGTTGGTGCCGTCGAAGTTGGTGAACTCGAAGCGGGCGAGGAGGGTGGCGACGTCCATGAAGATGGAGAAGAGCGAGGGGGCGCGCGGGGTGGCGATGAGCGACTGCCCCATGAGGAAGGCGAAGAGGTTGCGGAAGAGGAGGAGGGTCTCGGTGTCGTCCTGGGCGAGGCGGGCGTGGGGGCTGGTCACGTCGCTGTTGAGGGGGATGGGGAGGTAGAGGTGCAGCTCGGGGTCATCGGGGCCGTCGTCGTCGTCGAAGGCCATGCGACGACTGCCCGAGCTGTCATTGTCGTCGTCGGCCAGGCGGTCCTGGGGACCCAGGGGCGGCGAGGCGTAGCCGGCCGCGGAGTTGCCGAACGAGAGGGTGCGGGTTTGTTGCTCGAGGGCCCGGGCATCGGTGCCGCGGGCGAGGAAGTTGAGGGAGGGCGATTCGGCGAAGACGGTCGAGTGGAGTTTGAAGGAGGGGGGGCGGCCGGCATTTTGGGGGAAGAGATAGACGTAGGTGTCCCCGGTTTCGTTCCACAGTTCGGGGACCTGCTCGCCCCGGGCCAAGGGTTCCAGGTTGTAGAGGATCTTCTGATCCAAGCCGGCGATCCAGGCCCCGGGCAGCTGGGGGCTCACGGGCAGCGAGCGGGTATCGACGGAACTGGCGCGCTGGCGGCCGGGGATCCAACTGCGTCGCTTGGAGGGGGTGCTCGGGCGGGAGTCCGGGGCGGTGCCGGGGACGAAGAGCCCCGCGGCGCTGGCGGGGCGGTTGCTGCTGCTCCTCCGGCGGCCGCGGCTCTGCGGACGATCGGGGGAGTTGGGGGCCGAGTCGGCGAGATCCTGGTTGACGTCGAGGAGGGAGGGGGGGAGCGGCAGGGGGCCATCGAGGGGCATGTCGTGGGGGCCGGGGGAGCGGATGGGCATGGGTTCGCCGACATCGTAGGAGGGGTTGTAGCTCGAGGCGAGGCGGGCGGGACGGGAGGAGCTGCGTCGTCGTCGTTGATCTTGGGCGAACTGATCGGGGGAGGGTTTGGTGGGCGGGACGGGGGAACGAGGGGAAGAGGGGGAGACGGAATCATCACGGTTGGGATTGGAACCCAAGGAGAAGAGGGAGGAGATCCGCTTGGCGGATTTGACGGGGGCGGACAGCATGGCTGGATTATTAGTGAAGAGAACTGGAGAAGAAAAAGGAGGAAAGGAGGAAAGAAAGGAAGAAAGAAAAAAAAAAAGGAAGGAGATGGAGGCCGGCAAAGGACAGCCGTGAAGATGGGATTAGGGGAAGGAAGGAAAAGAAAGAGACATGAGATGGAGAAAAGAGAGAGTAAGAGAGGAGAAGAGAGAGAGAAAGAGAGAGAGAGAGAGAGAGAGAGAAAAGAGAGAGAGTAAGGGTGAGGAAGAAAGAGAGAGAAGAAGGAGAAAGAGTGAGTAAGGAAGAATGTGAAGCAAAATCCACCAGTTCAGTCCGTCTTACCTGGAAAGAAATAAAAATAAATCACCAATCAGATCATATAATGCAAAGATATAAATAACCCGATCGGTCGACAATCAATAAAGATATAAATATGTTGAAAAGCAATAACAAAGACAAGCAAGAAGAAATCAGAACAAGAGAAAGATCAGTCACCTGTTCTCCTCAATCCCATGAACTGAAAAGAAAGAAAGAGAGAGAGATGATGACAGTGTTGGAATGTGGATGTCGGGGAATGGATCGGCAGGAGGGATCCGAAGAATGGATCTTTACCAGATAAATCCTGATATGGGTTATCAACAGTCAAGATGGGAGAGTTGAAGGAAAGAAAGGAAAGAAGAGGAAAGTAAAGTAAAAGAAAGGAAGAAAGAAGAAAGAAAGTAAGAAGAAAGTAAGTAAAGTGAGGACGGAGTAAGTGAATCCCCTGGTGGAGACTGAACTGGAACCTCAGGAGATGGAGTGGAGGTGGTGGATGCCACGAGATTCAGACCATGGATGATACGATCGATTAGGATGGAGATGGAGTATTGTTGAGTATTGACTTGAGGATATCATCAGGTAGTAATAGAATAGAAAGAATAGAAAGAAGAGAGAGAGAATAGAGAAAGAGAAGGTGTATAGACTATAGAAAGTGTCTGCTGTCCGATCTTGGCGGACTTATGCTCATAACTATCATGTATTCTTTTTATCCTTCGGTCTTTCTGTTTTCTCTGGTTTTATCGATGACTTTTCTCTCTCTATTGACTTTGTCCTGCCACTTCTTCCTTCTTTTGTCTGTCTTTTCCATGATTCTTACAGACAAGGTTGCATCCTTCTCCTCCTGACTGGTTCCTCCCACTCCCCCAGTGGGTCCCCTGACTCTCAACTCTCTTTTCTTTCCTGATTTTTAACAAGGCTGGACTGCCAGCTCAGGAGGCTGTACTCTATCTGATCATGGCTGTGTATTCTATTCCATTGACTGGCCCTTTCCATTATCCATGGTAATCTGTACGGATCCGTACAGAACACCGAGCTATCCTATATTACAACAGGGATCATACCCTGTACTCCCAGATTCGTGGGTCCCTCAGGAGATGCGTGTTCACCTCGGACATGCCGTGACAGTCTACCTGTTCGGAGGCCGGTTTCTTTCTTTTATTCAGTTTTCTCGTTTCCTTCCTGACCTTTTTCCAAGGATGACAAGAATCAATACAATAAATGATATAATGATATAAATCAAACAGTACCAACAAACCTCCCAACCCAAACGAAGGCGCGCATCTAAAAATAGTCCCTCCAGAATACTCCATCATCCTCCGTCTAATATCACATAATATCAATATTCTCAATATCATCAATATCATATAACACAGTACCACCGGATAATAGCATACAGGAAACATATCAGATCCAAGCCTTCCGCGCGTCGACCCTTCTGACGTGTCTGCTAGGTAGGTACGAGGTACCATGTAGGTACCGAGAATATCCCGGAGGCAAGGAAGGATGGTTGCCGAGTGTATGCGTTCGGTTCGACTTGTACCCGATTTACTTGATTATCATAGATATCTGTAGATGAATAGATAGATGGTTATGATAAAAGACTAATCCATCTCAAGACAATGGAATAAATATAATAGAGAAACAAAAAAATAGAAAAAGAAAAAAAGAACGTCCAGGGTGAGGCTCGAACTCACAACCTCTCGATAAACCGTTGTTTAACAGTCGAACGCGCTAACCAGTTGCGCCACCCAGACGAGCTGTTATTATGGCGTTTGATATTACCCTACATCTATCTCTTGAGGCATTCTTATTTCGCCACTGCCTAGTTGCCCCTCTATTTATACTGACAAACAGACTGAGACATTCGACAGATTTTTCCAAGACTAGTAGGAGAGGTTGTGTCATGTTGTATAATGGGGGTGGTATGTCTGGGTGGTATTCTGGATGGTATTTCAATGGTTGTGTATTCTATCTAGTTGTTTGTTCTATCAGTTGGTTATTTATAGATATCAGGTTTCATATCTTGTCCTATGTACGCATCAATATAGCATACAGATACAATTCCCCCCCATCATCTACAGATCAAGTAGGGCCTAGTGCTCACATAAACTAAAACTCCCCCTCTCATACTCCCGATTCTGCTCCTCCCCCTTCGCCCCCCTCTCCGCCATCAACTCCAACCGATACCCCCTCGCCTGCTCGGCCGTCATACACCCCCCCTCATCAACCAACCCCCCATCACCATCTCCCGCAACTCAACCGGCAAACTCGGCAACACGCCCCTCACCAAGCCCGCCCGCTCCCGCGCCCACTCCACCTGCTGCGGCGGCACATTCGCCGTCGAAATCACCCGCCGCAGCGGATCGACCAGGAACAGCGCGAGGATCTTGCGATGCCCGCGCCGCGACCGGTCCGCCAGCTCGAACGGCGCCACCCGGTGCTGCACCGTGTTCGGGAAGGTCAAGAGCCGGCCGGCTGGGCAGAGCACGCTGCCGAGGTCTTGAGTGAGGTTCTCTCCCCCGTAGCCGCCGGATACTTCGGGTCCGAAGCCGTAGACCGCTTGGATGAACTCGTGGTGGCTTTGTTCGTAGTGGACGCTGTCGAGTTGGGCGGCGCGTTGGCGGAAGGAGAGCCGGCTTGAGGTGATGTTGGTGCTGTCGTAGTAGTAGATGGCTGTTGCGCAGATGCGTTCGTTCTGGATTGTCAGTACTCATCTTTATCTTTATTTCTCTCTCTCTCTCTCTCTCTCTCTCTCTCTCCCTCTCCTTTTTTTTCCGGGGAAAAGAAGGACTCACCAACTGCCCCTCAATATGCCACGACCCCCCACCATACTCCGGCTTCTCCGGCCCAAGCTCAATATTCGCCAACTTGACAATAACCTGCAGACCCTCCTCACGGAACTTCTCCCGCAGAGAGATCCTCTCATACGGCTCAGGCGGACAGAATTCCCCCTCCGGCTCAGGCAGCTTGATAGGCCTCGAATGCGACCACTCGCACCAGCGATCACTGAACTCATAGCTGTCCTCCTCTTCCTCGTCCTTGGCCACGGGCTCCGGCGTGTCGCGCGCCACGTACTCCACCTCCCTGTAGGGGATCCTGTCGCGCCGATACCCGTGCACGGCGGTCAGACTCTGGTCCCAGAGGGGGATGGCGCGCGCGAGGACGCCCTCGATGGCGCTGTAGAGCGCGCGGTGCTTGAAGGGGGCGAGGTTGTTGATGTAGGAGGTTATGCGGCATTCGCTGTCGCTGTCGGGGGTGAAGCGGACTTCGCACGGCAGCCACTGGAACTTGGTGCTGAAGGCGTTGCCTATTTCTGATGCGAACGGCCAGAGGGCGGGGTCGAGAGTCGGCGTGGGGATGACTTCGCCTTTTCCGGCGCTGTCGAGGCAGTCGGTGAGTGACAGCGTGCGGTCTGGGAGGATGCGCGTGTGCCCGTAGACGAGGGGGTAGAGCGATGGGTGGACGAGGTCGACGACCTTGTTGTCTGAGCCTGGGTGGTAGTCTTTTTCGTCTTCCGGGACGTTCTCCAGTGGTGCGACTGCGTCGCGCAGTGCTTGCTGTAGGTCTTCTGGGACTGCGGTGTCGGAGCGGACGACGCCCATGTCGAAGACTTGGAGGAGTTTCTTCTCTTCGTAGACGCTGGCTTTCCATTGCATTTCTTGCACGATCCAGTCGAACATCTTGGGGGTGACGTCTAGGTCGGACGTGGCGATTTCGTCGCGCCATTTGGACGTGATTTTTTCGTCGAATACCTTTCTTTGTCAGAAGAACGAGTCTTCGAGGGTCTGGGCTGTAGGGAGGGGGTACCTTATGGTACCACATCGGCTTCTCCGAAATATGGTTCATAACATCCATCATGTTGAGTTCTCGCTGGACGTAGATCCGACTGCGAGTGTTAGTCTTCATTCTGACAAGACCGGTCTCATATACACTCACGAGGCGTCCGCATCATGGTCGCGTGAATCTAATGCATTGGGGAACATTTTCGGGGAGTCATAATGGGAGTCCTCCTAGATGTCAGCTTGGATGAACCGACGGAGGTGGAGGGAGGACACGATGCGACATACGGTTTCCCCGTGGTTTAGGGCATGGGTGTACCCTCGTAGGATGGGCGCGTCATTATTGGAACCCATGTCGCAGTCTGTTCTTCAACTGTTGGTAGTCGACAGATGGATTCGCGTTGATGAAAGTAGGGTTGTCGTTCACTTTATAAGTACCTTCCAGAAGACAGAACAGATCAGGCAACGGCTAAGGCACCCGCCGCTAACTTCTTCTTCTCTCGCGGCTCGTATAAGGATCACTAGGCAGTAGGCAGGAAGTCCAGGCAAGAGATCGAATCTAGTCAACAACCGCGGAGCAACAGGTTGTCTTGGTCTGATAGGTGTGTGTGTGTGTGGAAGAGAAGGTCGTGTGGGGTCCTCACCTCTGACAGAACCCATTCGGCTTGATATACGACATCTTGTTGACGGAGCTTGCCGACCCCACTTCCCCATAGGGTTAGATATACTCGTATTCTATACAAACCAAGCAGAGGTCGGCCTTTATGAACGAATTGATTTGTCCATTCTCCTGCTTGCTACGGTAGTAAGGAGCTCCAATACGAGGTGATTATCAGTCCTAGTCGTGTTTGTCTGTTGAACACATATAGAGTCTAATTCCAATTGAATACTATGATCTGTTTGAGCTTCGTACGTGGCCTATATTCAGTGCGACAGTCACTTGGTTCTTCTACACAAAGAAAGTGCCGCTCCGAATATAGCGTCTCTTACAGAGGCCTAGAGTGTCATGATATCCCTTGTAGCCGAGTGGTATCCAACTTTTGCAACAGGCACGATATGTAAGCCAAGTAAGTCCGTATGGACCCTGTCCACTGACGACCATGCAAGCTGTTGGAGACCCGAATATCAACGAGGTGTTCTATACAAAATTCAAGATTGAAATCTCCGTGGCCAAACCCTATACCCGACATCTAATGCCCGCTGTTGACTCATCTATACGTTTCCTTCTTTGTAATCTCTAAACTTGCTAAAACTTGCTGTTAACTTATTTACATGTCTTCTGCTTCACTAGGATGGCATGGCCACACCCGCAAAGTCCGCACCGAGCCGCACTAAATATGTCCTAGTGTCCTTTTGATGCAAAAGCCGAATTATCTCGGCCCGTTCATCTTTCCATTTGGTCTCGTCCAGCTTTGACGCCAATTGTCGCCCTGTGTTACCCTCGGAGTCCTGGATCGAAATATCAGCACCTTTTTCAAGAAGCATTTCTACGGCTGTCGTCGAGGCGCGAAAAACTGCTTGATGGAGCGCCGTTCGACGCTGTACGCCGGCAATCTCATTCAAGTTGATATCTGGATTCTGAAGAAGGAGGTCTAGAATGGTTTTCTGATCCGCGACCAAGGGTCCAGCCCATTGAGCCGCGGCCAGGAGGAGGGGCGTGGCACCAGCTTGGTTTTTAGCGTTGACTAATGCGCCCCGGAAAAGCAACAGGCCAACGGCCATGGGGCTCCTACGCCGTATGGCAAGGTGCAACGGACTGTCGTGCCCATGGGGTGTGTAGACATTGACATTGGTCTCTTTCCCTCCGCCTCCGACGAGAAGACATGCTAGCGCATCCAGTTGGTGCTTTCCAAGGGCATTGTTCCCTTGGATGTCGAAAACACTCAAGATCGGTCGTTTGCCAGTATGGTCAGGCTTGTTTGTGTCAGCTCCCCCGTCGATCAGATCTCGGACGAGACTCGTATGGCCGGCGAAAAAGGGTTGTTCGATTGCGATCTGCAAGGCAGTGCGTCCAGTCCTCCGCTCGGCGACGTTCAAGTTGACGTCGTGATTCATTAGCGCTTGGACGCACTTGTAGTGCTGATATGTACCACCCTGGATGGCTCGGAGTAGAGGCGTTGGTCGCGGTTTGAACTCGGTTCCTGGATTGCATCCGTCCTTCAGCAGGGTTCGCACAGCTTGCACGGCCCCTTCGGTACAAAAGCCCTCGAGAATATGTTGGTCTCGATCTATCCATTTCCACCACCGTTTGTTGCGGTTTATTGGGACAATTCTGGTGTCCTGCGACGAAGCGGCCTCCCAGGTCGTGTTCATATACACCTCCGGACTGAAGACAGATATCAGCGAATCTTTCTTCGTGGTCGTCTGTTTTGCACTTGTTAGGAGTGCCTGTTTGTGGAGAGACATGGAGCCTTTTTTGAAGCGGGCTATGGCCGACTGCTCCTTGGCTGATGATGCTTGATCTTCTGTTTCGGGTTTGGATGCTGTTGTGTCGCTCTGCAGTTTTTCTATTATCGCACTTTCATCAACCTGTTCTTTGGATAGATTTCTTTTTTCTGGTGGTGGTAATATGAGCAACTCTCCTCCTGGGGGTTTATTGGTCCGTTTCTTTTCAGGTCTAGGTCTTCTAAGGAGGCCCAACTCGAACTTTGGTGCTCTTTGCAATGCATTTCCCTGTACCCTTTCGATGCTTGCATCACTTTTCAGGTTCAAAGAAGACCCGTTACTATCGGTCGTCTGCACCTGTTCATTCAGAGCGTCATCGGTGCTTTCATATGCTAGCTGTTCTTCATATGGCTTGGTCTCCCTCGACCATGCCACCATCGCGTCGTATTCACACCGGGTAGTCACCAAAGCAGTTTCAGATTTGCCTTGAGTACCAGTGGAAGTCAACGGTGGGGGCTTAGTTATCTCTGTTGATTGTGCCGTCAAGAATCCGTCTTCGATTGGGGTTGTCATTTCCTGCTCAGGTGACGAAGACACCGTAGACTCTTCGTCTGGATCGAACATCGATGGAACAAACCCCCCCTGTTCTTGGTAGTAGGGGGTGCTGATCGATTCCTCTGTCAACGGAAGGGGCGGAGGCAAGTCCAGTGACTCAGCGTATCCCCAAATAGTGTTGGAAGACGGTAGAATGTCCGCTGGAAACTCCTGTTCTCGGGTGGTTGTGCCAGTCCGGCCATCATCCGCCCAAACATTGAACTCCGCTTCTGCAGGTGGCCATATATTCCGTGGTTGAGAACCATCGACGTTTGCCGCGCCAGACTCCGCTTCGCGTTTGTGCGCTTCATCTTGGAATGCGAGGCTCTCAGGGGATTCTGTGTTGTCTTCCAACGGAATAGTTGTCCTCTTTGACTCACCATCGGCCTGGCCGCTATGCGACTCGGTGGTGTCATCCAACGACTGGTAACTGCCGGTGATAGATAGCCCATCAAGCTGCACCATTCTTTCCTCGTCAGAGCTCTCTGCAGAGTAATATGTCGAATTGTCCTCCACTGTTTGGATAGGAACCTCTATATCCGAAGACTCTGCTGTGCCATTGACGCCCATAGAGGTCAAATTCATATCGTCGTCAGCAACAGTGTCCAGCCAGTACCTGATGGTCCGGTTTTTCTCCTGTTCGCGGGCTCTGTCGACTGGGGGATCCAATAACGCAGTGAGCTGGGCTTGCACGTCCGCCGAGTTCCCCGGCGCGGAAGCATTGTTGTCTTGGGGTTGCTGGGTATAGAGAAAGGAACGTTGCTCGTAATCCGGCCAGCAGTCAACGCAACAAAATGCGTTAAAAGAGGGCGATTCCATAATCTGCTTCATAAGATCTTCAGCTTTCGGGCGCTTATTTGGTCTGTCTTGCAGCAGATCTCGGACCCAGGATAGTGGTTCGGTGCTTTCATCTCGCTCTGCTGCGCAGCGGGTAAGCCCCTCAATCCATGTATCGATCACTGGAAGATTAGCCCACAGGTACGGCCCGGCTCCACGGGAATGTGAAATGTCACGTAGCAGAGATTTCAGTTTCCGAACGGTGCTGCCCAACAGCACGGTAGACATTTCTAGGAACACCACGCCCAATGACCACATATCGCTGGCGGTGCTGCGGCTCTGGTTCAGCGCAACCTCCGGCGCAATGTACTCGGCCGTAAATGGGACATTGCGATGGTTGGTGGTGCTTTGTCTCGAGCCCTTCCAACTATAAGCGGTTCCGAAATCAGCCACAAAGACTTGACCGTCCTTGACGAGGATGTTCCGCGACTTGAGATCCCGATGGCGGATCTTGTTCTCGTGCAAATACTGAATCGCTCCTGATAGACAGCCGAAGAATGGTCGCAAACATTCAGCACCCGTTCCAGCGCGGCCTAAGTTCTTCAACAATGTCTCCAGGTCATAGTCGGCCACGGGCTGCATCAAGAATGCAATGTACTTCTCGTCGGTGTATGACGAAACATACCGAACGAGGTGAATATGAGACAGGGCTTTGAGATACGATAACTCCCGGATTAGAAACGCTTGTCCTAGCTTGTTGGTCTGGGTATCTCTTCCGCGCAGGACGCGTTTTCGCGCATATGATTGGAGACTCAATCGGCTGGTGACGGCGTCGACTTCTCTGGTTCGAAAGACAAAGACAAAAGCGATCAATCAATGTCAGGCGCAAGTCGACACAAAAACCACAAAAGCGACACTTGGGGAACTCACCCATATCCCCCCCGGCCCAGCGATCCCTTGTAGTAAAAGTACCTCTGCGCATCCCCCGCAAAGCTCAGGTGCGGTTCACCACGGTTATCCAAACCCTTCGCCCCCGAGGAAAGCACGTATGGCTGAAACCGCAGGAATGATTCTCGGAGGCCATCCTCACGCAGGAAAACTGGCAAAGTGTCCTCGTTAAACGGAATATGGAAGTCCGTCAACTCGGCCTTCACGAAATAGTCCAGCAGATCCAACCGCTGGATGTTCCGTAGAACAAAATATATTCGCGGTCGCTCGCTCCATGCGAGTAGTCGCTCATCGCCGTTATTTTTGCCTTTCTTGAAGAGAATGTCGCTGATCTCGTTGCATCGTTTGACACTCACACTGCGAAATACAGCCGAGTTGGTCGCGGATGCTGGCCGACACAAGCGAGCCAACAACTCCTCTACATCAGACTCGTCTTTTAAACCGACAGCAGGCGGGGTCGGTGGTGGTGCTCGTCTCCCAAAGACCCCTTGGATTAGTCCCATGGGTCTTAGTGAAAAGGGCTGGGACATGGTGCATCGGGTCTCTACACCAGTTGTCCCGGCTATCGAGCGGACATGGAAATGTCAACAACGGCTCTTGGGTGTCTAGCCAAAAGGAAATACGAATCCCGACAGACAAGGCTATCGATTATCAAGCGGGGTATGAGGGTTTCAGCCCCGCGGTTCTTAGGACATGACGTGGCGCTTAGCGCTCAGTTGCTCAATCTCGCTTCCTCGAGGGCTCCCAGCCTGATTATCGTCGGTCCATTTCTTGTGTGACGCGATTATGGAGGTGCTTGGAACAGTTGTCGGCGTTGCACAGGTATTTGAAACATGCATCAGCACATATAAGCTTATCTGTCTTGCAAACAACGTCGGTAAAGATGGCGACCAGATCGTGTCGCGGCTGCAATGGGAATATTATCGCCTCATACAATGGGGCAAAAGATCCGGAATTGAATCCAATTCCCCTTCGAACCGAGTCAACTGGGAGGTTGCCAAGTCTCTGTTAGAAGAGCAACAGGAGTTGTTGACCTCAGCTGAAAAGCTCAAATCTAAGTATAACCTCGACATTGACGATGAGATCCTAACCGCCACAAAGTTGGAAGAAAAGGCTGCCGAGACTTCCTCTAGCTTGACCAGATTTCTGCGCCATCTCACAGCAGCAGAGTCAGGTAGCCTTCGAGCGAGGGCCATCCAAAGCCAGAACAGTCCTCTTCGACGTCTTCGTTGGGCCAGTACGGGGAAAGACAAGACAGACCGTGTGGTTACCGACATCGCAGAGTTGAACGACCGGCTGGATTACCTTTTGGATTCAGTTGATCGCGATAGACTCAATGCCGCGTCAGAGTCGTTGCTCAGAGATCTTATCACACACTGTAACAACCCGAACGAAGTGAACACCATCAATGCGCTCTTGAATCCGTCAATCTCAGACTCGAACCAGGCTCTCGCTGCAGCCGCATCTTTGCGACAAATCCGTTTGTTGCTAGCGCCGCCCAAGGGCTCAGAGCAAAGGTCCGAGCCGCGAGGTGCTCTGCAACTCCTGGAGCTTCGTCCCCGACGTCTGACTCCCGAGGACTCGACGCAGACCTTGAAATACGCGGGTATCGAGCCCGCAGTTTACAAAGGACAGAACGTCATTGTGGAGTGGAAAGTCGCCGAAAATCCAGGATGGGATCAGCTCGCCAAATATGTCCGCCGACTAGCGCTACTCTTGAGTAAAATGGATGATCCGTCATTTCATACTCTCCCATGGCAGGGGCTATTACCGTGGCGTGAAAGATCGCTGTTCGGCTTTGTGTATAGATATCCGGTTCCAACTGAGCAACTCAAGGGCTCCCATCGTTACGAACTCCTGTACTCCGTGATCCAAAGTTCTGCAATCGCCCCGTTAAGCCACCGCGTGAAAATCGGAAAAGATATGGCAGAGACGGTGCTCCAACTTCACACCGCGGGCTGGCTACACAAAGGAATTCGATCTGAAAATATAATCGCATTCTTCGCTCAGAACGAAGAAATCCTTCCAGAGAAAGCTCATCTCGTCGGATTCGAATATGCCAGACCCGACTCTACGGATGGTTTAGCCATAACCCAGCTCCCCGGTGGTTCTCTTGGAGCGGACCAATACCGACACCCAAGGGCGCGGGGAGCTCATCGGAAATCATATCGGAAGGCATTCGATCTTTACGCACTAGGCTGTGTTCTTCTTGAGCTTGCGCTGTGGAAGCCGCTGGCGGCGATACTTGCCGAGACCCATCCCGCAACTGATGAAGAGAGAAGACACTCGAATGGGAGCCCCATAAACGAAGCCCGAGTGCCATCACTGCTGTCATTTCAGACATGCACATCATTGCAGGTGCTTGTCACGCATTTTGCAGGTAGCATGTTTTGCGATGCTATTGCGCTTTGCTTTGAAGATCGGGCGTTTGATGATAATAGTCTGGATAGACAGAAGACGGTTCTCGAAAAGTTAGGGAAAATCAGTATATAATCTTAGAGACAAGCCGGTAAAAGCTTCAAACAGGAAAACTTTTTCTCGGTAAACCCTGTCGCCTGAGCCACCTAATCATCTGGTACAGAGGCAATACGCCCGCAAGCGCAATCTTCAGATGAAGAATCCGGGGAGGGTTATCCCCGGAAGCTCGAGTAGCTCCGTAGCACTGTCCAGCATCGTATGGACTCTCACTGCTCCTCACTCTGCTCTGGATCTTCTTACGCAAGGTGATCAGCTCCGGCTCCGCGGTATTCCAAGCTGCCGCTTTGCCCTAAGCATCTGTCGCAATATAAGATGTATTATTGGAAAGTACCCACCGAGCACAAAAGTATCTACATATATCTTGTAGCCGAGGGGTATCCTTCCCCAGCAGCATCTATACCCCATACCACGCAAACAGAACACTCTGAAATAGAACATCAAAACATCACACGAGCCTCCACAGCCCCAGTAACCTCCATAACATCATCAAACACATCAAGGATATGCTGAAAGAAAACCGCGTTCAACCGCGACCACCCACCCCCGATCATCCCAACCACATCTCCAGCCGGATTGAAGACGAGCGACCCCGCGTCTCCCGGTTGTGCAAAAATCCCAAGAAGTGGGTTGGCGACGGATCGCTCGCGAGTCGCAACCGTGAGCTCTTCTCCATTTGGCCCCCTTTCCTTGGTGAGGCGTATTGGCCGAGCTCCGCTATAGTCTCCCTCTGTCAATCGAGTTGAGCGGCCGCATTTGAGAAGGGTCTGAAACTCTTTCGGATTGCGAGAGGCTTCGAATCGTAGTGTCCTCAAAGGGAAGAATCGTCCGTAGGTATAGACCTATAGCTGTTAGTCTGTCTCTGACCAATGTCGGAGAGATGGCAATGCGTACGTTGTTTCTGCCCAGCCTCTTCGGGTCTACTTGTATCAGGGCCCAGTCGCTGATAGAGGGCATGACATCGTCCCCGCTGCGCCTGGTCCGGTGTAAACCACTTCCGAACGCAACATGACCGAGATGGTATTTCTCCGGGACTGCAAATTCTTGCAAGTGAGCCCTGGAGCGCCGAATGACATCCAGGTAACGCATGCACGTCTTGGATGATCTATGGTCTGTGTCGGTCACGTCCACTTCGTCTGATCCTTGGTCAGGCAGGTCAATGCCCCGCATCAGGTCCTTTAATTGGTCGTTTTCATAGGCAGTTATTTCCCTGGTGAGGCGATCAATGTTCACCTGTAGATCGTATACACTGGGCTGATCAACTTGCAAGATTTCTTTCACCGCGGTATCGGATTCCGTGACGGGAGAGGATTCCCATCTCGCGAGTGCTACTCATACGATATTAGCCAGTATAAGTGATTCGACGGCGGTTTGGCTCACCTTTCTGGGCCCCTTCCTCACAGAGTAGCCCCTCACGAAGCGCAGGAGGTGGATAAACGCAGTGAAAGCATGTTATCCCATATTGCTTCGATTGCTGGCCGGGAAATAGCAGCTCAATGTACCCCCCAAACGTCGACGAACCCGTTGAACTATTCCCCATCCCCATACTTACTCCAGGCAGGGCCTTTTCGCTGATTGCAGCGCCATCCAGTTTGGCTCGCGCGGAGTTATGATCCCGGTCAGCCGGCCCGGGATAATCAACGAGGTTTTGAAACTCGTCTTGCAGAAAGACAACAGCGGTGGTCGACTCCTCGAATGAAGCTAAAATAGCTTGTATCTTGCCCTGGGAAGATAAGAACCGCTTATCTGCAGAGTAGCACACTGTCACGATGACGGTGATGGGGTTTGTGGCGGGTTCTGCTCTGTGGATTCCGTAGCGATAGCACTGGAGGGATGTCCATTGGCTGGTATCCAGCTGCTGCAGGATGGCGGCTGATATGTCCTCCCACTTGGAGTAGATCGAATCAGTTGTCAACACTGGGAAGCACATGGCGACTTGCTCTTCAACACCATCCAGGATCTCCACATTGATCCCGGGGAAATGTCTGCACAGCAAATCGTACACGAGACGGGCAATTTCACGCCAGTCTTGACGAACGGGCTGGTCCTTTCTGCTTGCGTAAATCAGGACTGTTGGTACAGCGTGGTGCTCAGGGTCAACTACGGATTGTCTTCCGGTGATGTGAAAATAAATCTCACGCATGCCTTGTGCTTTCAGGAGGTCAGAGATCTGCATGCTCAACCTTGGGCTTTCTTCCATGAGTTGGGCGTAGTGTTTATACCAGTTGTGGTCGATTAGCGTGGTACGGGCCGGTAAAGAGCAGAGGTACGGCCCTCCGGCTCGCATTTCTGAGTTGTAGAAGTTGTCTACGGGGTCGACATTGCTGGTGATGTTGAGATATGACTTGTCCGAGGATGATGACGACCACGATAGTCGATGGGCTGAGAGTCTAATGCCCGTGGATTCGGGCGAATCTATTGAAGGCAAGGATGAGAATCGGGGCATTATGCCTGACAGGTGGTTAGTCTGGCTTCACTTATCATAGCTGTACTAACTGAGATCTCGACTGAATAGGGGTATCTATTTTGATGGTGTCCGAGGTTGATATTAGCCACTGCACCAAAAATCCGAACGACAGTTTGGGAGAGCTTGAACTGACTGATATCCCCGATAAATGATGTCGATGTTGAAAAACGTTGATTAGAGAATGCTGGACAAGTGGACACATCTTAGAAACAGGGAGCAGAGTGGGAAAAGGACGCTGCATTTATGTCTTTTCTAATAGTCTATGATGAGTCGCTTTCCCATGAGAGTGATTAAATCTCGTTCACTCTTTGCTCATCTGCTCATCATAATGACACTATTAGACGGAGTCTGACCGAGATGCCTTGGAAGATTGAGGTTCTGTCCTGTCACTAGGTTTGGAGTTGTTTCAGAGTGACGGTTTGTGGCTTGATAGAAAGCTTAAGCCATTCGCTAGCCATTCACCTGCATTGATGAGGTAGAGACAACATTTCGGAGTCTGGAGTTTCATTATCACAGCATATACATATGAGGTATTAATATACGTGATATCTGGGTACAACCTGTACCCTACATCATACACCAGGTGCAAGACAACCAAGTCTAAGGCTACCGCGTCTAAAAACGACATAAGTCAGCATGAAGCAGCCCACCACATTCCCAGGGGAAAGAAAAGTTTATCTCACCCTCAAGTTCGCCGGAACAGTACTCCGATACCGCCGTTCCAGACTCCTCGTGTCAGGATCATTCTCATCCTCATCGCTCTCCACCCTCACCTCCCTCGTCTGCCAAATACCCTCCCGACTCCCCAGACTATCTGTATCGTCTCCTCGCGGCTTGCGGCGGTCATCGAGAGGTAGGTCCGATGCGGAAGTGAGCGTCTTCGTATTGGAGCGGCGTGAGCTGGACGAGAGCGGGAAGGCGGATTTCGAGCGCGAGCTGCCGCTGTTTGCTGAAGTGGATTGGGCCAATTTGAAGATCCGGCGGAGGAGGGGATGGAAGGCGGGGACGCAGGCTGCCACGATGACGACATTTTGTTCAATGCTGTGACGGAACTGGATTAGAGAGGGAGATGCGTAGTACATAGATGAAGTGTACTCACAGGCCCCAGAGGACCAACGGGACTAGGTTATAGACTGTTTCGGACATATCACTCGTTAGAGGCTGTCGACTCGTGTATATAATATAAGGATGGAGGGGAAACCCACGAGGATCAACTTTATCCGTAAACAGATGCAAATACGTCGCCTTGACGACAGTCACCACGGCCGACATCAACGTCAACCCCATCATGACGCAGACAATCACCTTCTTCGAGTACGCCATCTGCAAATTCCAGAAAGCGCTGATGGGCACGACCGCCAGGATGATGTCCGTCACCGTCGTGTACGCACTCACCCAGTACTGGAAGTCGTCGAACACGGCGGGATTCCAGCAGCTGCCGTGGAGGGCGGGGTTCCAGAGCCTCTGGGTCGGATTGCACTGCACGAAGACGATGACGACAGAGATTAAGGCGAAGAGGACCTGCACGATGGATAGGCCGTAGAGGAAGCGCTTGCGGGCGATGTTGGGGTCCAGGAGGTTGCTGACGAGGATGGAGATGGCGATGTTGGGGAAGCTGAAGGAGCCGATGTTGAATGCTTTAATAATGTTAGTTTGTATACGACTCTGGTAAGAAATGATGCAGTCATACGAAATGCCAGAATCTGCCATTTGGCGGTTACCACGGTTCGTGCCATTCCATGTTCTGCGACGACTGCAGCCGTGTGTCGACCGAAGCCAAGGGTGACCGAGTAGGAGACCATGGCTGTGGCGACGATGCTGAGGATCTGGATACGTTGGTCTCTCTTTCTATGTCTCTCTCTCTCTCTCTCTCTCTCTCTTTGTGTGAGTGCGACATACCAGCGAAAAGACAATAAAAAAGTCATCCCATCCCACCCTCTTCACAATCTTCACGCGAGCATAGAGCCTGAGAAAAACCGCAACAATAGCCACTCCGGTAAACACCCACCCAACGATATTGACCTCCGGACCACGAGTCTCACTGAAATCCACATTGGTGTTGAGGGCTGCCATCGTGGGCAGTGGGCAGTGGGCAGTGACAGCGGGCCAGCCAGCCCTAATCCGAAACACAGGAAGATATCGGGCTGAAGATGGAAGAAAAGATCTCCACCATCCAGGAGATTCTTAAGAGAACAAGTATACTTATACAATCATCTTCCCCGGGAAATTTCCATCGAAGGATCGAAGATGCAGGGTTTAATTCCAACATCTGGTGTACACCCGATCGGCTCCGTCGTCTCTGCCGGTCTCCTGCGTTGGTTGATTCCTTCGTGGTGCATTGGATTTGACCAAGGCAGGTACTAGACCGAGGGAACTAAACCAACAGGGAATCTCAATCAGAGGTAGTAATGGGAACAATCTGGAACAAAGTAATTATATCATAGCAATGATCTAATCGTAATATTAAATGGCGAATCACGCTCTAAGCACTAACCCACTAGTCTCAGCTTGAGAAGACAGGAACAAGTCGCTTCGGATCCTGATGGACATTATCTGCAACACCCATGTCAAACCATGGAGTACAGGATGGTAACTAGGTCAGTAGGCCCAATCTACTATGCATCTAGTCTGGAACCGGCCGATTTGGGGAACGGCGGAATGCTACCTGGTCCAAACTTTGAGACCCACCGTGGCCCGTCCCAATCCACTGTTGTGAACTCAATTTTGCTTGGGACGTTTTCGCTATAGGGGTGTCCATCTGTCACTATAGTGAAATCGAGTCAGACTGACACGGGGGTGGAAGTTAATAAAAGCTTCAACTGTATTGTATAAACCTAATCAGTATCTAGCCAAACAGTCGTACATATTATGAAAAAGAAAGATCAAGCCAACTCCGCCTCAATCAAACTCTCCGCAACCCCCGGATAAGAATAAATCTGAACAACCCTCAACCCAGCCTTCCCCAAAATCCCCCTCCACTCTGCCTCGGTCCGCTCGCGGACCGCGAAATGCGCTAACATCATCATGTCCATACTCGTCGCCGCCAGCGTGGGCTTCTCCTCGCTTAGCACGATCTCATTGAGCAACACCCGCGAGTAGCCCCGCTCCAGCGCAGGGACCAGATTTTCCAGGATGCGGACGCCCTCGTCGTCGCCCCAGTCGTGGAGAATAGAGTGGAGGAAGTAGGCGCGCGCACCGCGCACTGGCTGCGGCGTGAAGAAGTCGTGCGCCTGCGCTTCGAAGGGTAGCGATTTTCCTTCGCCGCAGCTGGCGAGCACGCCCGCGATGACGGGCTCGCGGTCTTGGAGGATGATGCGGCCCGGGTGCGAGGGGTGGTGCGCTGCGAAGGTGGCGACGTCGTGGCCGCGGCCGCCGCCGACATCGACGAGGAGGACGTCGTTAGTGGTGGGGGGGTCGTGGTAGCCGGTGATGAGGCGCTCCGCGACGGGGTAAAACCCGGGTTCATGCCATTCAGCTTTTCCGGCGCGGTAGGCGGTCATGAAGGAGTCGAAATGCTGGAGGTGCGGGGGGGTCGAGACCAGCCATTCGAAGAAGGCGAGGTCGGTGCCGTGTGTGTCTTGGAAGGGCCCGTCGAGCGCGCCTAGCGACGGCGGTCGGTATCCGGTTTTCTGGAAGTATTCGGGGAACTTGTTGAAGATGGGTCGGGAAACGTCGTAGCAGAACGAGACGCTGTGTTGGTATCGCTCTTCGGCGAGGCCGTTGCTTAGTTTGGTTCCGTGGAATGCGCCGTCGTGGAAGGTGACGAGATGCATCGTGACGAGGTGTCGCATGAGGCGTTGGAGGAGGAGCTCGTGCACTCCGGTCTTGTTGGCTAGGGTTGATGCGTCGAGTCCGTTGTCTCCGGCGTCCTTCAGGTGCTGGAAGAGCTGGGCGTTGACGGCGATACGGACGATGGCTGACATGGCCGGCTAGCATCATTGTCAGCAGGTGTTCGCCCCAAGGACTGACATCGCTATATGCGATCGTTGGATTTACCTCCGCCCAGAAGCTCCGCTGAACGAACTCGCTGGGGATCTCCAGCTCGCCGACCAGGGCGCGTCCCAGTTCGATCAATGCTTCTCTCGAACCCGACCCATTCTTCTCGTAGGCCTTTCCAGCCAATGCTATGGATTGGAGGATATCAGATACTGGGGATGCCATGGTTATGGTTTCTGTCTTCTTTTCTCCGTCCTTCTCGTTTTCCTGGGTTTGAGACATCTTGCAATGAGGGGCTCAATCCGTTTTTAAACCGGCCACATGTAACCGTTATCGATAGACTTCATCCCTCCCTGACTGGCAGCTAGGGCCGTTGATCACACCGTCTCCTTTTCATAGTCTGATCCTGCTATCCTTGCTGTTGGTCATTTCGTAAACGGAACGAGGGACAATTGGTCAGTCTAGGAGTTAGAGGCCTTAGTCTGATAACGCCTGGCCCACTACGTCAGCATTAGTGGAAATTGGAAATATCCTACCCCAAATGACAATGACTCGCGACTTGGGGTCCGTACCGTTGGACGTATCGACTATATCGATTCATTTCTTGATTGAGCTTCGTCAAGGCTGACTCGTGATTCTGCGACATGGGTTCGGCTTTGCAGTCTAAATCAATGAAAACAGTGTGGGTGCAATAACTGTCTCAACCCCCAATTATCACGCTTGGTCGAATTCCATAATACTCACGACCGCGACATCCCCATCCTCCCCAGCCAAGCCCTCAGATCAAAAACCCCATCTCTCAAATCCTTCCTGTTACCAGCAAACACAAACGTGTACCCAGAATCCTGGGCCGGCTCTTTCCCATCTCGATAACAGATACAGCAAGGATCAGCACGGTAGTTGATTGTTTCGTACGACGCCAACCGTTCCGCATGCTCCTCCTTCATGACCTGATAGACGGCACCTTCCACCGTGGAGCCGGGCACGTCTACAAGAGCGGGGTATGGGCCCCATAGTTTGCACTCATGGCCCTCAATGGAGGCTGGTCGGAACTCGGGTTCGTGGTCTAGTTCCAGCAGCTCGCGAACCAGGCAAGGATCGGTCAGCGTGCCGTAGAAAAAGTACGGTCCGGTCGGTGCTGGGCCTGTCGGACGGGGTATATGGTTCAAGAAAGTGTGGGGGACTTGTCGGAGTTTCAGGACGTATGGGGAAATCTTTGAGCGAGGGTCTTGTGGTGGTGGGGGTGGGGGCGGAGGAGGATGGTCTCTAGATTCCATGTCTCCTGGTGAGACTGCAGATGGGGTCGAGTCTGGCACTCGGTCTGTTCGCATGGCACTTTCCAAATGAATGTGATCCACGGGTGGTAGGCTTCCACTGAGTCGCTATAATAGCAAGGAATGTCGCCAGCTATGTTTATGGTGAACTAGGCCCACTTCGCGTGCCCACCCGATGGTCCACCACAAGCTTTGACTGATATAGAGTTATTGAGCCGAGCCTGTGGGACTGCCAAAAGTACCTTCTCTATAAGACGAGGTTCTTGTCGACTATACCCAGTGTCATATGCTGTACGGCTCGGATATGGATGGTGTTTGTGTGGGTCTCATGGCGCAATTCCACGGTCGGAGTCAGTCTGACAGGCAGCAACACGACAAACAAACATTGTGGCTGAAGTCAGCCTCGGATAGTGTAACAATGGTCTACGGATTATATCTGCTTCGACTTATGCTTCATATTTAAATGCTGGTGTTGGACTCTTCAAGAATAACGGCATAAAAAATATAAAAACTAAAAAAGAACGTCCAGGGTGAGGCTCGAACTCACAACCTCTCGATGAACCGTTGAATTAACAGTCGAACGCGCTAACCAGTTGCGCCACCCAGACGACTTGTTGTGTTGGGGCTTCTTCCTGCGCTATAAGATGGACAACTACTATTCACACCAGCCTAGTTTGAGAAGGTTGTGGCGCTTGGACGCCATGATGCTCTAGCTCAATACCATTAGGGGAACATTACACCATTACAGCGTCTGCAGTTGCTTATCTCCTATTTCAGTCGATCCCTCTGCTGGCTGCTCCTAGCTTCTCCTAATCTACTTTTTGCTCTCATCTTCTGATTCACTTTTTGCCGACGTTAAGAATGTTCAGTCGGGCTTGCAGTGGATGTATATATATCCCGCTCACTATACTATGGTCGCCCACACTGGGTGTACAGAAACAAACATCCTATACGCCGATAACCCATCCATTAACATACACAAGCAGGAATGATCAAAGCCTCTATCCAGGCGTGCTACATGGCTAGAACCGACCACTCCCTAGAGATGACTGCCTGACACAAGAAAGAAATCGAGCGGGCGCATACGCCGAATGAAACCCAACACAAGCCAACCTGGCAGCTGCCATTGATTAAAGGGTCTCGGAGATTATACCCGACGAAGTAGACATCAACACCAGCTATCGTGAGTCTACGCGACCACAGGAAATCAATTATACAGCAGTTCGTCGACTGCATCGAAGAGAGAAGCCCAGCGGCTTGAGGAGTTGAGCAACCAAGACGCGAGCGACAGCCTTTCGCAGATCATCCCGTCACCAGAGCGACAGCATTACTTGAACCCGGCACGCACGTTTCGCCCCAGGCATAGAACATTTGGATACTCAATGCTCTCCAATTTTTCGTGTTCTATCTATCGCCTAGGCATGGAGACAAGACAGGCTCCAGCAGCCCACACACCGACTTGTTCAGCGATTCGGCTTGGGTTCAAGAAAGAAAGTTACTTACTCCCGAGACATCCACTGGTTGATATCACATACCATTCGACAAAAAGGGGACTCGCCGATCAAAAGACATGCGAGAGCATATCTCGGGAGAGAAAAAAGAAAAAATGAACGTCCAGGGTGAGGCTCGAACTCACAACCTCTCGATACACTGCTGATTTAACAGTCGAACGCGCTAACCAGTTGCGCCACCCAGACGAACTGTGCTTGTTTCTAACCGAGCAGGATAGAGATCTCGAACAGGGTTGAAGGGTTGAAGCTGTTGTCTACTTACTACCTTTACAAGAGACTCCGTACACTAACATGGCAAAGAGGATGTGTCCTTGGTAGGGGTGTGCCCCTTGGGCCTTGGGACGAACCACAATTTTAGGTGCAATTGTCTTCAGGAGGACAAAGCTAGTACGGTTGTTAATCCCACCAATGTCTTCTAGACCGCGTCCAAATAATGCAGGGATACCCTCGGAGGAATGCTATTGTTGAAGAATATCAAAATCACTAAGACCCGGTCAGTGCGATTTCCTATGAGTACAGGCCTGGGATACTACACCCAATTGTTCGGGAATGACAAAACTTACCATCATACGTGAGCCAACCAGCCAAGTTAGGAAGCATATGTACTACAATTCTGCGTCTATTCTAGTCAGCCCCGGCCATTCCGAGATGCTTTTTCAATAGACTATATATCAAGTGATTAATCTCTACTATGTCACCGCCCATTCAAAGCTTCACCCAGTGACAGTCATCCCAGGACCATTGGCTTCCCGTGCTTCATATAGTCACTACAATTAGCCTGCACCTGGACAGCCTTGCAGCTCCGGCTGTTGTTTCCTTTCACTGACTCATACAAATCAAATCTTCAAGTGCCAGTACCCCATCTACACCATTGCACATAGAATGAGGAAATCCAGGGGGTACACTGATACCTCAGGCGTCTCCTTGACCTATCAGATAAAACGAGAGCCGCATAGCTCTCCTCCAAAGATAGACTGGAGAAGCTGGCAATTATCAATCCCGTACCTTGGACTGGCTGAATATGATCGGCTACCCACACCAATAGTTATCATGATCTAGACGTGACTTCTGCAATTGGACATCATATATACGATACAGAGACTTACCTCGGACCATGAATGACTGCGTTGAATCTAGCTGGTACTTATAAAGGACGTATAGCAGCAAAACAGAAATTGGACGTCTTCCAAATGTAGAAGGCAGTCACAGACACCTGTTTATGGCTCAAAAAGTATAGAAGTTCGTACCCAGACGAGGAAATTGATGTCTATATTCAATGAACGATGCAACATGAGCAAATCCAGCATCCACCTGCGCTACAACCTGTCATAACGAGACCACAAAAGTGGACACCGCAACGGGACAGTAGCGGATAGGTGAAAAAAAAAAATCAAAAAGCAAAAAGAATCGTCCAGGGTGAGGCTCGAACTCACAACCTCTCGATAAACCGTTGTTTAACAGTCGAACGCGCTAACCAGTTGCGCCACCCAGACGAACTGTTGAAATACTTGCATTTCAATTTGCTTTATCAAGCAAAAGACTTGCTTGTGCGCCCTTCCGCATACAGAATGAATATCGGCCTAGCCCTCCGGTAACCTCCGTCCATCTCCAAACCCACTCGACCACCAGAATAATTACAATAATCAAGCAAGAGAAAACCATGGGCTCCGACGACCAGAGTCAAGAGCCAATTAACCTATCCCGGGGCCATCCTAACCCGGGGCTATTACCCACCGCCGCCCTCACCGACGCCGCCACCAAAGCACTCACAGACCCCTCCATCAGCACGCCCGCCTTGCTATATGGCCCCGACGAGGGGTACCACCCGCTGCGCGAGCATATCGCTCAGTGGATGACAGAGTATTACCAGCCCCGCGAGCCCGTCTCTGTAGATCGGATCACCATCAGCGGCGGCGCCAGCCAAAACCTCGGCTGCATCCTGCAGGTGTTCACCGACCCCGTCTACACGCGCAATGTGTGGATGGTGGCGCCCACCTACTTCCTCGCCTGTAGCATGTTTGAAGATGCGGGCTTCGCCGGCCGTCTAAGAGCCGTCCCGCAGGACGATATCCACGGCGTGGACATTGACTTCCTGCGTCAGGAACTGACCGTCGCGGAGAAGAAGGCCGCCGCAGATGGCAATTGCACTCCGGTATACCACCACCACTACCACCCAGAGCAATCAATTCCTACATTCCTTAGATCGTAAAATGAATACTGTTTTCCCTTACTAACCTTACCATGTCATTTCTCCCCCGGAAAAGACGTACAAGCCCGCCCGTCCCTGGGCCCACATCTACAAACACGTCATCTACCTCGTCCCGACCTTCTCCAACCCCACGGGCCGGACGATGCCGCTCTCCGAACGCGAGAACCTCGTTCGTCTAGCCCGCGACTTTGACGCCCTGATCGTCTGCGACGACGTCTACGATTTCCTCCAGTGGAGCGCCGACCCCCGCGCGCCGCTCCACCCCAGCGACACCGCGCCCCAGCCGCGGCTCGTCGACGTCGACCGGTTCCTGGACGGAGGGCCATCCACGCCCTTCGGCAATGTAGTCAGCAACGGCAGTTTCAGCAAGGTGATTGGACCGGGCCTCCGCACAGGCTGGGCGGAGGGAACGCCACAGCTGGCGTATGGTTTATCTCAAACGTATGATTCTTCCCCCAACGCCATCAAACTACCGACGAGTAAGCTAACGCTCAAAAGCGGAACGAGCCGCTCAGGTGGCGCCCCGTCGCAAGCAACAGCAGCCATCATCGCCCAGCTGTTCCCGCAGCGGACGATCCACTCGTTCGTGGCGGAGGTCCTGCGGCCCGCTTACGCGAGAAGGTACCGGCTGGTAGTGGACGCCTTGCGTGAGCATCTCCTCCCGCTTGGGGCTACGCTGCCGGGGCTGGATTCCGACGCGGGTGGCCCCGTTGGGGGGTACTATGTGTGGGTGCGGCTGCCGGAGCCGCTGCGCGCGAGTGAGCTTCCGCTGGGGCGGTTTGGGGTGGCTGTTGGGGTGGGCGCATCATTTGCGGTGCGTGGGGATCCGGCGGTCGAGAATAGTGGGTTTGATCGGGGGGTGAGGGTTTGTTTTGCTTGGGAGGAGGAGGGGAAGTTGGTGGAGGGGGTGAAGAGGTTGGCTGGGGCTGTGAGGTGTGCGTTGGGGTGAATTGTATATGAAGGTAGTTGATATATTTACTTGGTATATACTGATTGGTATATATACGGATGAGTATCTGGTAGAGAAAGGGTAGTTATTCAGTAGGGAAAGGATAGTAATAGATAATCTTATCATATTGGAGAGAAGTATATTTTATTTTCTGTTTGCATTATATTGCTCTATATTGTACTTTATTCTCCAGCGGAGTTGAATATATATTAAGAGACCCACAATAGTGGCAGCAGGAACAATTGATCTGAGCGTTCTTCGTCACTATTGTTCTTTCTTTATTCTTCCACATCTACTCCATACTCCGTTGAATAATGGAAAGCAATACATGAAAATCGTACAGACTACTAAACCAGGCTATATGCAGGCCATATTGACTCTAATTGTCGTACAGCGTATACACGCACATGGGAATCACCCCAATACCCCACCAAATTATATCCAAAATACACTCTCAATCATTCATCCACATTAAACCTCCAGAGTAAACCTAATACTCGCTCTCCTGAGAACCATCCTCAGGAGATCGATCACACGCTACCCACTCGTGGATAACCCAATGCATACCCATGCAGGGTCATCAAGAGGGTCTTCATCACGCCCAACTCTAACTGACCCCACCAAGGCACAATAGCATTCACAGCCCAGGCTGCCTCCAGCGAGTTATTGACCTGGCCAAGTTCTCAATCTTCGTGCGACCTTCCATTCTCGCCCCCCTACCTATCCAGGTAGGTACTCGTTATTCTGGTTTTCAGCTATTCAGCGATTCGGCTTCCCATCTAGACCAATCGCCAAGACAGGTCGTGGAATAGATACCCCGAGAGGAGGAGTAATGCAGGGATATCGCCGGAATGCAGGGAAGTGGGCGTCGTTAGTCACACCGGCTGACTGCCGTGGCTGCGAACCAGGGGATTGGATTCTAGGCCTGACTGGGTTCGTCAGGTGGGAGGATCATCTGCTTGTTGGTCCCGAGGGGAGATTGGGAACTTGAAAAGAATCAATATTAGGAGTGATCGAGAGGATGGACTGAGTGGGAGGATGAGATGAGAGCGTTGTAGGAGGGAATCCTGAAAGCTTGGCTGGCGGGTATGGGTTGTATGGTATGGGTTGTATGGTATGGTATTATGGTATATCGGTATTAGTACCTAAGGTAGTAGTGCTAGTACGGAGTAGTAGTAGTTAAATTTAGTACCTCGTACGGAGTACCACGACAGGACTAGTATGAGGTGAGGACTACCCCAATCCCAACTGTTACAGCACTCACTGGCAAGTAGCTACAGACTAAAACAATAGACTTTGATGATACGTCCCAGATGATTATGATATCCCGGTGATCAAACAACCACCCGGCTCGGTACCGTCTTCTTCACGACCCCTGGATTCAGCAGTGGGTCCTGAATTGTCCTAGTCCTGGGTTCCTGGACCATGCCGAGCACCCACCGAGGGGAGAGGCAACAACAATAGGCAGGAGATGAGGATGGAAAGTGGGACTCCCCTCGTCGATGAGATGGATGATTGACATTACTGCCCAGACTGGGTCCCGTCCGGAATGTCCACCATCAATAAACAGAGCACGCGTCGAGCGCTATTGTTGTAGGAGAGTTGCCCCCATCCAGGGCTATGCCATCCATTCCTTGGAAGAAGATCTCGGCCGGGAATGGGACACGCCAGCCAGAGGGAGTGTTTGTTTGTTCCGAAGCTGAGGTGTCCCCGACGCGATACGGAGAGATTGAAATCGAGGAATCCGGGGGTTGTACCGGGGGTTGTATAAAGAAGGACTCGGTCCAATTCCGTTCCTGGTTCTTTTATTGATCTCTCTCTTTCTCTCTCTCTCTCGCTTTCTCTCCCCCTCGGTAATTTCCTCTCGACTCGGCTTGGGTATCTAATTGGAGAGTTTCGGTTTCCTTTGGCGCCTAATCTCCGCAACTCAGAGGTCCATTTTGTTCAGGTGTTTCGGTAAGTGCAGCAGTGGGGAGTGAGCAGTGGTCCAAGCAGAGAGGATTGACAAGAGGTAGTTGTTTCATCTCGTCGGCCATCCGTTTCACGCCGTCGACGGTGCCTGGCGATCGAGGCTGCTGATTGGCAGTGGGCGTAATAGACCCGGCCTGAATAGGGAATTTCACAACAAAACCGTACCATACGATACAATACGGGACTATACAGTTCTGCACTGAGTGACATCGGAGTAATTTGTTTCATCCACCTTAATATTCCTCTGATTCTTATATCTTTGTCGCTCCTCTTTCTTCATTGTCTGGTCCTTGTGTTTCTGTGCTCTCTTTTCTTTCTTTCTCTTTTGTCGTTTGCTGTTTGTCTTTAGTGTGGTTCATTCTTTCTTGGGTTGCTTCATCCTTGATTTCTTCCATTCTTCGCCCCTCGTCCTGTCTCGACTCTCTTTATATTCATCGTGACCTCTCAGGTCGGGTGACGAGATCAGCCGACGGGTTTTTGCTTCAGTACTGGTTGCTGAACATATTGGACTGCTCGCAGTACTTATACTTACAACATCTCTCGTTGATTTCATCACTGCTGGTTCAGTGATCTTTCTGCCGTCTCGACGATGGCATCTTTTTCAATCAAAACCATGCTGCTATTGGTGCAGTGCCTCGTGCTCTTGGGTCTCGTCAATGCTGTGCCGACACCTCAGGACCTGCAGGTGGAGCCCAAGTTGGATGTCGCTCGCGCGGCGTCCGACTACTGGGTGGGAAATATCAAACGCCAGGGTGCTGTGGCGTTTGGCAACGGTACCGACTATCAGGTTTACCGAAACGTGAAGGACTTTGGGGCGAAAGGTAGGGAAAACACTACCCTCGAGTGGGGTTTGAGGGGGATCGGCTAACAAGAATAGGTGACGGTGTGACCGATGATACGGCGGCCATCAACAAGGCCATCTCGTCCGGGAACCGCTGCGGAAAAGGATGCGACTCGGCGACTGTCACGCCGGCGCTGGTGTACTTCCCCGCGGGGACCTACCGGGTTTCCAAGCCCGTCGTCCAGTACTACTATACCCAGATGGTGGGCGATGCGACCAGCTTGCCCGTCATCAAGGCCACCAAGAACTTCGCCGGAATGGCGGTCATCGATGCTGACCCCTACGAGGATGACGGGTCCAACTGGTACACCAACCAGAACAACTTCTTCCGTGCTGTCCGCAACTTCGTCGTCGATCTGACCGACATGCCCCAGGGATCTGGTGCTGGTATCCACTGGCAGGTCGGCCAGGCCACTAGCTTGCAGAACATCCGCTTCGAAATGGTCAAGGGTGGCGGTGACGCCAACAAGCAGCAGGGTATCTTCATGGACAATGGATCGGGCGGCTTCATGTCCGATCTGACCTTCAACGGCGGTAACTACGGCATGTTCCTGGGGAACCAGCAGTTCACCACCCGCAACCTGGTCTTCAACGACTGCAACACTGCCATCTTCATGAACTGGAACTGGGCCTGGACCTTCAAGTCCCTGTCCATCAACAACTGCCATACCGGCCTGAATATGTCAAACTCGCCGCAGAACCAGACCGTGGGCTCCGTCCTGATCCTGGACAGCAAGCTCACCAACACCCCCACCGGTGTGGTCACAGCCTTCACCAAGGACAGCATCCCCGTCGGCGGCGGCGTGCTGATCCTGGATAACGTGGACTTCGGCGGCTCCAAGGTCGCCGTCGCCGGCGCCGACGGCAAGGCCGTCCTCGAGGGCGGCCAGGTCGTGTCCCACTGGGTCCAGGGCAACAGCTACCTCCCATCCGGCGCGCACAAGCGCGAGCTGCAGGCCGAAAACACCGACCAAGAAGTGGAGGTGGTGGTCGAGACCGTGACCGAGACCATCATGGCCTGCTCGGCCGAGCACCATGCGCCAACTCTGACCACGGCCCCGTCGTCGAACGCGGAGCCATCATCAACCGCCGAGAGTCGCCAGGGAACCGCGGACAACAATATCCCCGTCCCCGGCATGTCGGTCATCTACCCTACAGTCGGCACTCTCTCCGCGCCGGGCTTTGCCCCGCATCCGTCGGACGGCACAGGCAAGGCAACGGCCGAGCCTCCCACCGACACCAAGGCGCCGAATGTTCCTGGGTTCCACCCCCCTGCGCCGAAGCCTACTCACGAGACCCCCGCGGAGCTTTCTCCCGTTGAGCCTTCTGCCCCCGTTGAGCATCCCACTGCCGTCAAGCCTACGGCTGAGGCCCCCCCTCCCCACACCGGCAAGCCACCGGCCCAATCTACCGCCCAGCCTCCCATGGAAGGCGCTCCGTCGACCTCGGTGGTGAACGCGCCGGCTAAGCCGCCGCATGGGTCCAAGACCTGTTCCAGCAAGACCGTCACCAAGACCCGACTCCAGACGATCCTCCCGGCGCAGACCAAGCCCAAGTCCTTGCTGACGGGCGGCAAGGTCTTCGAGCGCTCCAAGCCGCTGTACGACGAGTACGCCGCTTCCTCCTTCCTCAGCGTCAAATCCGGTGGCGCCAAGGGTGACGGCCGGTCGGACGACACGGCCGCTATCCAGAAGGTTCTTGACAGCGCGAAGCCCGACCAGATCGTATACTTCGACCATGGCGCCTACGTCATCACCGACACGGTCCGCGTGCCCAAGAACATCAAGATTACCGGCGAGATCTGGCCCCTGCTCATGGCCCACGGCGAGAATTTCGGCGACGAGAAGAACCCGATCCCCATGCTGCAAGTCGGCCAGGTCGGCGACGTCGGCTCAGTCGAGATCAGCGACCTCGCCCTGCAGACCAAGGGCCCTGCACCAGGCGCCATCCTCATGGAGTGGAACGTGGCAGAGGCGAAGCAGGGCTCTGCCGCCATGTGGGACACGCACTTCCGCGTGGGCGGATCCGCCGGCACAGAGCTGCAGAGCGACACGTGCTCCAAGACGCCGAAGCAGACAACCAAGCCGGACCCGGCGTGCGTCGGCGCCTTCATGCTATTCCGCCTTACCGAGAAGGGCACGGCCTACATTGAGAACGCCTGGTACTGGACGGCGGACCACGAGCTGGACCTGCCCGACCATAACCAGATCAACATCTACAACGGGCGCGGCGTGCTCATCGAAAGCCAGGGGCCCGTCTGGCTGTACGGTACCGCGTCGGAGCACAACCAGCTCTACAACTACCAGATCGCCAACGCGAAGAACGTCTTCATGGGCCTGATCCAGTCCGAGACGCCCTACTACCAGGCCAACCCGGACGCGCTCACCCCCTTCACCCCGCAGAAGAAGTGGAACGACCCTGACTTCGCGAGCTGCACGACGGCAGCCTGCCGCAAGGCGTGGGGACTGCGCGTGATTAACTCGTCGGATGTGTACGTGTACGGCGCGGGCCTGTACAGCTTCTTCGAGAACTACGGGCAGTCGTGTCTGAATAGCGAGACGTGCCAGGAGAATATCGTGGAGGTGGACTGCTCGGATGTGCATATTTATGGGCTGAGCACCAAGGCCAGCGTCAACATGATTACCTCCTCGGATGGGAAGTCGCTGGTGCCGGAGAAGGACAATACGAGTAATTTCTGCTCGACGATTGCCTTGTTCAAGCAGTCGTGACCTCTGATGTAGTGGGTGGTTGTTGTTGAGATCGCTTTTTTTTTTCTTTCTTTTCTTCTTGTTTTTTCTTGTGGATACCACGTTAATATAGATGGTTTCTTTCTTTCTTGCAATTTTATTCCTCTTCTTTCGTCTTAACTCTTTCCTCCATCGTCTTTCTATCCCTTAATCATTTCCCTAATCAAGTGGGGTAGAACCATACCCACGGCAAATGACACCACCGCCAAACAGCACAGAGCGTCAGAGACAACCGTGCTCGCCATTCTGCACGTCCATTGCGAGACGGCGCTTCCTTTCCCTTTCCGTATAGATCTACGCCACTAGTTGGGGGTATAGTTCTGCTTCCCACTGATTTACCAGCACGTCAGTGTAGCAATTCCCACCAGGCTGGTCGGTGTCTTAAGCGATGCAATTGGACGGGGATAGAGCCTTTTGTGCTTGTTATTGCACTACTTGCCCTATTTCCCTTCTTCATTGCTTGATTCGTTCCACGTATAGTTGGTAGACGAAAGTACGGTTCATCCGGTAGGTTGGTAGTTGGTAGATACATACTAGGTAGTTCGTGTTGATCATTTAGTTAATGAGTTAGTTGGTATTTAGTAGTAGTAGTTCGTAGTATGTAGAGTCAATCATGTTCGTGACATGATAGTGGGATACTACAAGCGAGGTCGATCAGCGATGAGATGACCCGGGGGTGGAATTGCGTTGTCCTTTTTCTTTTTCTGTTTCTATCCCCTTGAGTGGAACTGAATTGGATTGAAATGGGGGTTTTGAAGTATAAGTAGTCTTCTTTTTCTTGTTCTTTTTAAGTTGTTCACCTTCTTTCTATCCATCATCTATCTACTATCTACAGTGTCACACATACACAGCATCCTCTCAACCACCTCAATTTATCAATCATCAACACACACCACTTCATCTATACCGTCACACTATACAGTAAATAAATAAACAAAATGCACCTCCCCCTCCCCCTCCTCCTCACATCAACCCTCGCCCTCCTCACCGCAGCGGCCCCCACCCCCGCAGAATCATCCAAACGCAACGACCCCGTCGACCCGCTCGACCTGAAAGGCACCATCAAGGAGGGCCTCAACGCAGTGACTGGCCTGGTGGGCGTTGAGGTCGCGCACAAGCGGGAGATCGAGAATAATGCCGAGAAGCGCTTTCTGAATGGGTTGCCGCTTATTGGGGATTTGTTGCCTAATGGGGATGCTTGATTATTCTTATACCCTTTGGATGGCTGGGTTTGGTGAGGTTGGTTTTGCTCTCCCTTTTCCTTCGTTTGTTTCTTTGGATGTTGGTGGTGTTGTTTGGGTTGAATGGGGCACGGTACCTGTTGGTAGTACTATTGCTAATTGTTTACTAGGTCCGTATAGGACTACAGACAAGGTGATGGGTGTATATACTATTACAGTATGTATGAGCAATAACCTAAATACTATCTATCTACAATCTATATACCATCAATGATATCCTCCTTTCCCCCCCCTATACTATCTTATACAATATACCGCATAATACTGGCGTCTTTCTGAGATCTGATGACTCACACGTTATTGGCGCACGACCAGCTGCTATTCGACGAGTCTTCGTGGATAGCAACGCCGGATACGTATAGTCCCAGACCGCACTGTTATGTGTTAGCAGGGTACTAGTAGAGTACTAGCTAGCAGATAGATAGTAGGAAGGAAGAAAGATAGAAAGAAGGGTAGGAAGACGGAAAGGAAGACGGATAGGAAGAAGGATAGGAAGAAGGAAAGGGAGAAGGATAGGAAGAATAAGACGTACTATAGCACACGCAATCCCCAAAATCAACACATTGACAACCGTCAAACAAGCCTTGGCTGTCGTCTGGAAGTACCGGCCGCGATTCATATGCAGCCAGAATATAGCCGGGAGGCCAACTATATCATCATCATTAGTAACCAGATACCTTTGTTTTCATTTAACATAGGGAAAAGGGGGCGTACAACTGAACCAACTTCCGAAAAGTGCACTCTGTTGCTCAATTAGCCACTACTCTAAACGTTTTCGTAGGTGGAAAAGTGGAAGGGACATACAATCAAACTGAGCAGATTATTGAACACGGGAATCGACTCGGCGACGACCCACGAAAGCACCCACACGACCAAGCAGATGGCTACCCACGATCCGATCGATAGGAAGCTGCGCTGGTGCATCATGTCCGAGCCGCGGAAGATCCGCACGTAGATGTATTTGCAGGCGACGTGGCCGAGGACGACGCCGGAGAGGGTGGCCTGTACTTATATTAGTATAATCTTCAGATAGTAGATTAGTAGATGAATAAGGAAAAAAAAACTCACAGTAGGAATGGCTATTCCCCACGCAATCTTCCCCATCAACGGGTGCAAGGACAGAATAGCCGGGGACTCGACGTCCGGCCCAGCAAAGCGGTAGATGATCAGCGCGGAGATGAGATACAGCACCGTGTCGACGATCTGGAGCATGGCCAGCGACTTGGGGAAGGTCCGCGGGTCTTCGGTTTCGGACATGAAGCCGAAGTAGGCGACGTGGGCGACTGTCTTGTTAGTTGAGTTCTTCTCACTCGCTCACATTTGGGAGAACGTACGGTATGCGAAGATGATGTTGGTGACTGCGAGGAACCCATCCCGGAAGCTCACATCGGTGGTGGATTCGAGGCGGATGGGCCCTTTGCTTTCCACGCCCATGGCGACCATGGTTATGATGGTCGCTACGAAGATGCTGGCGAATGCTGCTGGCGATTAGCCAAGAATACGATGGATGTAAGAGGGGAGGCTTACAGGCGCAAGACATCCAGTACACTTTGTCCATAGTGCGCGGCAAAGCGCCGAGGAAGCAAATCACCAGCCCGACGACACCAAATACCAGCGAGCAGGTCCCGTGGTCAGTAAGCACGTTCATCAAGATGCTGAACATCAAGATGTTGCTCGCCATGAGGAAGATCAGGAGCAGCAGCTGGCCGAGGCCCAGCAGCTCGCGGCCGAACCGGCCCATGAGGAGTTCGCCGGCGTCGCCCATGCTGTGGATCTCTGGGTGTCGCAGCTTGAACTGTCCGATGACGTACCCCGTGTACCATGACAGGGCGGAAATGAACACGATCATGACGGCCGCTCTGTGAGTGGTTAGTGATTGATTGGGATACTGCGTCTGGGGATACATACGGTCCCATTCCAAGGGTTGCTACGGCGGACGGGAGCGAGAGGATGCCGATGGAGACATTCTCCGCGATCATGACTGCATCCAATGAATCAAGCCTTAAATAGAAAAAACGATGAGAGACTCACGCATGCCACAGTGCCTGATTGGTCAATGATAAGCGTATGCATAAAAAAAAGGTAGGTAGAATCCGGGGAAGAATCCACGAAGAATGAAACTCACCACCACTTCATAGTCCGGTACTTCACCTCCGCCGAGTCTTCATTACCAAACGGCTCCAGAGCCTTTGCTGGAAAGTCATCGTCCCCATCTTGGTCCCGCTGGGCAAGGCCCACGGCCTTCTCGTCGGGGTAGGGTTTCTCGTCTGGGGTTTGCATTGTGGGGTTGAAGTTTTTCTCCCCTCCTATGATTTTTCTTTTTCCTCTTCCCAGACCTCTTACTAGAGTTCAGTCTCCCCGGCAAGCCTCTTCGAGCAGTCCAAGACTTCAAAAGATCGAAAACCAGACTTATCGATATAGATAGACAGCCAAGAACGATCCTGCAGATAATCCCGGCACGTGGCTGCAAAATCTCTGACTCCGCAAATCGGAGGGAGTCCCGATCGGGCCGATCGCCGTTTGCGGTTTAGCCTGCCTGTCACTTGTCCAGACCCTGATTCTGCCCTGGATTCCAACCTTGGCTGGCCATGTTGATTGAGGGGAGTAAAGATTTGATTAAGTCTATTTGTACTCGTATAATAATCGTAAGTCCACACGCAGAGTGGTTCTAAAGCTCCTTCTTGAGAAAATGCTCCGGCTTGTGCGTCGTCTCGTAGTCCACATGCACGTAGGCCCGCTCCACATCCGGAAGCGACTCGAGCTTGATCTGCAGCTCCTCCGCCACGTCGTGCGTCCCACGCAGGCTGTCGTTGGCGTCCATGACGATGTCCACCTCTACGAGAAGGCGCGGGCCGGACGTGTACGCCCGGACGGTGTCGATGGCGGTGATGAGGGGGGAGTGGGTCATCGCTGGATTGTTAGTATTTCCATGACAGCAAGATGGAAAGATGGAGACATACAGATATAGGTGATCAGCTGCTGCATCTTCGTATCGGCCGTCACGCCAATCAGCAGCTGGAACTCATGGTACGCCGTATGCAGCCACAGCACGCTGATCAGCACCGACAGGATGATCGCGCCCATCGGATCGATCCACCAACGCAGCTTGCTCCCGCCCACGGACGTCAAGATACCAAACCCATTGATGAGCAGATCGTTGCGGTGGTCCTCCCACAGGATGCGGATCTGCGACACCTGGTGTCGCAGCGCGAAGCAGTAAGCGAACAGCACGAACTTGGTGCAGAAGGCCACCGCGACGGCGATCACGGACGGAAGGTGAAACCCTCCCGTCTCGTTTTCGGAGCCGACGGACAGCTGGCGCGCCGAGAAGGCAATCAGGATGAACGAGACGGCCGTCATCAGGAAGCAGAAGCAGATGTTGCCCGCCGTCTCGATGCGCGCCTTGCCGGCGGGGAACTTGCGCGGGTCCACGCGGTTGACGGCCTTGTTGCACAGCAGCAGCGTGAGGTTGGACATGGGGTCGAAGACGGCGTCCGCCATCGTCGTGAACAGCGACAACGACCCCGACGCGATCGCCGCATACAGCTGCAGCACCGACAGCACGATGTTGGCGGCGAAGGAGCCGTAGACGGCGATCTTGTACTTCAGCTGGTTGTTGGCGTTGACCTCGCGGGCGGCCCGGACGTGCTCTTCCACCGGCTTCAGCATCAGCTTGATGTTCTCGTTCTGCGCCTCGTAGAATCCCTGCAGTTGTTTGGAGGTGATGGCGTCCGCGAGCACAGTCTTTGGGTTCCGGGTGGTGCATCGACGGTCGCGCTTGCGGGACGTGTTGGCCGCGGCGTGGTGGCTCTGCGGCTGCATCTGGCGGATCTCCTCGGGGCTCTTGAGCTTCGAGGCGAGCTGAAAGGGGTCATTCTCGCGGGTGTATCGCGGCGGGGGCTGGCTTTCTTCGTCGGTGGTGCTGCTGGACCGGTGCTGCGTCGTCTGCGGCTCGAGGGCCGTCGAGGCGGCTTCATCATAGGAGAGCATTGCCAGCTGCGTGGGCCGGTTGAAGGGAGAAGGATGGTGCGAGGCACTGTGACGAAAGTGACTGTCTTCCATGATGAAAATGGGGGAGAGGAGACCTCTCGATGAAACAGATGATGCAAGGGGGTTTTCTCAATGGAAGGGAGGATAGGTCAGATGGAGAGAGGGAAAAGAGGAGCGGAAGATAAGATCACATTGCAGAATGCCAAGCCCGCCGGAGGCGGTGACTATGCTTGGCACGATGACCAATCCCTTATCTGATCATTCTACGCTACACAAGATCTACACCGGATTCCACTCTAGGCAGCAGGAAAAGCATTCTTCTATTCCACTAGAAGCTAGATCGAACCAAACCCCCCATCATAAACTTTTACCGGAGATTTACCGGAAGTATCCGAGCAGCGACTTGAGCACACCGCCGACCCACTCCAACTTCTCCTCGGCAGTTGCATCCGCGGGCATACCGGGGTTAATCTGCGGGAGTCCAGTAGGCGCGGGCTTGCTGATGGTAGAGAGTGTGGTTGGGATGGGAGGCGGCGGCGGCGCGGATTGAGTTGGGGCAGCAGTCGTCGTGGGAACGCTGCTGGTGGTCGGGCTGGGGTCGGAGGGGCCGGTGCCAGAACCCGCTCCGTCGACCGTGAAGTCAACACACGACTCGTAGGTCTGGTCGATCGACTCGGCGAACCAGTACCACTGCAGCACGCAGGCGCCCGCCTCGGAGCACTGGCTCAGGTTATCGGGGAGGGTGACGCTGAACTCCTCGTCGCTGTCGGCCACGCCGGTCTCCGTGGAAGCGTACTTCTCCCACGACTTGAGGGCCTCGCCGATGACGGAGTTGGAGGCTGTGTCGACGACGGAGACGTTGGCCACTCCAGTGTGGGGCGCGCGGATATCGACCTTGAAGTCGATCTTCTGTCCCGCGCTGTACGAGTAGACGTTGTCCTTGTTGTCCTCAAACTTGTAGCCCTTGCAGAGGAAGATGTTGCAATCCTCGGCGCTGAAGTCGTCCTGTCCGCTGGTGACCTGAAGCTCGCCCTGCACGTTGCCGTAGTTGTCGGACTTCTGGTTGGTCACGACCTGCTGGCCGCAGGCGGCCTGCATGGCAGTGCCAGGCATCCGGGGCTTGGGGCTCGTGACGAAGCCGTGGCCGTGGGCCAGCCCGATAAGGGCGAGAAGGGAGATGGTGTGCTTCATTTTGGATGGTTGAGGAAAAAGATGCGAGAGGGAAAATATGGTAGAGAAAGGACGAGGTATACCAGTATACCACGAGGTAAATGAATGGAATTGAAATACAGGAATCGGTCACAGACCGGATGTGAAATGAATGTGCAAAAGAGAGAGAAAAGTTGATCAAGCCTGCTGCTGAGGAAACGAGATATCGAGGTCTGCATCTCCCTCTATATACTGTCAAACGACCCATCATACTGCCTAGGGTGTTTTAATTAACCGGGGTTCGTTCCCCTCGGGACGACGATCGGAGAGGCTCGGCCGTTCTATCATGTTTCAAGAGAGGCTGGAGCGACGCCGTAGGCACTCCATCGGCATGACACCTTCGGCCCAGCAGATGCTGCTACTGCCATGCGAAGAGGAAGCGCCGGGTAGTTTCACGATGCTTTAGGGTGAAACAGGATGTGAGCTTAGGCTCCGGTGAGATGCTTGGCACCGTCGCCGTTTCAGCTTCATTAAGTGTCGGACAGACTGAAACCACGCTTGCCAATGCTGTGGGTCATATTTGGCCCTAATTGCAGTTTCTATCTGTGGTCCGTCTCCGAATAGGAATGGTACTCTTGCTGTCAAGTCCAAACTCCCTTCGCAGGCGTACAATCAGCCCCTTATCACATCGGATAATTGAACAATTCGGTTGTCGGTGATGTGAAATGCCGGAAGACTAGAGAGGAGCTAGATTGCCGGGGTCGGATATGAGTGTATCAAGGAGGACAAAGTTAATTGAAAACCAGGGTATTGCTCAAGTAGTTAACGCGGATCCGCAAGGAGGTATCATTTGAACCAAGAGACAAAACGCAAAGCTAATTACAGAACTCGTAAAAGAACATCGATCATCACACGGAGACATACGGTGAACAAGGAAGAATACAGCAGTAAAGGGGGGAAAGAAAAAGAAGACCGTTGCTGCTGACATGTACATCATCCTGCAGCTCATGTAGTGCGTTGCGTCGGTGGATGCGCGCTGTTCCACAACCCAGGTTCAGGCGCTGTCCCATCCGCTGATTGGTTCCCTGCAGCACCTGGCGGACCTGCATTAGTAGCGTAGCTATCGGCGAATGGGTTTTGCACTTGGAATTCCTCCGACCGATATTCGTACCGATTCGGGCCAGCGCCCGTGGCACCTGTGCCCACCGGCGCTGAGACCACACCGTACGAAGTTTGACCATGCGGCGACACAGGCGAATCCGATTCGTGGGCAGTTGGCCCCGGCGAAGCCGGTCTATACGAAGCCGGCGGGCTGTGCGAAGGTGGTTCGTATGTCGCTGGTCCCTGCGAAGCCGGCACCGGCTGAAGGGCAGGGATGTTGTGTACTTCGCGAGGCGGAGTAGGCGGTGCGGGGACCGGTCGAGGGGCACCCGAGGCACCGCTGGCATCGTTGGATGAGGCCGGAGACTGGCTCCCGGACTTTCCTAGCGCCCTGCGTGCCTGCAACATAGCTCGCTGGTATTGGGAGAGGGCCACCGACAACTCATCATTCGTCTCAATCAGGGTCGCCAGGGTATCCTCGTCGGGAGGCGGGTTGGAACCGTGAATGTAATCCTGCACGGCGCGCGACGCATTCCGGCAACGGCCGGAGAACTCCTTAATGAGTTCGTTGTCCAGGAACTCCACCGGGGGCGTCGACTGCACGAACTGGGTGAGAAGGCTGGCTGACGTCTTCGCCTCGGCGATCCGGGAGGCAAGTTCCTCGGGCGGCGGGAGTCCTGGCGAACTGCGGTGGATGACAGGGACGTTCGGGTCTCTCGGCGGCATGGGAGGTGGTGCATTGGGTGCGTTCTATACGTTTGAAGCATGGTGAGCGAGGTCCAACCGAGCATGCATGGTCAACGGGCGGTAGGAGTGTCCTTACATTGCGCCACTTGGGATTGGCCTTTTCCTTCCTCCACATACCCAACAGCAACCCCAGATCCTCATCCCACGGTCGCTGCGTCTCCAACATGTCCAGTGTCTCCGACAGGAATTGCTTCACATACATATCCTTGCCCTGTCGCAACAAGTCCCGCACGGTGGTAACGAACTTGGAGTCAAAGTTTCGCGAAAAGGTATGGCCCGGGTTCTCGATGAGGATGCGCATCAGCATGATGGCATTGTACTGGACATTGGGGGATGACGACGCGGGATCGGCCAGCAGTTTGCGGATGCGATGCGCCGCCTCCTTGGCGGCACTGGGGCTCGACTCGGCGCTCTCGACGACTCCCGGGAGATGAACGAACTCCGTGCCATGCTAAAGAAAACAACAATTAGCACTGCCTTAAAGTATGTAGACGTGGGGAAATGCAGTCGCGGATCATGGGGTAACCCTTAGAATGTGACATACCGCAATGTTGGGTCCGTTCCCAGACTGGCAGAATGCCATCTAATATCGCAGCACCGGCATCGTCAGTCAATGCTAATCACTCAACTTCGCAGATATAAGAACGAGAGGAACCAACCAATTCTCTCAAGACGACCGCTTCCGGGGCATCCTCAGGATATGCGGGCGCGCTCTCCCGCGCGAAACCTGCATTGAACGTTAGCGACCCCACGCGACGATCACACGGCACCAAGCGACATACTAGGACGTCTCATGGAAGTGAGGATGCGCTTCATGATGAACGAGATGATAGCAATGGACCACGATGAGAAGCTGAACCGGACGAAAACCGCAGGAGCAGAGAGGGGAAAGGCAAATAAGAACGAAAAAAATGCACGGATGCAGGTGAGATTGATGTAGCTCAAATAGGTTGGTTGGGTTCTTATTTTAGGCGCCTGCGGGATCCAGCCAGACCAGAAGGAAAAGGCGGCGATCGTTGGACGGCCAGAGACACTAAGTATAGTAGCCTGGAGTCGCGGCCCCGATCGACAGTGGCGATGCGATGCTTTAGCAACACGCAAGCTTGGGGGCATCAATTTTGGGATGACCCCACGAGCCCCAAACGTTTGGGAAAGGGTGCTGGATGCTGCCTAGTGGTGTCAGTCGAGGATAACGCTTATAGGAGTGTTCCGTCGATCTTGGCATGGCTTGACGACCTAGTACCGAGTATTTAGGTACCTATATATAGGCAGCAGATGTCATGACCAGTGATCTGACCACTGTAATCTTCATCATGAGGTTAGAATGTTTAAAAAAATTAAGAGGATAGGCTCAAATCTCATGAGTGGCAAATCAGTGGCCATCTTGAACCGGTCGACATGTACGCACATTGTACATTCTGGCCAGTTGCCCCAGACAGTTATATAGACTGAGTGGAGTTCTTGGACCACATCCTGATCCTGGGGGGATTTCAATCTCGTCACAAGTTACATAGTACACTGCTTCCAGCTCTACATATCCACTATCACGAAACAAAATAGACAACTACAAGTAACAGATCACGTTTTAAAAAAATTCAAGTCGTATTCTATTCATGACATAACATGAAAGCACAAAACACCCTTCTCTCCCCGAATCGAGGTCCGGAAAGGCTGGTGGAGATGCCGGTGGGAAATAAGATTGTCGATGAACTGGACGTGATCCAGCCATCCATCCCGTAGAAGTAGGCTAGGAGCATGTATTCCACGGGGACGCACCGACCACCATGGAGCAGTTGGCGGATCCGGACGGGAATTTTTCCAAGAAGAAACAAAAATAAAGATTCACTTGGAAAAAGGATGAAAAGTTATTTTTTTTTGTATTCCTTCCGTGACAAGGTATTGGTTCCGTACAACTGAAAACTCCGGCTGGTTCCCATTCATTTTCCGACTACCGTTCCCTCCTTTCCGTCTCTCGACACCACCTACATCCGCTTATGCCTGGGTAAGGGCCTGGCGGACGTTGGCGCCACGCTGCCGGGAGCTGAGGTGGTCCTTGGCAACGACGGGGCCCTTCTTGACGACCTCCTCGGCCTCGGTGAGGATGAGCTCGATGTGGCAAGGGTTGGTCATGTAGGGGTTGATCTACACAATTAGTTTCTTTCTTCAATCTTCGTCCCTCTCGGTCATCACAGGAAAGGATTGGCACATACACGACCGTGGGCACGGTAGGTGCGTCTGCGGCCCTTGGGGGCCTGGTTGACCTGGATGCGCTTGACGACCAGGTTGCCGGTGTCGAGACCCTTGGTGTCGGCGTTGGCCTCGGCGTTCTTCAGGAGGTCGACGAGGAACTTGGCGGACTTCTCGGGCCAGCGGGCCTTGCTAACACCGAACTGCTTGCCTGGGAATGGTCAGCCTGGTGTTTTCCAAGCCCCTGGATTTCATCCTTCTGAGATCTGCAACCCCATCTCCGATCTCTCAACCCGCAAACATGTTCTAGTCCACTGGGGAGAGATCCTCCATTTCATATCAAAATCACTCACCCTGGGCACAGCGACCGGTGCTGCCAGCAAACCGGCGGAAGGGGACAGCCTCGAGCTTGTTGGAGACGTTGTCGAGGAAGGCAAGGGCGCGCTGCAGCTTCATGCCGTTGATGGCCTGGGCGGTCTCGCGGGTGTTCTTGAAGCTGACACGCAGGTAAGAGCCCCGGGCGCGGGCGCTCTTAGCGGGCGAAATCTCCTGAGCAGCGTAGCGGACCTGAAGGAAAAAGCACCCGTATCAGCATGAAATTCTTCCAAGTCTCTCGCCTTTTCCCATTCTTTCGTCTTTCCCTCCTCTTCCATCGTTCAAAATCTCCTCCTCCAAATCCCAGTATCGAATTTGACGCAATGATGGGGAGGTCGTAGATCGAGACGGTCCGGTCGACACAAAACACCCAAGGTCATCTCCTCGCCGTGTCCCAATCTCACGAAAATTCCAGGTCCTCGCATTCCGACCTCCTCGCATCGAATAGGAAAGGTAATATCTCGAGAAACACTCACCATCTTGAAGTGGTTGCCGGGCGGGGTGGTCCTCGATTGTCGGGTTAGAAGTTTGTCGCTTTACGAAGTTCGTCGGCCGCGGGTCGGAATCGTGAGTGCAGTTCGTTGTGGTGCGCCTTTTTTCGCTCTTGGCGCCCGCAGCCCTAAGCGAGCCCTACCGCTAGCCCTGTTTGGTACCCACCGCCCGGCAGTATATTTGTTACTTTGTACTGACTATCTTCGATGTATCCAGAAATTGAACACTTGAATTCATATCATTACTCGATCTATCCAATTCTAGGTCCTAGGTCTACTTCTTCTGCTCCGGAACGGGCGTGATCATCTCCCCCTTCTCGACCGCCGACCGCAGATTTTCGAGCACCAGCAACTCCATATTCTTCTGCGTCTCGTACGTCATGGTACCAATGTGTGGCAGAAGCATTACACGGGGGTTGTCGACCAGTCCCTGCTCCACGACCGGCTCGTTTTCGTACACGTCCAGACCAGCAGACATGACCTGATCTGTCAGCTTGTATTTCGAAAAAAAAGAGAGAAAGAAGAAACACACCTTGCCCGAGTCCAATGCTGCCACGAGCGCCTTCTCATCGATTAACGCCCCCCGAGCCGTATTGACGATCACGACGCCGTCCTTCATCTTTTGGAACTCGTTGGCGCCGATAATATGCTGAGTGGATGCGTTGAGGGCGAGATTGAGACTCAGCACGTCGGAGCTGGCTAGGAGCTCGTTGAAAGACACGTAGGTGGCGTCCCCTTCGAGTTCGGGCGAGAGACGGGAGCGATTGTGGTAATGGATCTTCATGCCGAAGGCTTTGGCTCGATGCGCCATTTCCTGGAGATCATTAGTACCTTGTTTTTCTTCGGGGTACACCCCCCCCGGCTTGATACTTACCCGTCCGATGCCGCCCATTCCCAGGATACCTAACACCTTACCTTGGGGATCGTGGCCTAGCGTGGTCTGTCCATGCCATTTTCCTGCACATGGATGTTAGTAGCTTGATATGGTTTTACTTTGGAAACGGCGGGGCTACCAGCGCGCAAGGCGGCCAAGGGCACGTAGGCCTGGCGCAAGGCGCCAATCATCAGGAAGATGCCCACGTCTGCGGTGGCGTTGTTTACGGCGACAGGGGTACTCGAGACGAGGATTCCTATCGTAGCTTGTTAGATGGCCTGTAGTATGGGTGGTCTCATACCGTTGTGCCTGGTAGATGACGTTACCTTTCTGAGTACACCCCGCAACGTCGATGTTGTCGTACCCCGCCCCGTTGTGGCAGATGTACTTGAGCGATGCGGGCAGGGCAGACAGCAGTTCCGCGTCGAACGGGCCGGTCAACTGGACCTAGTCAATCTTCTGTAGATTGTTGTTTTGTAGCGTCGACATACCTTGGTGGACACATTAGAGCGGTAGATGGCCTGGACGTCGTCATATTGGCCCTGTTTGCAGTTGCGGAGAAAGTCTTCGCGCGTGCCCTCGGGAAATTCCTAATCGGTCAGGACAATATTCGATCGAACCGGATGGCTGGGATGGTACCTTGAGGGTGAGTATGGACGAAAGGGCTTCCCACTCCTTTCTGGCGTGGGTGATGTCTCCGATGAGGAGTGCGGAGGGCATGACGTTGATTGTTGGATGCTGGATGATATTACAGTACTCAAGGTGTAAGTGGAGAAGATCAGAAAGAAGTAGTTTATAAAGAGAAGAATCAGTAGATCTGGTTAAATGTCAGGAATTATATTTCCATGGATAATTGGAAGAAGAAGAATGAATTGAGGGGTCAACCATCGTGATATCAATCCATCGGGCTCATTTAGCCATGAGATGGTTATGGTATTACCAATAAATACCTAAAATACCCAGTTATTTCCGGCATCATCCTATCTAAAGTATATCATAATACACAGCCATACATCTACATCACTCTCTCTACTTCATACTTCATACAATGATCACTTCCTCACTTTCAATCCTACATCTGTCTCTCTCACACTCACGTTCGTTATTCACTTCTTTCATCTCTATCACTGTCTCATCTATCATGACATACACCTGGAGTGACAGTCCATTACCCCCTTCACTTCTCCACTGTCGGCTATTGACCAGTTCAATTCCCGACACCCCACACTATGATTACGCCAACCAATGTATGGCAATCTTCTTCCCCTCTATATGTTCAATTTACACATCTGACAAGCTCCAGATACACCAAGTATCCTACATAATCGATTGAGTATCCCACATAGTCAAATCCAACCTCAGACCAGTCCACCATGGCCTCCAATCCCACCTGTGAGGCACTCGTGCTGCACGGCGCCAAAGATCTCCGCATGGTATGCCCTCCCCACTATACCCCCAGATCAACCCCCGCAAAACACCATGTCTAACAAATTTAGGAATCGCGCGCAGTCTCCCCCCCATCCCCCGATGAAGTCCAAATCGCCATCCGCGCCACCGGCCTCTGCGGCTCCGACCTCCACTACTACAACCACGGCCGCAACGGCGACTTCGTCGTGCGCCAGCCCTACTGCCTCGGCCACGAGTCCTCCGGCGAAGTAACCGCCACCGGCACCAACGTGAGCACCCTCCAAGTCGGCGACCGCGTCGCTCTAGAAGTCGGCCTCCCCTGCACCAAGTGCCCGCTCTGCCTCCAAGGCCGCTACAACATCTGCCCGGACATGAGGTTCCGCTCCAGCGCCAAAACCTACCCCCACCTTGACGGCACCCTCATGGAGCGCACCAACCACCCAGCCACCCTGTGCCACCGTCTCCCAGAGAACGTCTCCTTCGCCGGCGGGGCCCTCGCCGAGCCCCTCGCTGTCGTCCTGCACGCCATCCGCCGCTCGCGCCCGCCCGCCCGCGCAGACGTCGATCTCGCAGCCGCCCACGGCGCCGGCACCGCAGCGCTCGTCTTCGGCGCCGGAGCCATCGGCCTCCTCCTCGCCGCCGCGCTCTCCCTCACAGAGAACTTCTCCTCGATCGTCATAGCAGACATCGACCCCGCGCGGCTAGCCATCGCAGACTCCCTCTCCCTCCCCACCCTCCACACCTTCCTGATCCCCAAACCCAGCACCCAACCATCAGAATCGGTCTCCAAAGAAGACGCAGCCCTCCAGTCCGCGCAGTCCCTCGCCACCCAGCTAAAGAGCTCCATCCCCGACGTCGCAGCCGGCTTCGCGAGAGTCTACGACTGCACGGGCGTCCCCGCCTGCATCCAGACGGGCATCTACGCCGCCGCGCCGGGGTCCGTCCTCGTGCAGATCGGCATGGGTCATCCAGTCCAGACTGTCCCGCTGGGGGCGGCGGCGCTGCGTGAGGTGGATCTCATTGGTGTGTTTAGGTATGATGGTGCTGCTTATCCGGCTGCGATTGCGCTGTTGGGTGGGGGGAGGTTCAGTGTCGTGGAGGAAAAGGTTGTTACGCATCGGGTGGCTTTGCGGGATGGGAAGGAGGCGTTTGAGTTGGCGGGGAGGGGGGTGGATGGAGAGGGGAGGACGGTTGTTAAGGTTGTTATTGAGAGTTGATTTTTGCTTTTCTTTTCTTTTTGGTTTGTTTGAGATGAGTGTAGGGAAGAAATATTGGATGGATAAGGAATACCCAGAATGGAATGTACATTGTTATCTAGTACTTGCGCTATCAAACACCCACTAAAGTATCCCCACAAGCCATACAAACTAGTACCTAAGGTAGAACAGTACGTCTTCAATACTGAAGAAGCAGTAGGTGACTATGTCTCATATTACCAATCGACTAGTAGATGATACAATGAATAAATCACTTCAACCCCCCAGCAAGCAACAAACTCTGCCCCGTCATATACCCCGTCTCAACAAGCATGCTCACCACATTAGCCACCTCACCCGGCGTCCCCAACCGCCCCAGCGGAATCCCCGCCGCCACCTCGGGGATCGCCTGCGCGTTGGGGATCATGCCCGTGTCGCCGATCATGGCCGGCGCGACGTCGTTGACGCTGATGTTGTGTTCTGCGAGGCGCGTGGAGAGGTTCTTCATCATGCCTGTTAGGCCGGCTTTGGATGCTGCGTAGTCTTTCCCCCATATTCTTATTAGTGTCGTTTCATTTGTTTGGGGTTTGTATTTTGAATGGTGGGTGTGAATGGAGAAGGGGAAGGAGACATACGACACCCATTTATCCCCCCTCCATACCCCGCAATAGATGACATGAACACGATCCTCCCCCACCGCTGACCCTTCATATGCTCGACGACGCCCTTGACGAGGATAAACGCCGCCCGCATGTTCACCTCCACCGTGTGGTCGAACTCTTCCAGTGAGATGTCCCACACTTGGGGAACGCGCTTGCCGTGCCCTGCGTTGGCGATCAGGATATCGGGTCGCTGGCCGTGCTGGGCGTCGATCTCGGCGAAGAGGGTCTCGATCTGCGATGCGGATGCCATGTCCACTTGGTGGGTTGTGATGCGCAGGGTGTTGTGCGTTTTGCGGAGGGTGGTTGCGAGGGTTTCGATGGCGCTGGCGTTGCTGTGGTAGGTTAGTGCTAGATGGATGTTTTTGCTGGCTAGTTGGTGTGCGCAGGCGGAGCCGATTCTATATAATATCTGTGTTAGTTGAGGGGTTGTTGGGTTGTATTGTATGGTGGACGTGATTGTACCCGCCAGATGCACCTGTGATGAGGGCAAGTCGGCCGCTGACTTGGTTGTAGTCTGCCATTTTTCTTCCATTTGCTTTGTGTCAGTGGTTCGAAATGGTGACAGGAAGTGTTCTGTCAAGGTATATATGAGGGCATCGGGCTTTCCCCGAGGGTAGATTCTACCCCGCATCGCCAGTGTGGGGTACACCTGGGCAATCAATCCCTCGGCAAGAGAACCAACGAGTCCTCCGATCATATTTCACCCTCTATACCAGATAGAGAATGTTTTTTCATACTGGTAGATGGATCTCAGTGTTAAAACAGCAAACTACCCGCCATGTCGACCCACGACGACTGCCACGTCTGCGAACGCTCCTGTCCCGTCTGATAGAGATCCTGATTCTGGAAGCCGTCCAACGCCAGCATACCCGACCCTGAGATCAGGTCGCCCGAGACGTAGTCGCCCACGGCTTCCAGATTCAGCCAGGAGAAGTCGTTTGCGGGGCTGAAATGCACGCAGCTGTCGTCGGGCATGGGCTGTGTAAGTGCGCTGCTGCTGCTGGGCATGGGGAGATCGCTACTTTGGTGCTGTGGGAGTGTTGTTGGCACAGCTGGGTTGGGTTGCCAGAGAAGTTCCAGGAGTCGCGCGTACCGTGACCCGATGTCGTCGGGCCCTGCGCTGGCGCGTTTTAGGATCTCGGTCGTTCGGTGGACGAGTTCGCGCACGTCCATTTCTTCGGAGGGTGGGAGGACCCCGAATGAGCGAGCCTAGATTTGCTCGTGTTAGTGAAAGTTTACTGGAGGGGATAAAGGTTCAGTGGAGGCGGACCTTGTAGAGAAATACAGCGGCGTAAATTCCGTATAGGTAGAACCGGAGCGGCATGAAATGCAGCTGTCGCTCAGGATGGACTTTGTCCACGACGATGGCCAGATACGCCTTGGCCGCGTCGACAGACTCGTAGATGAATCGCGCGTCCTGCAACAAAGCGACATTACTGAAGGTCGAGCGCAAGTGCTCCTTTTGCGACTGGCTGTCGTTGTTCGTCTTGGAAGCCAGAGCCTGCGAGATAGTAGCCTGGAAGGCAAACGCGTTTGTGTAGAGTCGCAGATATTCGTACGACATCTGTAGTGTAAATTGCATCGGTTCGGAGCCTAGACACGTTAGCGGGTGTTTTGACAATTCGAATCGACCGACCTACAAGGCAACGAGCCCCAGAGCGATTTCCACCGGAGAATGGCCAGCCGAAAATCGTCGACATATTTCACATAGTCCCCCGTGAGCATCATCTGGTTGCTGGTTCGCATCCCCGAGTACAGCACGTCGTGCACGTTGCCATACAACTGCGTGAGGTCGAGCGTCGCCTGGAGGATCCGCGCGTAGTCCTCATCGCCGTCACCGACGGGCAGTAGAGAGGGGAAATCCTGGCTGACCAGACCCGTCATAGGACCCGGCCCTCGCGACCAGAACGCCCGCCCGATGCGGACGGAAATCAACCGATCGGAGACGTAGCAGCTCGTCCACGCCAGTCGCCGGCGGGCTTCCACCTCCGTGTCTCCCGAGTCGCCCCGAAACGACGTTCGATCCAGCCCCAGAAAATACCCCGATCGCAGGGCCAGTCCGACGTGCATCCACGCAGCGCGATCTTCCTCTCCGCGCCCGACGCGCTCGACTCCGGGTCGGAGTCCCTGGGGCTCCCACTCGGCGAGGAGTAAGAGCGCTTCAACGGCTTCGACGTCGCAGTTTGCCCCGGCGGCGATCCCGGAAATCAGCTCGTGCATGTATCTAGAACAGTACTCGTGGATCTCCGGTCGCGCGGTCAGATCCTTCGACGCGATTGTGAGCACCGCCGTCAGCAAGTGTTTCTCGTTCGCGGCAAAGGCGCCCAAGGCACGGCGATCGAAGTATTTTCTGGGGACCAAAGGGAGATATGGATGGAAATGATCGGCGTAACGGGACACCAACTGCCACACGGTCCCTGGCTCTAGAGCGCGCGATTGCACCAGTCTATAGTTTTTTATGTCGCCGGGGGAATCGAAGTCGGTCACCGTGCCCTGCGGGGCACTGGAGGCCGGGACACCTCTAGGGTTTGCGCGCGTCAGATCTGGGCCCGAGTCAGAAGCGGACCCGTCCGTATCCCGTCTCGCGAGGCCCGTCAGACACTGCCAAGCGTCTGATGGATTGCGCGGTACCGAACCTATCGACGTCGTGTCATCGTCGTCCACTGCCGTAGGGGGGGCATCTTGCGGCACGAATGCCACGGGATCGGGATAGGAGCTCGATGTCGCCTGGGGATTGTCGGGACGAGACGGACTTGCGCCATCGACGGTCGATTCGTCATGCTCCATTGCTGGATCGTTCCTCGGGGTCAGAGGCTTCATTTTATTCTTCCGGATACGACGACCTCCCCGATTCGAACTGCCTAGAACGCATTCGTGGCCGTCCTGAATACACCGTTGGCATGGGGGCATGCCTGGTCGTCCACCACCGGTACTACAGTCTATTAGCAAGACCGAAGCAAGCTTTCGTGACGAGGTGAGACGTACAGAACACATTTGGATTTTCGCTGTCGACAGTGCAAGCACGCCCTCGACACGCGCTTCATCATACGCGTCCGACGAGGCCGGGATCGCGACAGGGGTGTCGCATTCTCCACCGCAACGAGTTGGCCGTCTGGGTACATTTTGCCGGAGTCATCTAAGAAGTTTAAACGACTCACGCAAAGTCTGACTATCTCAAGTCAAGTTGGCACAAGAGGTATGTTCATGTCCCACTGGAGAGATCTCGCGCGGAGCATGAGCGCGCCAAGAACTGAATGATGCGCCCGTACAGTGTTTGCTAGTACAATCCCGGATCTGTGAGGTTATCGGGAGCCGGGGAAAACGCGGGGAGAGAGTCGGCGAACCACGGGCTAGAGGATTGACCTGTATTACTCAACCGCATGTCTGGACTGGAGAGCCGCTTGAAAACAAACTACCAACCTGGGTAGTTATCACAAGAGCTAACTCTGGTACGACCAAGAATCGCTGGTGAATGGGGAGTAGTGACTCCACGGTCAATAACCGACAGATTGCGGGGCTTCGGCAACGGAAGATGCCTATTCGGGAATTCATACAGTCACTGTACCCCGCCAGTGATTGAGTTGCGAGAGTATTTAATAGCAGTCGTCAAGAAGTTACCACATTACAATTGTTGTCGTTAGCTTTAACCTTCGTCGAACCACGTCCTGTACACCTTTCCACATCTACATCATGGCTGCCACCGTCGCGTCGCTCTTCTCGCTGAGCGGGAGAACCGCCATCGTTACCGGAGGCACGAGGGGAATCGGACAGGCAATGGCATATGCGCTCGCAGAGGCTGGTGCCGATATTATCCTGGTTCAGGTATGATTATAATTTGCTGTCTCAACACGTCTCGCCTGGACGATGCACATGATACCGGGACTGACGGGCGCGCAGAGAGACGAGTCCAACACCACAACCCGCGACGAGATCATCAATCGCCTGGGTCGCAAAGCACACATCCACGTGGCGGAACTGTCGAGCCGAGAAGCCGTCAAACACATCATCCCCACCGTGACCAGCCTGGGGTTCACGCCGGATATTCTCCTGAATTGCGCAGGCATCCAGCGGAGACATCCGAGCGAACGGTTCCCGGATGAGGATTGGGACGAGGTGGGTGGCATGACCCTCTTCCTGACAAGTTCCGAGACAGACGCTAACCGTTCCCCCGTGTCGAATCCATAGGTCCTCCAAGTTAATCTGAGCTCCGTCTTCGTCTTGTGTCGCGAGTTTGGCGCCTATCTGCTTGGACGCGATGCCTCCGAGTTCCCGTCCAGCCGTCGTGGCTCCATCATCAACATCGCCTCTCTCCTGTCCTTCCAGGGAGGCATTACCGTGCCGGCCTACGCCGCCTCCAAGGGTGGAATTTCCCAGCTGACCAAAGCGCTCTCCAACGAGTGGGTGGGTCAAGGCATCAACGTCAACGCCATCGCTCCCGGCTACATCGCGACCGACATGAACACGGCCCTCATCAACGATCCCAACCGCAACGTGGGCATCATGGCTCGGATCCCAGCCGGACGGTGGGGTAACCCCGAGGACTTCAAGGGTGCGGTCGTGTTTCTGGCCAGCGCAGCGAGTAGCTATGTTTCAGGGGAGATTCTTTGTGTGGACGGAGGTTGGATGGGTCGGTAGAGAACGGGTAAGCTGTAAGACATTGACCCTCGTCGCAGCTGTCATATCACGGCCTTCTAAGAACAGAAATTAATCATAGCAGTAATAATATTATCATATTTCCGATGTACAAATCCGGCATTGTAGTGCGACCGTTTGAAACCGAGGGTTGGACTGTAATTTCCACCGAGCTGGAGATTTATCCGACTAAAATTGGAGTGCTGAGCAATAGTTGACTATTATACTAGAGTAAGCAGTAAGAGAACGGTTCGTTCCCCGTGACTCCAGGATGGTTTGGGGATTTTTAGCCTCACAGGATGCTTTGATCTTCCTCTTTCTTCCTTCCACCTGTGTCTCCCCCCGTTTCAATTCCTTCCTTCCATTGGTAATTATGGAAAATCATTATGAGTGCTATATTGACAGCCTCGAGGTGTCACAGGCGACTCCTATATCCACCTGCTTCACCGGCTCGCTAACTAGTCGGTCACCTTGTTACTAGGCAGAAGACGCTATCTCGTAGCCAGTGGGTCGCTGCTAGGCTCCTAGTCCGTGTCCAATATGGAGTCGTCGGCTCCATCTGACCTCCCTAATGTGAAACATGCAAGTGCTGGTCGAGTCCGAAATCACATCAGGCATTCACATCCTCTGCAGACATGATGCAGGTGGTTCAGCGTGGCGACTATTCTCGCCGCATTTCTCAGCTGAAAACCGGCTGAGAGAGGAGGGGTTCGGGCGCTTAAAGTCCGGTCGATACGACAATGCACGGCAGTACGGGCATCGGATCTGTAGGGATCCTAGGGAAGGGCGCTACACCAACCGCATCGACCAGGTTTTCCCGTCCCCTGTTGGCGCCCATCACTGGCCAAGACGCTCAGGAAGACCGAGCGAGTAGCAGGGCAGACATCGCCGGCTTGGCGCCTAGCAGGAACGTCTCTCCAGGGCGCCAGATCAGGCTAAACGACACTAATTCCTGGACGGCCAATATTGAATGGCGCGATTACTTGGGTGTGGAGAGGGATCCGCATCTGATCCTTCCAGATTGTTATAGCTTTTGCTTTTAAGGTTTCTGTCTGTCCTGTTGATCGGGTTCAATGGTCTGATGCCAGGAACCTTATGACTTTTCTTGTCTTTTCTGCCCCCTTTCTCCCCTCGAGTTCCTGCAGGGTTGGGTTCTGATCACTCTTTTTATCGTCTCATGTCATTCACAACTGTCGACGGGTTTGGTTCTGGATTCGCATGATCTTTGTCATTCATTCTTTATCCTTCGCATCACCAAACAATCGAAACAATCTCTTTGCAGGCCTATCCCTTGTTTCTTTCATTCCCTTCCGCTATTGTTGGTCTCATTGAGACATTGTTGGCCACCGGGTCTTGGCCACTGGCATGCCCATAGATGTCAAGGTATCTGCCCATCTGGTCTCTCTCTTTTGATTCTCTACATTTTCTCTCTCTTGTTTTCATGAATCCCCTCGTGAAACGACTATGCCATTAAGAGATTGGAGGTAAACTACCATACTCATCCCTTGTATAACGCCGAGGTAATAACCCCACTCAAGTGCCGCGACAAGTCATATCCAAAACAACCCGCCCTGTTCCGGTTGGCCAGGCTGGGATCTTTCTCAGATACCGTTCCGGCGCAGCTTCGCGTCTGAGCATCGTTGAACCCATCTCAACTTCGAAAAGAGGACCACGAGTCGGCAGATAACTCGGCCCTCCACGCGGCGACTGACGGGCCTTTGGTTTCTGCAACTTCGTCCGACGTGTTCCTAGGACACCGCGTGCCTGTCCCCGCATTCCGGTTGTTTCCCTGCCATTCCGAATTCTTCTCTCGACCGATGACATATGGGACTTGTCTGGAATCCGATCGTTCATAACACCCTTTTTAAGCCGTATCGTCGCCCCCCACACACACACACTCGTTCTCTTATCTGTGCTGGGCCTCCCTCGCAACGCTATCACCCGTCTCGTCAGGCCGTGAAAATACCACGTTTCGATGGATGGCCTCGATCAACATATCGCCCCCAGAGGCTACGGATCAAATGCCACTTATGTTTATGAATACTCTCGGGGCCTGAACGGGGTCCACGTTCCACGCGATGTCCTTTACACGCGCATCATTCTGGGCTCTCTCCTCTTGATCGCCCTCGTCATCTTCTGCGGCCGAATCGCCCAAATCAGCCATGCCTATCTCCGTTTTATCACCTCCCTGTCCGCCAGCCGGCGGCAACAAACGTTCTGGAGCGTCGAAGCTTCCCCCACCTGGGCCCGTCTGAAGAAGCATGTGATGTACGCGCCGCTAGGGAGGAAGAGACACAACCGAGAGATCCAGCTATCGTCGGCGGTCAATATCGGAACGTTGCCGTCCCGGTTCCAGGCGGTCCTGATCTTTCTCTACGTGGCCAGCCAGATCGCCTACTGTGCCACTTTGGACTACCGCGTCAACAAGAAGGAAGCCCTCTTTGCCGAACTCCGGGGCCGATCGGGAACGCTGGCCGTTCTGAACATGGTCCCTCTTTTCATCTTCGCCGGGCGCAACAACCCGTTCATTTCGCTGCTGCGGGTCAGCTTCGACACCTACAACCTCCTCCACCGATGGCTGGGCCGCATCGTGGTGCTCGAAAGCGTGGTGCATACCGCCGCGTGGGCCGTCAATGCCTGCAACGAGCAGGGCTTCAACGACATGCTCTCGCGCCTGCGGACGACTCCCTTCTTCACCTGGGGTCTGCTGGGCACGTGTTCGATGGTCTTTCTCTGCCTCCACTCCCCCTCGCCGATCCGGCACGCCTTCTACGAGACCTTTTTGCACCTGCACCAGCTCGCCGCCTTGCTGGCGTTTCTCGGCGTCTACGTCCACCTCGACCTCGACAACCTGTACCAGAAGAAGTGGGCGACCGCGATCGCCGTCATCTGGCTGCTGGAGCGATCCGTGCGGCTCGGCCGCCTCCTCTACCTCAACGTCTCCATCCGACACGGCGCCACCAAACTCGTCGTCGAGGCCCTCCCCGGGGAAGCCTGCCGCGTGACCTTCCACCTCCCGCGCCGAGTCCGCGTCAACCCCGGCAGCCACGTCTACGCCTATATCCCCAGCGTCGCCCTCTGGACGTCCCACCCTTTCTCGGTCGCCTGGGTCGATCCCATCAGCGCGATGAGCCCCTTCTCCTCACACACCGAATCTCCGACCTCCCCTTCCCTTCTCGAGAAACAACCCCCCGCGATCTGAACACTTATCTCGAACAACAACAACCCCGCAACCCGCACCAACCCACCTCCGTCTCCCTCATCATCACCGCCCGCCAGGGCATGACCCGCAGCCTCTACAACCGCGCGCTCGCCGCCCCCGCCAAGACCCTCCGCACCACCGGCTACATCGAGGGGCCGTACGCGGCCCGCCCCGTCAACTTCGCCAGCTACGGCACCACCGTGCTCTTCTCCGCCGGCGCCGGCATCACCCACCACACGCTCTACGTGCGGGACCTGATCCTCCGGGCGGCCGACGGCTGCGTCGCCACGCAGCAGATCCACCTCGTCTGGTCCGTCCGCAACACGGAGCACCTCACCTGGGTGCGCGAGTGGATGGACTCGGTGCTCCGGCTCCCGGGCCGCCGCGACATCCTCACCGTCCGCCTCTTCGTCTCCAAACCCCGCAGCAGCCGCGAGATCGTCTCGCCCAGCTCCACCGTCCAGATGCTCCCCGGCCGCTGCCGGCCCGACGTCGTCCTGGATGAGATCCTCCCGGGACGGGTCGGCGCCACCCTGGTCTCCGTTTGCGGGCCTGGCGCGTTTTCCGACGAGGTGCGCGCTGCGGCCCGGGGGAAGATCGGGAGCGGACCGGTCGTGGATTTCGTCGAGGAGGCTTTTACCTGGTAGATAGATTTCCCTTTTTTTTCCCTTCCATTTACATCGTTTTCACCTTTTTCTCTTTCTTACTTTCCTTTTCACGACTTGGTCGGCTGGCTGGCTGGTGTTTTTGGAGCGAGGCTGTCTTATCTGTTTGGGTCTCGTTTGTGTTCTATGTGTTCTGTCGACATAATTTTGGGATGTACATTCTTTAGTATTACTGGCAATAATCAGGCGTGGACTCGTTTCCATGGGCACTGTCTTGGATAGGCACAGTTATTACCACTAGATAGAAATCAAAATACTTCGATATATACAACCTTGACACAATATCCATATGAGTACAAACAAATAGGGAGACGGAATTACCTAGTTTACCGGTGCAATTTGACGATGTCTATGTAGTATATGTGGAAGCAGTCATTGCAATCGTTTGGCATGTCAGCTGACCTGCGGTCTTCTTCCCACACAGTTGACCGTTTGTATTGTGATCAATCTTTCAATAAACATAAGTAAGCTTTCCCAACGCTCTGAATATCATCAATTTCATCCTTTCGGGCGTCTTTCCATCCCTTATTTCCACAGGTAATACTATGCCAATGGACTTGACGATAACATGACAAGATTGGCGAACATGGAATACAGAAACCTATCGAAGAGAGAGTCCGAATCTGCCAGAAGAGAAAAACGAAGAACAAAGGAAAGAAACAATCGGGGCTACTTTGCAGTCGGCGACAGACCACGCTTGACCGGTTGTATCCACTGCTATCTTCCACAGTATGCACAGTTGACAGTCCGGCTCAATATGGGGGTTTACTTGCAAGATCCCCAAAACTGACCTCATCCAGCACGCCAGGTGGTCATGTATCATGCTCTGGGGCTGATATCCCCAAACCATGAAGGCTTGACCTGACTGATATCCCAAACATCAGGTAGCCCAATTTCATCCATTCGCCTTGATGTAGTCCAGTATTTTCTCGACTTGAGTAATACCAGTTGGGTCATCGATGTCGATCGTGCCTTGATGAAGCGGCACTAACTTTTCACCGTCTGGTAACTCTCCATTGAATCGATAGAATCTCACCTTCTTGCCAATTGCGAGCGCACCAAATAGTCTGTCAGAAGCGTACAAACCCATGACAGTGTTGTCCCAGTCGGCCGGAGTATCCATGGATGGACGTTTGCATTCAATCGACAAGATGCGGCGCTCCGCCCAGTCGTTTGAAGCACTGGGATCCTGACATAATGCTTTGACTTGGACGACTGTGATTACGGGCATATTGTTGTTGGCGAGCGTGGGGCCTTTGAAGTTCCACTTGTAGCCGTCGCGACCAGGGAACCACTATAGCACTATCTCCTGCCAGCAGACTTGGACAGAGTCTTCTAGGCTGTGTGGTTGTATCAACTGCAAAGTATTGCGGAAGCCGATATTACGTTGCAATGATGGACTATAGGCAGCCATGGTGGTCCAATTGAAAAAGAAAGATGGAATGAACAGAAAAGAAAAGGTGACTGGGGAGTAACGTCCAGGTCGTTAAGTACCTCTGAATCCGGCCACCATCGCATTAAGCATCGAGTATCAGCGGTAAGTGGGCGTCAAGGTACGTGACGTACCTTATGGGAGAGGCCAATGGGGAGGATAGAGTTGCTGTTATTCGCACCTTCCTTTTCAACCACCTGAACAGACCGTGTGGCTGGCGTGTAGGAAGGTGCGATTGTACTCGGCTTGCACTTGAGATGGAAAGAACTCGTCTGATATCTTGCCGAATACGGCCAGGAGTTGTCATGATATCCTTTGCATTCCTCTTACTGCAACATCTTATTCCTCCTCATGTCGGTAAACTGCTTTGGCTCCACGCCTGTGTCCTTCATTTCATATCAACTGAATGGCTCCTAATATCTACTGTCCTTTTTGTGGAGTCATTCTGCTGCCCGATCCCTACGAGTTCGATAATCCCCAGTCTCCACAGGTCCGCGTCCGCCCATGGTACACACAAGCACGAGGTCTCTACACCACGAATGCCGCGACGGACCGCATTTCCATAACTGGAATAGGGATAGTACAAGACAGAGAAATTCTCCTCGCGCCGCCTGACAGCCATACATCGTACATCGATGGGGAATGGGGGGCCCTCGAAGAATGGGGAATTCGCGACCCGGATGAAGGCCGTTGGTGCTTCTGCTTTCACGACTCATGCTGGAGATTGCTGCTTCTGAGGCTGGGCCACGGACGGAGCGATGGTCCCCTCGACCAACAAGCCATTGCAGAGTCGGTCTTCTACCAGCTCTACTGCACCCCTTTCCATATGAGCTCCAGCTTCCAATTCGGCCACAATTATTTGGGTGCCGTGGAAACGCACAAGCCGCTTGGAGACCCCAAACCTGTCGACCCGAACTCCTTCTTCTACGCTGACCCCTGTGCGATCCCCTCCGCGCATGAATTGGAAATGATCGCGACCAACTCCCCCAAGATAACGGGCGGTCCGTTGCAGAGTACTACGACCGCGGCGAACAATGCTGACCACCACCAAGGGGGTGCTCATTTAGAGGGCAATGACGATCGGTGTTCGCCCCCATGTTCTGATGACCTGAAAGGGGAGGTTCTTGAGCCGCCGGGGGGGCGCAAGCCACATGGTTTTGAGAGACTTCCAAACGAGCTGATCTGCTGGATCCTCTCCTATCTACCCTTCCGCGACTTCCTGAAGATGAGACTCATATGCCACAATCTAGCCCTTTTTTCAAAAATCAATGCGATGCCACAGTCGTACTGGCGGAGTAGGTTCTACTTTGGTCAGGAGGCTGACTTTCTTTTCCCGAATCTGACGGATCAACGAAACTGGTTTCTTCTTTTTTTCGGAACTAAAATACACATGACGAGCGGAGGCTTGTCGCTGGCCAACAGGTTGAGAATCCGCCGACTGTTAGGACCTATTGCTGTTCTTGTGGAAACTGGGTCTACCTTTCGGCATGTCCCACATGGGATTGCGGTGCACCCTGCGCATGACGACCCCAACTGTTCCCAGCTAATAAACGACGAGAGCATCGAAGGATTGCCTCACTTCGTAAATGTGGTTAGATCCTTTTCCGGACAGGTAGTCACCATTCGGCCTGACCATCTCCTACATGAAGGATGCCGTGTGCTTTACTACAGGACTGTGCTTTACTCCAGGTCACAACTATCCAAGCCGCCGCATGGGCAGCATCAGCGCCGATGGGGCATCTCAATGGTAGGGATCGGTGCACAGTTCTTTATATCAGGAATCGACCTCCGCGTCTCGGGGGAGTGCGACGCCAGCGGCGGTCGTCTACTCGGCTACCACAATCCGGCGGCCATGAAGTGGGTAGAGATACCGTCTACCACCCCCATCAGAGCCCTAGGGGTAGCCTTTCGCTCGGGAGGGCTGACGGGGCTCAATTTGATATCCCCAAACTCCTATTCATCGGGTTGGGTCGGTGTCAGCAATGGTCCGGGAGTTTCAATCGGCACCCTTGTAATCCCGGAGGGGAGAGGTCAGTATTGTCTGCTCGCAGGCTTGGATCATTTAAAGATCGTTTCACTCGGTTTCGGCGAGTTGGCCGACCACTGCGAAGGCCATCTCGAACTTCCCTGTGCGTCCATTCAAGATCTCTCTCGTGTTTATTCCCATCTATGGACGCCGCCTCCCCCTGGGCACGAGAACCTGACAATTGGCACCATTTTACCACGCCAGCCATCCCAGGCTTTTGAACCGTTGATCAATATCGACTTCGGTGGCCCACAAGGTGTGCTTCTCGGATCTTTGACGAGACTTGCATTCCACATGGCATCCCGTCCGTACCCGCTCATGGGAATAGAGGTCTCTTATTCAGATGGAAGATATATGCTTTTCGGCTCTCGTAGTGGATGTGTTCTCTCGGTTTTTGTCAACGGTCCGGAGGGAGAGCGCATCAACCATATCGGTATTTTCGAACACGATCTGGATGATTATTCCGAAGCTACTACGCTGGATGGCTTGCGGGTCTCGCACATTGTCCCCAAGACTTCGTGTATAATGCTAATCTTGACCCAGGTGTCGACGAATTTTGGACGAATGGCCGCGTTCGCCCCCCTTCATACCCGGTCCAATGCAGTAACAAGGGAGATACTTGCTCCGCCGCATGGTCATACCATCACAGGATTCACTGCCGTCGAGCGAGTATGTATCCAAATCCTTGTACATCCGAGTGGCAGCTGAATACTTTCAGAAGCACCACGGTGGTTTGACTCGAGTTGGTATTCAATCCCAACCGTGTGGCGAGCAGCCCCCGATACCGAGCATCTCAAATCACGAATGCCACCTGGCGCGCGAGGACCAGCTTCAATACGACGTCGTATTCACCTTTCTCATCAGAAGCATCAACCCCGATAATTTTCAGACCTACGCGTCACTGAAGAACGTCCGGAGGATCCAGGCGTCGACAGGCATCGAAGGCCGGTCTAGATCCACCACGCATATAGCGGGCCTGAAGCTCGAGTACCATGGCCACCCTAGCCCAGGAATCGTCGGACAGTGGATGAGTCTACTCGACGACAGTTTTGAGCTCTCCCCGGGCGAGGACATCCAGACGTTAACAACATGGCTGACGCCGATGGACACCTCTACAGAACCCCCCACAATGAAATTCGGCCAAGTCGTAGCCATCCACATCGAGACAACGCGTTCTCGCAGCGTAATGTTCCGCTCCCCCGGGTTTCACTCCCTCCCTCCCCGTAAGCTGCGAAGCCAATACCGGGCCAGCTCCGGCGAGACACTAACAGCCATCTCCTGGATAATTAACGCAACCCTTGATAGCGTCCGAGCAGTCATCACCGCAAACACACCAGCACGTCGCGCACAAATTCCCATCCCAGAACCAAACGCCCCCTTCGATCAGATCTGCAAACTAGACTTTGAGAGACTCCCCACTCCCGATAGCACCACCAACAGCAGAGACCCCCTCGCTACAGCCGAAGCCTACTACGGCCACCGCGCAATCATCGGCCTCGCCTTCACCTACACCTCCGGTTCAAAAGCCAGCATCGGTGACCAGGGCCTCGACCTCGACACCGTCACGCGCAAAGCAATCCATTTCGCCCCTCACGCTCGCATCGTCGGCCTATTCGCATGTATCGTCGAGACCGGTCTCACAGAACTCGCATTCAAGGTCAAACTCGACCAGCCCGCGCAGTCTCGATACGAAACGCTCGTGCTGGCGAATACTCCGCCCGGTGTTGACCCTGTCGCGTACGGCTTGGGGGACGTCTGGTCCGAAGACGATGGTGCATTTGTGCAACAGATCCGCCATCCGGGCTTTCCCCAGAATAAGATCTTTGTGGGTCCGGCGCAGACGAGGCTGGTTGGGATGTATGTTGGGTGTCGGTGTTTTCAGCACGTCGGGTTGGTGTATGAGCCCGAGGATGTTTTGGAGGATATTTAGGTGGTATTGTTACTGAAGGTGATTGGGAATGTGGTGTACAGGAGTTGGTTATGAGGCAAGTTTTACTATCAGGGCTCGAGTGTATTATTGTACCACAGAAAGTATTTGTCTATTTATTATATTGTGTATTGTCTAGAAAGGTGTAGAAGCTTCTGGCTTTATGGTACAAACGTAACGCATGGCACGTGGTGATATCAAGAGGTGTTGCAACAGATAAAATGTGTAATAAGATGTGAATAAACAAGAGAAGAGAATAGAAGAGAGAATATAAGAGAAATAAATATAAACATCTATAAAGGTGAATCAAAAGACAAAGAAAAAGTAAAGAAAAAGAAAAAAAAAAAAAGAAAAAAAAAAAAGAAAAACAAATTAATAATTAAGAAAAAAAAAGATTCTAAGCCTTCTTCGACTTGGGCACTCTCGCAAGCCAGTAAATAAACACGGCACCCGCAATATTAAAAGCGATAAAGACCCACATCAGGCCAAAGTTGCGCCAAGCATCGCCGTAGAAGCTGTTCACTTGGGCCAGGAACGAATCTGTCTTGCTCATGGAGCAGAAAGAGCAGTCGGACATGGCGTCGGGATTACTGAGGTAGCCGCCAGCGGTGAAGTCGCCCTTGCCGGCCATGACGATGTAGTTTTGCATGTACTCGGCGCAGGTCTTGCCGGGAGGCGGGTTGAAGGAGAGGAACTCGACCTTATCGCAGACGGCCTTTGCGCCCGACACGCCGGTGGAGAGCATGCCGGAGACGAGGTAGGTGAAGGGGGAGACGCGGTACATGAAGATCCAGAAGCCGGGCATGTTCTGCGGGGTGGCGAGGACGCCGCAGAAGATGAGGCAGAGGGAGAAGAGGAGGTTGGCGAGGTTGCCGCCGGTCTCGGCGAGCTCGATGCCGGCGATCATCATGTGGGCGAAGGTGGAGGTGAAGAGGAGGAAGGACAGGATGAGGAGGAACATGAGGCCGCCGCGTTCGGGGACGGACTGCGGGGACTCGATGGCGTTGCGGTAGAGGCCGATCGGGTAGTACCAGCAGACGAAGACGAAGACGGCCATGAGGGCGTTCCAGGGGAGTTCGACGATGATGTTGGCGGTCATGAAGGCTTGCCAGGAGTAGGCCTTTGAGGGCCGCTCGCGGGCTTCGTAGAGGGAGCGCTGGGTGCAGAAGTTGGGCATGATTTGTTGGACGAGGTTGCCGAAGATGGTCATTAGCATGAAGATGCTGAACATTTGGTTTTGGAGGCCCTGTTGGGAGTTGTTGGCCTGGAAGAAGGAGAAGCCGATGTAGAGCGCCGAGAGGATGCAGAGGGCCGCTTTGGAGTAGATGTAGATGGGCGTGCGCCAGTACTGGGAGAAGACGCGGAGGAGGCATTCGCGGAGCTGGGCGCTGAAGGGGGCGGCGAATTCGTTGTAGCTGCCTGCGTCGGCTGTGGATGATGAGTCGACGGGCTTTTGCTGCAGGGTGGTCTTGAGCTCGCCGAGGTGGTTGAGCACGCCCTGGCGCTCGGGGCTGTCGCGCCAGACGGTGGGCCAGTCGATGTCGCTGTGGGAGCCGGGCGCGGCGCCGATCACTTCCAGCATCCATTCGGCGGGGTTGGCTTCGGCGGGGAGCTTCTGCGCGCCGTTCTTCTCGAAGTAGTTGGACAGGGTGGACGAGTTGGTTCCGATGTCGCCGAAGTAGACGGTCTTGCCGCCCTTGGCGAGGAAGAGGAGACGGTCGAAGCGCTGGAAGAGCATGGCCGAGGGCTGGTGGATGGTGCAGAGGATCGCTTGGCCGTGTTTGGTCAGGGTCTCGATGAGATCCAGGATCGACCAGGAAGTCTGACTGTCGAGACCGGAGGTGGGCTCGTCCAGGAAGAGAAGCAGTTGCGGCTTGGCGGCCAGTTCCACACCGATGGTCAGACGCTTACGCTGTTCCACATTGAGACCTGTACACTATTAGTTTCACGATTGGGAGGATAGTGTTTTGTGGGGGGGGGGGGGGGGGGGGGAACGCACCTTCACCGGGAACACCAACAACGGCATCGGCGTAGGAGTCCATTCCGAGAAGCTTGATGACCTCTTCGCAGTAGTCGAGCTTTTCCTGACGGGAGACATGGGCGGGTTGACGAAGCAAGGCACTGAAGCGCAGCGCCTCGCGGACCGTAGTAGTGGGAAGGTGGAGATCCTGCTGCTGCACATAACCAGTCTTCCGCTGGAAGGATTGATCACGAGCGCGGCCGTCGACCAGCATCTCACCGGTCACGACTCCCATGGTGACACGGGTAGCCAGCACATCCAGAAGCGTAGTCTTACCGGCACCCGACACGCCCATGAGCGCGGTACAGGTGCCAGGCTTGATCCATCCGTCCACGTGGTCGAGAATGCGGCGCGTTTCGCTCTTGATTTTGACGTCGTAGCACACGTCTTGCCAGTGGAAGATGGCCTCCTGTCTCTGGATGGCGGCCGTTTCCTGGGGTACCGATTCGGCGGTCTTCTCGGCGCCGCTCGACGAGGAGCCGCTCTCCTCGTCGCGGGACGAAACTGCGGTGTGGCCGCGACGGAAGAGCAGTACCTCACCCTTCGACTTGGCCTCGGAGATGTATTCGGTGGTCATGAGATGGGTCGTCAGGAAGAAGGCCATGAACGCAAACATGATGCCGAGGTTCCTCCACTTGTGGCCGACGAAATACTCGAAGCTCTTGGCGAGGAACTCGGTACCCTGGACCGTCGATTGCCCACTCACGGCACCGACAGTCGAGCAGACTGAGTATTCCAGTTCAGTGTACCCAGGACCAGCGGGGACAAACATTTTCTGGTTGCAGGGGAATTCCCGGGCGTGGAACTCATTGACCATCAAACTTTCGAAGCCGTACGCGATGGGGTTGATGTAGTTCATCCACCGGGACCAGCCAAGCATATTCCGCGTGGGAATCGTGAAACCGGTGTAGGTGACCAGGCCCAGGATCAGGACCGCCGCGGGCACCAGGGCCTGCGACAGAGTGCGAGAGCTGGAGGCGAGCGTGCGGAACAGCATGGACATGGTCAACGTGGTGACGAACGAGAAGAGCAGGAACGTGAAGAAGGCCCCTGGGGTTTGACGAAGACCCGTCATGAAATAAAGCGTGACGTTGAAGGTGACCGCGTTGGTGAGCTTGTAGGGCATATCACAAAGCATTGACGCGATCGCTTCCGCGAACGGGTGATACATGGCGTACCGGGACTGCTTTTCGACAATTGGGCGTTGAGCGTACAGGGTGAGAATCTAGGATAGCGAGTTAGCGTCGTGGGATAATGGGGCCGATGGGAGGGAACGCCTACCTCGAGGGCACTGGAAAAGGCGTTGAGCAGGACGGCAAAGAAAAGCAGAGCACCACGGGAGAAGAAACTATTCGTGTCCTCCTTCATCTGGAAGAAGACACTGCCGATGATCAAGGCCATGATGAAGTTACCGATTAGCTGCGACAAGGTCAAGCTGGCATCACCCTTCAGGCGCTGGAAGCCTCGAACCATGCACAGACGGACTTGCTCATAAATCGACACGGTATACGGCGATTTCACGCGCCTAGAGGGGTTTAGAGGTGGTCAGGCAAACTTGATGTGCGAATTCACTCACTGGTTCCGGGCCTGCATGGCTTTGCGAGACTCGACGAACTTGCCAAGGGCTTCTCCGTGGAAGGGGAACTCCTTGCTGTATTCGTCGATCTCCTGTCGAAGCTGGCGGTGGGCATCACTCTGCTTCCAGACGGCCGCAAACTCATCGGCCGTCTGGGGGACGCGGCCCTCGAATCCGGGCTTTACGATCCGCTCCGCCGGGCTAGTGAGGGAGGTCAAGAAATCGGCGGTGGTCTGACGATCTGGGCAGTGGAATCCCATGTTGGTGAAGAACTCCTTGGCGTCTTCGGTGCGACCAAAGTAGATTTGTCTGCCTTCGTAGAGGACGGTCACCTTGTCGAAGACCTGTGTCATGGGTTAGCTTGTGCACGTTGGCGAACAAAAGGCGGGGAAGGAGAATGGGGAAACATACGTCGTAGGCACTCTGCGACGCTTGGTAGATGGCAACGGCAACGGTTGCACCCGCATACTTGGTCATCAGGTTCAAGGTCTTGCAAAACTCCAGGGCGTTGGCGCTGTCCAGTCCACGGGTACTGTTGTCCCAGCACTGGAGAGGACTGCCGCTGAGGGTCACCTCGGCGATACTGACACGCTTGCGTTCACCGCCACTGACCCCGCGGACGAAATCGTTGCCGACCTTGGTATTCAAGGTGTGCGACAGGCCCAGCATGGCCATGACGACGTCCCGCATGTGCTCCGCATACTGATCCTTGGACACGCCGGGCAGACGGTTCCGCGGGGCGCGGGTCAGGGCGGCAAACTTCAGGGTGTCGCCCACCGACAGCTGGGGAAAGTGCACGTCGGTCTCGGCCGTGTAGATGGCCTCGCCTCGGAACTGCTTGCGCATCTGCTTGGCGGAGATACCCTGGTAGTTGAGTTGGGACTCGGAGTCCATGTGGAGACCGTTCATCTCGCCGGCCAGGGTCTTGAGGAAAGTCGAACAACCACTGCCGGGACGACCCAGGACGACCAGCATCTCGCCGCTCTTGACGAGGCCGTCAAACTCGTTGAGGATCTGGATCTTCTGCTTGCCAGAGCCCACGAGGGTCCGAGCCAGCGCGCCGACCTGCAGGACGGAGTTGAAGACATCCTTCTGGTAGTCGGTGGGACTGCCAAAGCCGTGGACGCTGAGGTTCTGGAAGGCCACGCCGGCCTGGCGTTTCGGGTAGCGTTCGGGGTCCCGCGACGACAGGGCCAGCAGGTTCTTCATCCAGTTCTTGGAGCTGAAGTTGGGGCCGTGCGGGTTCAAGGTCGAATCATCCGGGGTACCGAGGAAGGGGTTCACGTTATTGTCCATGGTGGAGAAGCGAGTGGACTGGCGGGTCAACTGTCGGGCCAGATGGGAGACCTTGGCCTCGCGCACGTGCTCCTCGCTGACCTGGCTCATCCGGCTTTGCTTGTCGCTGTAGGATTCATCATGGCTCTCGGCCATGGTATCGGCCATGCTGATATGGCTGCCTTGTCCCTCGTGGTCGGCGTAGGCGGGCGAGTCGTCCGGCATCAGGGCACCTTGCTCCTGGCCCACACTATCCCGTCTACCCGATTCCACCGTCCGCGAGGGGTTCGGATTCGGGTTAATCGCGCCGAAAACATTCATGATGACGATGAGGGCGAGACACGAAGTCTCTGATCAGGTCGGAAGCCAGACAATGAGTATGAGTATATTATATAGATCGTGATCTGAGAGCTTTCAATCAAGAATAGGGGAGGGAGGAAGAGAAGGGGAAGGATGAGCAAGGAGAGTCACAGAGGGAGATGACGAGGGGAAGAAAAGGAAGAGAAGGAAAAGAGGTCAGGATGAGATAAAAGAGCGTTCAGCCTAAGGTCATGTAGCTAAATCTCTATCGCAATCCCTGCGGGATGACCGTATTCCGGTCGTATTCTTATATAAAGGAGAAAAAGATTAGGGGGAACCGAGTTCACAAAAGACCCGCCGAGGTCTGGAACTGGATTGATGGATGAAATTGGCGAATCGGGTGGAGGCAAAGGAGCGACCCGGATCCATAATGGTTGTTAGTGTTTGGTAGAGACTAAACAGTACTAACTAAGTAGAGTCTGATACTCGGACAAGAAACAAACCCGAGTTCCTCCACGTTCTGCTGGCTGCCTGACCAGGTGTCAACGGAGGGAGAACGATCCGTGATCGGGATCTTTGTCCACCGATACTATACGGAGTACTCTCTTACTCTCGGATTTGCCACTTTCTTTTCTGATATTGTAGAATAATGTGTACTTGTCCAAGACTCGGACTGAATATATCCACGTATCTGTGCAAATGTCAATATCATCAATCAACTACCTATCTGGATGTACAATGTACATAGTCTAGATAGATTGACACATTCCACAAAATGTTCCGGAGCATAAACGTGGCAAGCATTAACCCAAACCAGTTTAGTGGGGAAAGTACCCGAGACGTCTCACATTGTGCTGGCGGGGCGGAATGGTGGCCTTCCGACCGTTGGTTTCTTACCGTACCGTTCTCGGATCCGGATGGAAACGAACCCGTCTCTTATGTGCATAATTCTCTGTCATCAACCACAATCCAGGATCCACTCGGCTGTCACTCCCATCCGATCCCCAGACCCCATACACAATCAACTACGGAGTACATAGTATGTCCCTAGTAAATACACTAGACCGATTATACCATATAACCAGCTCAGTCATTATAATTAGCCCAAACAGGGGTACCGGCGCACAGATCGAGTCAGCAGGGAACACGACAGATTGAGTCAGAGCTCGGACGATGGCCTTCCATCATCGAACCATCCCACGGAGATTGGGATGGCGAACTGCACTGACTCATTGATGGGCACTGGTAAAAATGCTTCTCCAGGCATAGCGCTATCCTGTGCTTGGCATCAATTCTGACTACTATGTTTTATTCAATCCTTGATCAGTCAGCTCCAATCTAGTTAATACCATTCTCTTTTACTTCTCATGTCTTATGTCTTATATTTAGTAGTAAAATTGTCATATTGGTGGCCTTATTAACGTTCAGATATACTAGAGCATCTACATCACGTGAGGAATATCGCTGTGCCTACATTCTAATACCTACAAGTCTCTTCTGCGTATACGCTTCACTCCCGGATAGACCGTCGTGAATACTTACCAAATTCGCAAAATTATCTTCTCAGATGGCAGACACTACGGAACGGCTCCAGCCTACCCCGTCTGAATTAAACCATGCAACAGACAAGTCCCGCTCATACTGGCAAGCCCTTGCCGATGAAGTTATTGCTCCTCACGAACAAGGAACCATTCCCCAGAATATCACGCTCCACGATATGCTTGGTCAGGTGCCCGCAATGCCTGATACGCCGCTAGATATATACCAGATTTCTCTCGGTCCCGATTCTACTAAGAAAGCTATTCTGACTGCAGCATCCTCCACAATGCGCCCCACCGACGATGCAGCATGCGGTGTTGGCGAAACCCTCAAGGTCACTCGAGCGGCTCTACTGATGGGTGTTCGCGCACCAATCTCGTGTAATTGGACTGGGGCTAGCTTTGGCCAAGAGGCTATGGCTGACGATGGGAGCCGAGGCCGGCCGAACTATGTAGGGGTCGTGTCGCTTGCATGGTCGTATATTTTGTCCGTTCGTTTACTGGAACTACAAAAGCACGACGGCGCTGAAGCTGAGTACACGAACTCTACAGCGAGTTGGTGTTCTTCACACGATGTGTGTGCTCCTGGATCGGCTTCTACCATCAATATCGGCAACGTAGACGCACATGCCGCCCGATGGTGGGCGGCTATACTAGCCCCCGGACGAGGTTGGAAGGTAATTATCACCCAACAGGGAAACGAAGCCTACTTCGCACCGTGGTCTCTTTCTCTAGAGCTCGACTCATGTCCGAGCATCGTATGGGCAGATAATGGGCCCCTTCCGCAGGACCCTACTATTTACCCACCTCCTTCATCCCGAACAGCTCTCGAATTCCTTGTCGGAATCTGTCTGCTCCACGACCTCGGTAGTCAATTCCATGCAGGCTTTGCAGCAGCATTGACTTTTCCCACCCATAGTCATTATCAGAGGGCTGTTGAACTACCGCTTCCATTTAGCAACAGCAACCACCAAAGATATCCTCCGTCTGAGCAAACCACAACAGACCAACTGGCTATCTACGAGTCTCTTTCCTTTTATCTAACCCTCAGTTGCAATCACAGCGTCATAATGTCCAGTCTCTGCGGGTCATTCTGGGAGCCTAGCATCCCATGCAATCTCGTCACCCCGTGGCTCCATCCCATCCTAAACGAAGTATCGCAAAGACCCGAGATACTCAATACCCCAGGACGCTATGCTGAAATCGTAGCTCTCATATGCGGTATCCGTCGACCGCGCCTTTCTTCCCTCTGGATTGGCGCTGCTATAAGCGGCCTAATACCCAAAATCACAGCTCTAGTCAAGGGCGGTACGCCTCCTCTCGACCCCAACGGCTATCCGTGGACAGGTTGTCCGCAAGGCTTTATGGACTTGGCGGGTTCAGGCCCATATCTATATCGCAATCCCTCGAACCAAAACCTTATCCGAAGAGTTGACATATGGCGTCTGTTGTATCTTCCCGTTTTAGAGGACGACGGTCTGTATTATGAAAGTCTCCCGTTTTCCCCGTGGGAGCCTGTCGGGCAGAGTATAGAGCTGAATTGCGCCCTGCGCGTGAGAGCACACCGGCTCTGTTCTAGACATCGCCTTCTCTATGAACATTGGACTTGGAATCTATTAGACGGGTCGAAAGTCCAGGACAGGGGGTTTACTTCTGTCAGGCGTCAGAACAGTCCGCGGAACTTTCTCGTATTCTCCAAGTCAGCACCAAGTGACAACGCGCGTCCAATTATGCCGCTCGCGCAAGACCAGGAGGCGTCGCGTGAGGCATCCATAGCTGTATTTGAATGGGTGCTTGCAAATCACGAAGGCCGACCCCCTTCAGAACCGATCTATGATGATGAATGGATAGCGCACTGTACTGCCTACGATGATGATTCAGACTTGGGTATGGGTATTGAACCTACTGATGAGGAATGATTCCCCGCGGAGTCAACCTCGAACCTCTCGGGCAACAACGGTGAGAATCGTGTAGCAGTGGGATGTCGGATCAGTGATTGGATGGACAACATTCCCTAATCATCCAATATCCATTGGGAGACACATCCTAAGCCATATATGGTTGTGTTTTCATGATCCGGCATCAAGTAAACAGAAAAAGTGGCCAATCTCCCACTCGCCGGTGATGGTCAATCGATCACCAAGTACGAACATTTACTGGCTCCAGAGTAGGACTAGGGCTAAATGAGAGCGGAAATAAATCAGATATGAGAAATAAAAAGAAAGAAAAAAAATGCTTGACAAGGCAGGGGTTCGAACCCTGGACTCATTACGAAGCAGGGTTTTTCACGCCAACTGTGAACAGTAGCGCTGCTTAAATCTGCCGCCTTAACCACTCGGCCACCTTGCCATTTTAGCAATTAGGATATTCGAGGTTTCGATCCTTGTCTTTACCTTTTCTTTGCTGTTTAAGGAAGACCAGCCCTAGGTCCAGCAGATAATAACTACTCTAACTATAATCTATACTACCTTCCATCTGGATGATGATTCTTAGTGGTAAGGCTTGCATCCTTGATTAGACATACTATCTTATTCTCAATAATGGCGGTGGAACAATTTCCTCTGGAAGATTATCCCGTCGCTGTCGCTCCAGTCCAGTTTGCAGATCCAGGGCAAGATCTTCGTGTCTGTCATTATATTTACCATACTGGATTAAAGCTAGACTGTGGCTCTCCTGGGCCTCTATGGCGCCCGCGGGAGCCCACTGATACAGATTCAAATACTAATACAGTCAATCGCTACGAATCATCCTCCCCCTCCTCATCACTCTCGTCCACGATCGGCTCCACCAGCAGATTCCCCCCACGCCCGATCTTATCTTGAACCGTACCCCCGGCTTCAACCTCGTACACGACACGCGGCATGGGCGACACCAGTCGGAATCCATACTGGTGCTCAAACCCGGCCGGCTTCTCCGCCCCAGTCGCCTGTCCCTGCGCATCCTGGAGAAGGTCGTAGCATTCGACGAGTGCGTAGAGCTCCTCGATGTCTGCGTCCGGGGCAAATTTCCGGATCACCCGCTCGCCCGTGGGCAATCGGAGGCTGACGCGCACGGCATCCTTGACGTCGGACCCGGGCTCGTCGGCGATGGATTGCACGCGCCACTGCTTCCACTGCTGCAGGTCTTGTTGTCGCTTCTCCTCAGCGGCCTCGCGCTCGGCCATCTCCTGCGCCTCCCGCTGCTGCGCGGCTTCCGCCTCGCGCCGCTGCCGCGCCCGTTCCCGGTCGATGGCCAGCGAGCGCTCGTAGGCTGAGTCCTGCTCCTGCCGGAGGCTGCGCGAGGCTTGTTGTTCGGCCCGCGTGGAGCGCAGGCGGTCGAGCGGCTCACGGTTCTGCGAAATCGCGGACCGGAGCTTTTCGATGAACTCTGCCGGGGACGTGGTTCCTGCGATCCGCGAGACGACCGACATGGCTGTCGAGGACACGCCGGGGGTGTGCACGATGGCAGCTGCAAAGGGGAACTTGGTGCATCGGAGGGAGTTGGAGACCTGGTAGGCTTCGGAATCCTGGATGTTGCCGCCCCAGACGATGACGCCGTTCTGCGGGTCGTTGACAAAGTCGACCACCTCGCGCGAGAGCAGCGTGTCGCGGACCCAGCCGTTGGTGTCATCGTGTTCGGGGGCGATCAAGACCACGAGGAGGACTTTGAGGTCCTTGTGAGCCTTTTCCAGCGCCATATTGTATCCGTTCTCGAGGAACCCGAGCGGGTTGGTGCCGTATTCCTCCTCGAACTCCCGGATGAACCGGGCTGCCGTGTCCTGCGGGCCCAATGCCCGGCGTCCGTTGGTATTTCGTCGCGACCCCTGCAGGGCAGAACCTGCTGTTGTTTGGAATAACCGAGGGAGGAATGGAAATAGAGCCCCGAAAAGCCGGAAGGAGCCGCAGAGGAGCCGGTATAGAAGATTGAACGGAGTAAACAGGAGGGCCAGCAGGAGCGGCGGGCGATAGGTGGGCTGGTTCCCCGACTGTGTAGCGACTCGGGCAGCAGGGTCTACGGCGCGAGCCGCCGGGGAGAATTGCGCTGTCAGGTCATCGGTCATGAGGTTCTGGGTTTGGCGAGCTGGTCGTGGCGGAGAGTTCTCGAGGGCTGCTCGTGCCTCTTCCACGGGATCAGGACCCTCCCCATCGAAGAACTTGGAGACGGCGATCTACACCAATGAAGAAAAAACTCCAGTCAGCGCATCTACCTTGAAATATCCGGTCCACATCCCCTACCTGTACGTTCCATTGTGATCGGCGTAACAGCTCGATCGCTTCCGCGGGTTCCTGGCCGGTGACCGCGGAATAGGTCTCGAGAGCGGACCGTTCGCTATCGGAGAGCTGGGCAATATCGATCCCAGAGGACATGATCAATCTGTTTCGAAATCCATACAACAAATTATACCGGGAGGGGAGGAAATCAACAAGAAGCAACACAGCGTGATTGTAGGTAGCTTGAGCTCCTCTTGATAGATGGAGATGATGACAGAATGCCGGCTTACATAATCGCCAGCTGGCCAGTGCGACTACGGAGAACGAGAGAGACCGACGAGAGAACGAACTGTCTTCAGCCTCCCCTCCCTCTCCCCACTGCACATCCTCCATTTGTTTGTTGGGATCTAATTTCTCTGTTCTTCTACTTCCCTTGATCTACATCGTTCTCGTGCCATACTTTCGAGTCTATCAATGGCATAACTCGCCCTTGGTGGCTTTTGGTTGTCGGGCGCTAAACACGTGGTACGCCCATTCTGTTTTGTCGGTTTGGATATTCAAACACCTTGCGAGGGGAAAACTGTGGGGCCCTTGGTTCCTTGCTTGTTCCTTCCTTGGACCTCCGTGAGATCGATCTATCAGGATTCCGTCACAATTTGGTTTGATAGAGGAATGTGGTCTCCTATAGATCTGTTCGGTCGTCCGGTCTTTCTTTGCTTGGATTCAATGGAGATCCCGCTGCGCTGATCCGCGCCCCCCATCAATTGTGGACATCACGAGATATCATGGCTTCCGCCGGAAAGTCCGCCCTGGACGAGTCCCGTCGTGGGACGGGATCCCCGAAAATGAAGACACGAGGTGAGCCCTTATCGGATGGAACTGGAGGGGCTGCGTCAAGCCTGCCGGGCTGGGCGGTTCTGACGGCAATGTTTCAAGGACATGTCGTCCAACCATGGTGACTTACTAGGCTGACACGTTGTATTTGCGTTATTGTAGTAGAGAATGCGAAAGATACCCTGTGTCGCAATGTGACCATCTATGGTCGATGTCGGTTTGAAGACAAAGGTGCCGCGATAGTCCCTTGCCTTGCCTGTCCCATCCAGCGATGAGCTTCGTCTGACGTTGTCCTGAAGGATGTGCCTTCAATCACGACCCGAACAAATTCAATCCAGCGTATCAAGCCGATAGGTGGGATAACCCGAGAGAGAAGGAAGCGGCCTGGTTCGGCATGGAAAGTGGCTGACCGTTAATGACAACAATAGAAGGCGATTGAACGTGGAATCCCCCAGCTTTACACCGTCGCTATTGTCTTCCAATGGCTCTTCCTCCCCGACCTTATCATCCGCCAGCATTAAGAAAATGGCAACGATATCCCCGAAAGCGGCGAACGCTGCCCCGTTTCAGCCCCGGGGCATCCTTTCACGTATGGTCTATATTACTGCCACTAGATCGTTGGCTGACCCGTACAAGGATCTAACTCCAGCACCCCGAGTGCACGTCAGGAAAATATGGCACCAGACTGGTCCGTGGCTGAGGTACAGGAATTTGTGCCCCAAGGATTTGATACCATGGTAAGGCCGCCTTTCGCTCTTTCCCTTTGGGTTTTGTTTCCGCAACGGAACCTTGATGTTGCCCACGTCTTTCCAATGTCCTTGATACGTTCGTGCCGCCGAAGTTGCGGGGAAGAGTCCGGTTGCCCGTATCTTCTTCGTTTTTTACCTCTGGGATAGTCCGTTGCGACGTCTGCTCGTTCACGGCTCTTGTAACATGTCGCGTACAAGCACGCGTGTTGGTTCTTCCACGGCCAACAATACTGGCCCTGCTCTATCACTCAGACCATGCGGCTCGTATTCCGATCCTGAGGCTGACCTGAACCTTCAGACTACGCTCCCGGGCAATGGAAATGGCAATGTTTCTTCGACTAGCCCATTTGACCCCTTTGTGACGGCTTCAAACCCCTTGGCCGCGGCAAGTGCCGTTGGTCCTGTCCAGGCGAACCCATTCTCACCCGACACGGCTGCCGCATTAGGCGGGGCGACATTTTTCACCAGCCAGTCCGGGTTCCAACAACCAGTAAGTTTGCATTGATAGGACACAGCGGATGGGGCTGATCTCTTCAAGGTCCAATATCACCTATACGCCCCTATCGGACCTCATAATCAAAATACTTTGGGTTATCAGCGGAACGTCCACGACCTATTCCTGCCCAATGACTTCCGCGAGGAGCTGCAAAAGAAGGCCGCAGCTACACTCCAAACTCTACCCAGTATGTAGCGGCCACGTCGTACATCCGGATCCTTTCTGACTGGACAGATACCCAACTCCCCGCCCAGGTCGATTATTTCCATTCATTGGTTCCCTTGGATTTGAACCACCAGAAGAACGCGACCGTCTTTGGCTTTCCCAGCTGGGTCTACAAAGCGCAGTCCAGCAAGGACGGCAATTTCTATGTCCTTCGCCGTCTGGAAGGTATTTTTCCCTCTCCCTTCCCTGTCGTCCCTTCTTCTATTTTCCTCCACAATCTTCTCCTCGGTTTTGCTCAAACTAGTGACAACTGCTGACATGCGTAGGATTCCGGTTGACGAATGAGAAAGCCATCCGATCCGTCCAGGCATGGAAGCGGGTCTGCAGTGGCAGCGTGGTCACTATCCACGATGCTTTCACCAGTCGCAGCTTCCAAGACAGTTCTCTCATCTTCGTAACGGATTATCACCCCCTATCTAAGACCCTGGCGGAACAGCATTTGGGTGTCGGGACGCGATTCCAGGGGCGGCCGAACACACACATCCCAGAACAAGTGCTGTGGGGCTACATGACCCAAATTGCCAACGGATTAAAGGCCATTCACAGCAATGGGCTCGCGGCGCGGATCATTGATCCTAGTAAAATCCTGCTCACCGGACGCAACCGCATCCGCTTGAATGCATGTTCCATCATGGATGTGGTGCAGTTTGACGCGCAACGGCCGGTGGCGGACCTGCAGCGGCAGGATCTTGTCAGCTTCGGGCAGCTGATCGTGACCCTGGGGGCCAACACGCCCAGCGTGATGCACAACGCGACCAAAGCCATGGAGCATTTCACGCGAGCGTACAGCCCGCAGCTGAAGAACTCGGTGTTCTGGCTGCTGAGCGGGGTGCAGAAGGAGCAAGAGCGCAACATCGACATCTTCATCACAGGGATCTCGTCGCAGCTGATGTCGACGTTTGACTCGGCACTGCACATGGACGACCAGTTGACGTCTGACCTGAGCCGGGAGCTGGAGAACGCGCGGCTGGTGCGACTGATGACGAAGCTGAACCTGGTGAACGAGCGGCCCGAGTACGAGCACGACCGACAGTGGTCGGAGAACGGCGAGCGGTACTTCCTCAAGCTGTTCCGGGACTACGTTTTCCACCAGGTGGACTCGCAGGGTGACCCTGTTGTCGACCTGGGACACGTGCTGATGTGTCTGAACAAGCTCGATGCGGGGACGGACGAGAAGATGACGCTGATCAGTCGGGACGAGCAGAGCTGCTTTGTGGTGAGCTACAAGGAGGTCAAGAAGGCGTTGGAGTCGTCATTCCAAGCGCTCCTGAAGGCACGGCGGCTACATTGAGCGCCGTCATTTGTACCCAAATTGCGGGACGGTTATATAGTTAAGAAACGTCCGATGGCCCATCGGACGGGGTCACTGGAGTGAGATGGACTGAAGATAGGGTATACATGATATGACACATTGCTAGAATGCGCACTGATTAGTTAAAACAATAAACAAATGAATATCAATCTAAGTTATACAATCGACTAATTAACAGCTTACAACTCCCCATGCACCCCCTCCACCACACCCTCCCCACCCAACCTCCTCTTCAAATCCTCCACAGTAACCTCATCCTCCTCCCCCGTCCACTCAGGCGCCACCTCCCTCCCCCACCCGCCATTACCATCACCACTCCCACCAACTCTCAAAGGCGGCACAAGCACATGCCCCAAAACCTGCACCGCCCCATCACTAACAACAACATCCCTCCCAGTAACACGCGTATACCCATTAACCTTAACAGAAGCATACACCCCGAATCTCACAATATCAATCCCAAGGTGCGCCCCGCCATCACCATCACCATCCTCATCGTCGTCTTCATCCTCACTCGGCACATCCAAATGCGTAAACGCCGCAGGCGGTATCTCCGTCACGGAGCCATTCGCGCCGTACACAACGTCCGTGTAGATAGCTCTATCCGGCACGATGTGGTATTGGAGCAGACGGCGGAGGTAGGGCTGGCCCTGCGGGGAGAAGAGGAAGGAGGTGGTTTTGGAGCCGAGTTTGGCGAAGGCGGTGTTTGTTGGGGCTAGGGTTGTTTTTTTTTTTATTTCTCTTTGGGGATGGAGGTTGGAGGAGGGGTGGGAAGATAGAGGAAGGGAGAGGTTGGTTTTGTGCAGGGCGAGGGCGAGAGTGCTGAACTGGGAGGGATCTTCGTCGATGAGGTTCTTTGTGGATTTTGGGGGGGTGAGGATGTCGGTTGGGATGTGGAGGAGGCCGTTTGTTGCTTTCTATTCGTTGTTTTTTGTTAGTTTGGTTGTTGGTGTGGTTTTTATATAAATAAGAATAGGTGGGTGGTGGTGGTGGTGGGACATACTATATCAGACACTACAATCCGACTATACTGATTAATGACGATCCCACGCCATCCAAAACGGACAACCACACGCTGGGGGAGGTCATCTCCGAGCTCGTCGCCGACAAGCAAGGTAGGAAGTGTCTGAGCGTGGAAGATGCGCACAGTGGGGTAGAGTCCATCGAGGAGGTGGTACTTTGCGACGAAGTTCTCTTCTTCATCTTCCTCGCTATCTCCGCCGGATTTAAAAGCCGAGTCAGGCGGCGCGAAGAGCGTGACGTTAGCGTCTGATGCCTTGAGCAGACGGGTCAACTCGTCGTCTTTGGAGACGATCCGCGCTAGGATAGTAGTGTGTTTGCATTCTGTGATAAGCTGGTAGAGGGTTTTGTTGGAGGGCGGATGATGGGGACGATTGGGCGGGGAGGAGCGGAAGCCGGGGGTTTGGGAGAGGGATTGGGGGTAGGTGGCGGGGAGGTTGTAATTGCCGTTGTTGTTGTTGTCGGTCTCGGCGTCGATGAGGGCGCTGAGCCAGTTGTGCTGGGGGGAGGTGTCGCTGGAGGGCTCTGCGTCGAGGGCGATGTCCAGGGGATTTGGGGATTGGTTTTGGTTTGGATCTTGGGTTGGGGGGAAGAAGGGGAATTGTTGGGGGAGGACTATCCCTCTGGTGAGGGGGAGGAGGGCGAGTGCTGGCCACGGGGAGAGCTTCATTGTACTATTCTTCCACTTGTGTATTGGAGTGGGTTGGGTGTATGGGAGTCAAGGAAAAGGTATGGTATGTATATAAATGATCAATGGCATGATGTTGAGCTCCATGACGCCGTGGTGGTGGGTATGATGTCATGAGTTTATAGAAAGTATATATTTGTCTAGATCGACCAATCTATGTGATTGTTTAGATCAATCCGGTCAATGGAAGCCTTGCCTACCTGTATTTAATGGGTTGATCTACTAATACCATCATGACTCGTGATTCATTAATTATTGTCTTGAATACATCTTGAGGTTGATAGATACCCTCCACACTGCTTTCCCATAAGAGGTGGAGAGACGCATTCTTCTCTAGGAAGACGAGGCTATTCCTCTGGCTGCACGAACGGATTGGCAATCTCCTCGCTGCCATCTGCCGGCGAGATCAGCACGATCAGGGTGCCGCGGGCGACGATCAGGCCCAGCGAGCGGGTGTTCTCGTTGCCCTCGTCGTCTGGATGGTGGTTAGCATTTCGACATGCTGTTCAAGGGACTATGGAGCTCAACTCACCTCGCATAGATTCCTTCACATCATCGAGAACCAGATTCATGAGCTGGTCGTAGCCTTTGAGCAAGCCGACCACTAGATTGGTCAGTATGATGTAGATGGAATACGTAAAGACAGCGCAGATAGATGACATACCCTCCCTCCCACCATTGAACTTGACGCGCACCTCCTTGTCCATATACTTGGTCAAATCGAGGATATTCTCCTTCTTGGGCTTCTCCTGCTGTTGCTGATGTTGGTGGTGGGCACCGCCACCACCCGCACCGCCACGGGGACGACGGTCATAGCCTCCTCCGCGGCCACGACCTCGGAATGAGCCTCGATCGGACATGATTATTCAGTCTTGTTCTTTTAATAGATTCTTTTCTTTTTGAATGATTGGTTGGGTTTATTCCCCTGGTGTTATTGATTGTTAAATTGGAAATAAAAAGAATGAATGGATAGTGGTTTCTTGGTTGGGTTAGCTTCAATACTAAGGTAGATGGAGATGATAAGATGTGGTGTGGGTGGAATGGATATGATTTGTTCCGGTTAGGTAAGCGAGAGGGGTATGCAGATGGATCCAAAGGAGAGGAGGGAGCCTGGATGAGAGAGGAGGAGAGGAAAGGGTGAGGTGGTTACCTTCGGTTGACTGAAGTTGGTTGAAGTATGAGGGATTTTCCACTCAAGAAGGGATGGAAGAAAATTCACGGGCCTTGCGGGTGACGCTAGTCCGTATAGGGCTGTCTGGTTGGGCAGTCACCGCTGCGTTGAGTCTTGGGCGGAGCGCGATCTGGACTGATCTCTCTGGGGAGTATCAATAGACCGTTTGGTCTGGATGCAGGGAGGCTGCCGATATTGAGGACCGTCTTCCAATTTCCCGATTTATCGACATGACTGAGGATTAACTAGTTGAATGAGAAAATAGATATCGATCGATAGGTAATACCATACGCTGTCACACGCACCCGGCGGATCCCCGATAAGCTCATCTGTGTATTATATACCTGAGGATACGATACGATCACATTCACATTATGGGATAAGCGGTAATTAATGTAATCATAATACAGATCACCTCCCGAGTTGCACCGAAGCCCCCGGCGGAACCGCCCGGCGGGACTCCGCTGTGTAATCTATGGTAATTCCTGGTAATAATACGCAGAGAAGGATAATCCCGCATTCCCGTTCCGCCTGGACCTCCTCTTATTATCTTTCCGTCTCTTCCCCTCCTCTCCCTCCTCTCCTCTCCTCCCTCCTCTTCCCTCTCCTTTTCTCTCTCTGTTCTCTTATCCTCTCATCCTGGGTATTTGGTGTCTTTGGGTACTCTACAAATCATCTATCTAAGTTCCCAAACTCCCATCCCTACTACTACCCTATAGATAGGGATCCTGTTGGGGATTACCTAAACCCACCGAACCCAACCGGCGCGGTCGAATCCGCCTGAGAGCCTGACCGCACGCTCCGCCATCGGTCGCCCATTCCTTCGTTCCCATTCTGCCTTGCCGCTTTTCTCTTCCACCCCCGTCTACCGTCTACCTTTCTCCTTCCACACAGGAAGGAATCCAATACAGACCTCACATCTACCCTTTCCACCGCGCGCTTGAATTCACCATGGATGCCAGAACCCCGGCCGAATCGGCCGGCAAACGACCGAGATCGCCGACGGGTGACTTCCCTCCCATCGCCTCCAAGATCCCCAAAACGCATTCCAATCACCTACAGATCAACTATCTCGCCCGTCAGTACCCCGATAACCTTCCCCTGGTCTCCGCCGATGACAACATGTCCGCCATCATCCACTTGATCGGCGAGTACGACGGCGTCTTGCACCGCCACGAAAGCATCGCCGGCAACCTAGGCGCCTGTCCCTTGGGCCCCATCCTGATCAAGCGCTTCGAGCGCCTCTTTGACGGTCCGCCGCGCGTGCTCAAATCGCACGGAAAGGACCCCGCCAACATCACCTGGCTGGACGTGGTCGAGTTTGCCAAGAGCAAGCCCGAGCAGTTCAACCTGGAGAAGTCCCGCAATGGCGTGCGCGTCTGCCAATTCTACACCAAGCAGTGTCGCGTCGAGATCAGCGAGGAGGACTTTGTGCTGATCGCTTCCGGCATGCCCCAGAAGATGATCCCCCCGCAACCCATCATCGAGGATGAGGAGAAGGAGCTGGGAGCCTTGGAGATCCTGGAGAAGAACATCCAGCAGATCATCCAGGTTGCCGACCAAGGTAGCTTCCCCCCTCTTCCCCTCCTTTGGCGTTCTTGGCATTGAATGAACTAATGCGCCGGTCTGCAGTCTCCGCTCGTGCCCGTCAGCTGAATCACCGCCTGAAGAATCGTCGCACTGCCATTGTCACGCGACGGGAGAACGACCTGTCGCTCCACTCCCAGCAGCAACAGCAGCACGGATCCTCCTCCCCGCCGTGGCGCGAGCTCAACGGGAATGGCCCCGTCCCGATCCAGAGCAACGCCTCGTCTGCCACGCACTCCCCGTCCACCGGGTTTGTCGCCGTCAACTCCGGTCGCCCCGCGGCAGATGTGACCCTCGACGACCCCTCGCTGTCGTCGCACTTCATGTTCTCCCACTCGAATACCGACAACGTCACCATCATCAATGGCACCTCCATCAAAGGCGCGTCGCCCACAACCCGCGCCGAGCTGATGAAGAAGTTCTTCACCACGCAGGACCGCCAGTCCCGCGCCCTCGAGGAGGCGCCGTCCACCGAGCGCCAGCCGTCGCGCCCGCGCGCACGCGCCTCCGACGCCGCCGATCACCCCATGTACACCCCCGGCGCCGCGACAGTCGCCATCCCCCACACGCCGTCGTCGCTGCTACCACCGCCCAAGTCGCACCACCACGAGAAGGACGACGGCGGCCCGTTCAAGATGGAGATGGTCGCGCGCATGGAGGAACTACAGCGCGGGGAGCGCATCATGCCACCCTGCGACCGCTGCCGCCGGCTCCACATGGACTGCCTGAAGAACCTGACCGCCTGCATGGGCTGCACCAAGAAGCACGCCAAGTGCTCCTGGAAGGACGTCAAGGAGGACGAGCTGCACGAGTACCGCGCTGCAGGCAACAGCATCCGGGAGCCCCGCACCGCCGACGAATCCTCCGGCAAGGACTCCCCATCCACCACCGCGGCGCCCGCCCCGTCGACACAGGGCACGCCGTCCACAGCGACAGCTGCCATCCCGGTCACGGAGCCCCTGCGCGAAGAGCGAGGACGAGACCGCGATCCCTGGGCCGGAACCGATCTCGCCCAGCGGCGAGAATCAGCCCCCACAGCCAGTATCCCCCAGGGACCCCCCACCGACTCGACACCTCCCCCCGACGAGCCATGAGCGAGATGCACAGCGCGCCGCGCTCAGTCTACGAACGACGCCCGAGTCTCCACCAACGCAACGACCCAGACGACGACGACCCAGACGCCAACCAACGCCTCATGCAAGCCATCCTCGACACAGTGGACCACCACGCGCGCGCAGCAGCCGTACACGAAGTGACCCACGAAGTACCAGAACGGGAAGGCGAACGAGAGCGGGAGCGGGCGCAAGAGCGAGAACGGGAGCGAGAACGAGAGCGCGAACAAGAACGCGATCGCGAGCGCAACCTGGTCCGCGCATGAAGCATGAAGCATGAACCCTTGTCTATATGTTTGTTTCTTTTTTTGTCTGCCTTTTTTACGATGTATTGTCTCTATCTGTCTCTTTGTGTAGCGTTTAGCGGATATCCCGTGTTGGAGTTGTTGTGGCTACTCTATATCTAGTTACTTGTATATTCTATATTGCAGAAGTCTATGGGCTTAATCTTGAATTCATTATTGATTCATTGAGTTGATGTGCACGTGATGGGGAGACGATCGATACCTAGGTACTTGATCTACTTGGTGCCATCTTTGCTTTCCTTTCGTACGTTGCTCAATGAGATATGCTCCACAGTGGAAGATCATAAACAAATACAATGTCCCCACAGAGGAACCAGCTAACATGAGATATATATATATATACAAATACCAAGCCAACCGATTGTGGAGTTTCATGTACAAACCCATCTAGGCGACATCCCGCATATACCCCACAGCCCGTCCCGCCTCACGCCTCACGACCTCATCCGGCCAGTCCCTAGCAACCCCAACCAACTGTTCTTCCCAGAACGCCCACCGCTCAGAAGGGCAGTCAAAATGTTTCATCACGGTGTCGATCCTTCTCGGGTTCCAATTCTCCATCTCACCGCCGCAAAGTCCCTCATATAACTTCCGCCCAGTATGCTTCATCCAACCAGCCACAGCCGGAACCTGAAATCGCGGTTCGAATGGCTCAGAGACCCAGAAACCCATCGTTTGTGTCTCGGGCTTGTCCTTGGTGCCGAGATGCCATTCAAGTGTATGAACCACGTAATGGAATGGCCTGCTCATGTCGAATAGTCCCGCTGCCACGAGCTGCGCCTCGATATCTTGTGCCTTGATGTATTGGTCCGCCGCGTGGTGCAGCGCAGTAGCGGAGGTATCGCCACGTTCGGCGCACTCTTCGACGATGATGCTGGGCGTCCTCCAAGTGGTGTCTCGCCAGACCATGTTGATGTAAGGGAGCTGACTCCAGGTGAGGAGCTCGTCGTCGTCGTCGAGGGCTTCTCCGCGGTGGAGGCCATCAGGGGTGTTTGACATGGCGGTGAGGAGGGCGATGAGACCCGGTGTGCGCGAGGAGGGCCATTCCAGGAGAGCATCCACCAGGAGCTCCAATAGTCGGCAGAGAGCCACTATCTCGGGGTTGTAGGTTGCGGGTAGGTCTGGGATAGGGGTGGTGGAGATGGGACGGGTGATGGCGTGGGCTGCTTCTTCTGGGGTTGTTTGGTTGAGAACAAAGGCTTGGAGGGAGGTGATTTCTGAGGCGTAGATGGATTGCAAGGGTTGGCTCTTGCTGGGGTAGTTGAGGAGGCGTTGAGAGAGCCATTCTTGGAGAACTTGGTGTTCTTCGGGGTCTTGGGGCATATTGGTTGTTATCCCCCCTGACATTGTTGGTTGAATGTTTGTCTAATTTTTGTCTGATCTGGTCACAGCCCTGTTAAATAGGTTTAGGTCTGGTTTGATGTCATCTGTCAGCCTTGTTTAGGTCTGGTTTGACGTCATCTGTCAGCCTTGTCCATACGATTATGGGACGTCGTCTATCAGCCTCGTTCATACGATCATGGGGTGGTAGTCATTTGATTGATGTTAATCAGAAGTGAAAAGGTGAGGACTACCTTTTTCAAGGCACTAGTTCCCTGACTCTTACTATTGGAGCATGTCGAAAAGGGTTCAAGTCTGTATTAGTTCACGATGGATTACCTGGGATCTCGTAACGACTTACCTGGGACTATGTGACTAGTCGCCCGACGGACATCTTATCTTCTCAGGCTCCATATATACCCATAAACAAAATACCAGAGACCCAGTATACTGCAGTATACTGCAGTATTCTGTATACTACGGATAATGGGTGGGTAGATGGTAGGTAATAAGTGGTAGGCAATGGTAGTAAGTTGATGGATCAAATCCACAGGTATATAACGCAAGTCTACTCCGTACGTCGAGTATAAAAATACTAACTCCCATTCACCATATCCCCAAACTCCCCATCAACAGGCCCGGGTCCATCCCGCAACCTGCGCAACCCCTCCGCATCTTCCACCCACCCACCAACCTTATCCACCCCATCAATAAACTCCGTCCCAACGCGCAAGTTGAGAGCCGCGCTGAGCGCGCGCTCAATCCGCACCTCGCGGCTCTCCGTCACCAGCACGCGGAACACATGCGCCAGGAATCCGCTGAGTATATCGACGCTCCAGTCGTCCGGAACGAGCCGCAGCACGTCGTTGACGTCGAACCACGCGGCGAAGCGCGCGAGCAGGTCGCTGGAGCGCTCGATGCGCTCGGATGGGTCTGCTATGCGCAGGAATTCGTCGAGCAGGTTGCTGAAGAGTTCGCGTTGGAGGGTCCGGTCTGTTGGTGCGGCTGAGCTGGGGCCGCCGAAGATGCAGTACCGGATTGCGGAGTCGTAGTCGCCTAGGCCGTGCGTGAGGAGGTGGAGTGCGTCGCGGTGGCGGCCTTGGAGGCCGTCGAGGATGACGGACTCTGAGACGAGCTCGTGCTGGAAGGGTTCGATGCGGGAGAGGATGCTTGGGATTGAGTAGGTGAGGTTTGTTGGGGTTGGGGTTGTTGATGTTGATGAGAATTGACTGCTGCTGCTGCTGCTGCCTCCTAGGAGCTGTAGGAGTCGGATCCGGGACTGCCACCATGGCTCTGGGGGCGCGTTGGCGGTGATGAAGTTCATGTATGTTGGTTTTGGGGGTTGTAGGGCACGGTATGTGGAGTATGATTCGGAGAGAGATTCTCGTGCTTCAGGGGACGTTTCGAGCACGGATAGTACCGTGTCTAAGTAGTATGAGAGAAGGTCGTCGGCGTATTGGGTTAACTGAATCCGTTAGTGTTCTAATGTTCTAATTGAATGGAAGTTCTAATGAAATTGGATGTTCTGATGAAATAGAACGTTCCAATAAGAAAAGACTTACATTCTTCGAAAAAACGAGGTGCTCCAAGTAGACCTGCACGGCATTGGGTGCCCGCTCTTTCAGCAGAGGAACGACCTCAGCTGGTGCCAGTTTGACGCGACTGCTGCTATCCGCAAACACCTGGGTTCCAAGCTTGGGGTTGCGCCCAGCCAACCACGACCCGTATTCCTCAACGAGCTGCGCATCTTTGATCTTAGCTAGGTACCTGCGCATCTGCGCCTCGGCGCCAGAGACAGTGACCTCTTGGCCGATGTCTTCCTCCCCTTCGATAATCCGCCGCCACGTCTTGAGCACATTGCGCGACATCTTCTGGCTCTGATACAGCCGGCTCAGCACGAACAATCGTTTGTATTCTTCCAGCAGTGCCACCGCCCGGTCGAAGCTCCCTTTCCAGTTGTCGACCAGTCGGTTCATCTCGGTCCGTGTCTGCGATGACTGGCGCTGTTCCGGCGTGTGCTTCGAGTCTTGCTCCAGAAGGAGATGCAGGAGAGCTGCGTCGACGCTGTCAAAGACGTATGTCTCGTCGGTGATGCTTCCGTAGCCCCTCTTTTGCTGCCATGAGAGCAGGAACCGCTTGATCAGGTTCAGGACATCGCCATCGATGGGATTTGGGGAGTCGCCTGTGCGCTTCTCCAACTGCTGCAGGTAGACTTCTGCAGTCTGAGCCAGCCCTGCATGGATCCAGATCCCTTGCGGGCCTTGCAGGACCTCTCGTCGCAGGAGAGGGACCAAGACCAATGCGATTCGCGGGTCCAGGTCTCCCGTGATAAGGGCTCGTTCCGTAGCGTCAAAAGCCGCTTCGTCTCTCGCTGCTGCGTCCATCGAGATTAGGTCTCCAAAGAGCAGCAAGCTCGCCTTCTGCTTCAGGTAGTTGAGCCCTAAAAACTCGGCCTCGGACCGGGGCTCTGTTTCCAAAACCACGTCAATGATGTTCAATATGGCATCCCTCTCCAAAGACCTGTTCCCGTTCTCGTCTTCGGTCTGAGCCCCCTGGAGCGCGTCATTCAATTGTGAGGTGAGCGGATTACGCACAACCCGCCAGATATGATTTCCCGACCAGAGTACGAGGCCGCTTTGGGCTTTGCCCAGCGCTCGGGCAAACTTGGTCTCTTCGGCATTCCGCTCTGCTTCCCAGCCCCGCTGAGAGTCTCCTTTCTTGGCCCCTTCAGAGTCTGTCGACTCCTGGGACTCGAACAGTTCCTTTTCTTTCTGCAGCTGCTCGATGGAGGCCTGGGTGCGCGGGTCGTTGGGAGACATGTGTGGCAACAAAGACGGTGTTTTGAGACGAACCATCTGCAGTAACTGTCCAACCTCACTGAGTTCAAACTGACTAGAACTCAGTGTGTTGCGGAGGCCCACGTAAGACGGCTGCGTCCCTGGAGGCGCGGGGATCTGCACCCAGCTTTTGTGCGTTTCGGCCTCCGCCGGGTCTACATCCCAGGGTTGCACTTCCAACGCCTTGCGAGGTTCCTGGTCTTCACTGAGGTCTACCAACGCAAGGATGAGTTCATCGCGCCTGTTATCCGGCGACTGTATTAAATTGGTCTCGTCACCCGCGTCGATCACAAGCGACTCGGGGTACTTGTTGAAGGTGATCGTTCCACGAACCAGGTCACCATCCACATTGAAAAACATGCCAACACCGGGTTCTGACTCGTCAGTTCCCCTGACGAGTAGAAATTCGGTAGACGTCGGAGATAGCACATGGGGTTTCAACCGCTTTGGCAAAGGAGGGAGCGGCTTCCGAGCCTCGGATGGCGGCTGTTCAGAAGAACCCCGTGGTGATGCGCTATTTTGGCGCTCTCGGGAAACCGATCGTCTCGGGCTCGCAGGATTGGGAGACGACATGGGGGATAGAGAGCTTGCGCGTTCCCGCGAGCCTGGTGGCAACTCCGACTGCAACATCCCAGTCAATGTATTGAGACTGGAGCTTCGGCCATGGCTAGAGCCATCGGCCGAGGACTGCGGTGGCGGGGATAGCGACGCCCCCTGCACGTCCTCCACGGGGCCAGGGCCGAGTCCGTCGCTCAAAAAGGAGATGGGTAACAGGTGTATCTTTTGCTGGTGCTGGACATCGAGGAGCGAGTACGAGTTGGCGTCTGCAGCGCAAGCGACAAATCCCCTGCGCGACGCAGCCAAGCAACCGGGGAACTCAATATTCCTAAGCAATCGCGCCCCGTCCCCGATCTGTACCAGCATGGTTTTATTCTGGACGGCAATCATGATCAATTGTGTCTCTTCATCCTCCGGTACCGCGTTCTGATCCAGCCCCCCGATCCAGCAGCAGTTGTTGATCTTGAGGTTACCGAACGCCGGGCTCAGCTCGGGGAGCAGGTAAAAGGTGGCCGTGCCATTGCACCGAACACACGCTTTCCCAACGGCGGGGAGAAGAACGATCTGTTGGATCCCCCGTTGTTCCGGCGGAATCGAAGCATTGGGGGAATGCGGGATGGGCAATCTCGAGGCTAGGATGAAGGACGGCTCGCTCGACTGGTCGGAGGGGTCGGGGGGGAGGCAGACGAAATGCAGGATCTCGGCGGAGGAAGTGCCAATATACAAATTGTCATCTGTGGTTGAACTGTCAGATCCATTATGACCCACCAGCGGGAGGATCAACGCGACTCACTCCAATATTCAACACAGGTGATCCGGGTATCGTCATCGGAACCGTCCGCTGACAGCGGTACCTGTTCCAAGAGAGGTCGGAACAGATAAGGCGCGGTAGGAGGATTGACTCTGCGCCTCTTGCGGGGGGCAGAGCCATCATCGTCCGACGCCATGACGAGACCAGCTCTGGCGTCCAAATTGAAGATGGGGGGCGATATCTCCAGGGAAGAGTGATGGGATTACTCGTTATCCAAGTTGCGCTCGGCGGGAGTTGATGTCACGTTGCGGCCTTGTATGCCTGAGGCTAGGAATGGGGGCCTTGCTGAGTCATGGTGACCAGCCCTAACCTGTCAGATATACTGGCCGTATCAAGTACTCGATTATCGATCAAAGGCTTCCGAATGCGTAGTGATATACTCAGCAGTGGTCACAGATTATCATCTTAAGTCAGTACGTCTTATGTTACTCGAAAACCAGTAACCTTGATGCTGGCACATAGTTCACTCTAGAAGACACCCTGGTGCCACCACAGAGAATGCATGCTTGAAATAACTTGAAGTGCTATTGAATACTAGACGTAATTCTCGTTTCGGTTTTGATCATCCTACTTTCTTTATACCTTGATCTCTCTGCACCGCTCTTTACTATGAATCATAGTAGTCAGAGACCCCAGATCAAGACTGATCCTGGGAATGTTGAATCACATCGTTGGCTGCTAGGGCGCCAGAAGCGATGGCTAAAGCGGTAAGAAGGACGTGGAAGGCCTTCATATCAGACGAGTCAACTATTTCATGTTGATCTATGTTTGCAAATTTCAAATGATCGGAACAATGTCATTCTTAGATGCGCCGAGGGCGAGTCCTTTATGAGTCTTTTTGTGGTGGCCATGTTCTATTGGAATATGGTGGTCCACATGGAACCAAAGTGGGTGACAGTTTTTCAACAATTGGGACTATGGCGCAGCTGGGAGCGCGTTAGACTGAAGAATCAACTTCAGCCTCCTACTTCCACCGAAGTAGTGTAATCTAAAGGTCACCGGTTCGATCCCGGTTGGTCCCATATCTTTTTTCTTTTTCCTTTTTCCATCAATTTTCATCTTTTACCCCAGTTCTTCTTTTGAAGAAGCATAACATGATTGCTACCTATCATCTATCTATCTGCTTACCTGTTTTGTCTTTTTCATTGTAATGAAAAAGTGTACCTAGATAAGGTACACAAAAGTTTAATGCTTGAACCTGTTATAATACGGGGCAACTACTGTCCGATAAGAGCGCACCTGTCCACCAGCATACAAGTCAACTCAAGCAGACAACTTGGATAGCGCATGGCCAGCGAACGCCCACTGAACTGTTTGATTCGATTCTTGTCGTGTTCCTTTTGTGGATAAATATAACTCTAGCCGATGACACGCCAGCAAAGGACAAAAAGAATGTTATTGGAGTCAAAATTCTCCGTATATTGTGGATAGCAATGCAAGCACGCGTAAGATTAGCAATATAACCAGCAAGTTTGCTAGATAAAGTGTTGAGGGAACATAAATATGAAGTCCAATCTCCTGCTGTATAGAGCCAGAACCCTGTATGGCTTACGCGTTCGGATCAACACTCGGCCCGCTCGGCGCTGTCATCTACGTCTCCGCATTGCGATTCATCCAAGTTGTCATTATTATCTTGGGCTATAGGCGTCGTTTATATCGTCAATTTCATTTCTGGCGGGGGCGCAACTGTTCTGATCTTTTCTTACCGCCAGGAAATACCGACTCGGCCAAGATGGATTCGTTCGCTCTCACCGAAAGCCTTGTCCCTGAGCACAACAGTCAAGATGGCCACGAGTCCGAAAACACCCCCGGAAAGCTGCCGGAAGGAGCGAACAAATTCCAACGCGCCATTGCGGCGTGGAGAGGTATGGTGTTGAAATTTGGATGTCGCAACTCGTGCTTAATTTGAGAGCTAATCTATAACTTATTCAAGGCATCGATCTGACCAACACTGTCGCAAAGTTGGATGGTACCGCCTCGGACATTGTCGCTGAGCAGCGGGATGCGCTTGTCCAGAGGAAGGATCTCGCACAGAAGACCAAGGATTTCAGAAAGCTTGATGACTCGTCCAAGCTTTCAGAGTACAAGGCTCTCTTGAAAGGTCCGTCGGACTCGTTGGGTTTATGTGTTCCCGGCTAATGCTTATTGCCAGCGTACCAAAGCTTCATTGACGTCTTGACCAACCAAGGAAAGGCCTCGTCATCTGCCTTTTTGCAACTCTATTCGTCTCTTTCGGAAGCGCCCGATCCTTATCCGCTCCTCGAAACCTCGGTCGATTCTCTCGTCCACTCCGAAGAAACCGTCCCCAAGTTAACCTCCGAACGGAACCATCTACAGGGATCGGTGGATCGATTGACCTCCCAGCTGGAGGACACGGAAAAGCGACTCGAGGAAGAACGGGCCGCGCGGAAGAAGTTGGAAGACACCCAAGAGTCTCGGATTAAGGAGATCGAGACCTCCTGGTCTGCGGTGTTGTCGGAGAAGGAGAATAACTGGACCGCCAAGGAGAAGACACTGGAGGAGAAGGTGGAGAACCAGGAGCGCTTGCTTAAGGAGGTCAAGGCCAGCTATGAAGTCTCTCAACGACTGGGGCAAGATAACGAAGGCGGCGATAGCGCTCAAAATGGAGCAACCGCTGCTGAACTCGAATTCGTGTCGGCCGACCTAGAGAAGACCAACCTTCGACTCGCCGAGGTCGAGGCGAGGAATGAACAACTGCGGCTTGAGCTGGCTCAAGCTGCGTCGCATGCTCACCCGGACCAGCCATCATCCGTCGAAGACGACCCATCATACCTCCGCCTCCAGTCGGAGAACTCCTCTTTGCTGCGCAAACTCGATGCGGCCCGATTTGATAAGGACTCGGACCGTCACTCGTGGGAGGCCAAGGTTTCTCAGGCGGAACGACAAAGCGCCAAGGTGTTGACTGAGAGGGACGATTTGAAGTCCAGGCTAGAGAAGTTCTCCGACTACGAAGAAATTCGCCGGGAGCTGGAAATGATCAAGGTGAGCTCCACCCTACATTCAGCCTGACATTCCGTCTAACTTGTATCAGTCTATTGAATTTTCTCCCGGTGACGACGATGATGGTGAAATAAATACTGCGGCTGCCAACGGGGCGGCCGCCGCAACCAAGGATGGATCCAAGAACAGCTTGGAGCAGCTCCTGTTGGCCAGGAACAAGAAGCTCACCGACGAGCTCACTGTCCTTCGGGTCTCCCATCGTGATCTCCAAGGCCAGCTTGAGACTCTTCGGGAGGACCTCTCGATGACAAAGGAGGAACTCGAGAAGTCTCAAAAGCTCTCCACGACCCTGGAGAACGATCTTCTCCGCGTGCAGCAAGAAGCTGCCAACACCTTCCCGTCGACGGCGATGTCTGTCGCCGGAACCTACACCACGCGACATCCATATTCGGCTCGCAAAGGTGGCATTTCCCCAACGTCGTCGATCATCTCAGGCTTCGATCAGTCAGCCGTCTCTCCTTCAATGGATGCGATCCGCGCAGGCGAGCCCGTTGGCGGCGGCTCCGGCCTTCTACCCATGATCCAAGCCCAGCGAGATCGGTTCAAGAAGAAAAATTCCGAACTCGAAGAGGAGTTGTCGAAAACGTACAACGCCGTCAAGTCTCTCAGGCAAGAGGTCGCCACCCTCCAAAAGGACAATCTCAGTCTCTACGAGAAAACGCGATACGTCTCGGCATACAGCCGCGGCCAGGGCTCCACGTCGACAGCATCTACATTCGCAAACCAGCCAGCAACCTCCTCCGTCCACTACTCAGCAGACACGCCATCAGGCCTTTCCCTCGACCGATACGAATCCGCATACGAGGCCAAACTATCACCATTCGCCGCCTTCCGCGGACGCGAGTCAGTCCGCGCCTACAAGCGCATGAGCCTACCCGAGCGGATCGTCTTTTCCTTAACCCGGATCATCATGGCCAACCGCACGAGCCGAAATCTCTTCGCGGGGTACTGCTTCGCACTGCATATCCTCGTCTTCGCCATGTTATATATGATGAGCTCGATGGAGATCGAGAAGCACAGCAGTGCGAGCCTCGGCGCCGCGGCGGGGACGATAGCGCAGAATATGAGAAACGGGGGGTCCAGCGGGGGAGGCCACCCTTTACATGGCGATGATTGGCAGGAGGTAGGCTTCGACCACTCTTCCTAGTAAGTTGTTGTCGGACTGGTTCGTCATGTAGTAGTATTATTTCCCAGGATTACCCCGACTGTTGGCGTTTGGTGGTTAGCGATTACAACTGAATATACATATTTCCTTTCTCTCGGTATTTATCCATTTTCGGTGGACAGTCCATAAAGTATTAAGCCCCCAGAATTGGCGAGCAGCCAGATAGATCGACAGACAGCCAGGCAGGGACATACTTACTACCTACGGGTTAAAATAATAAAAATGAAAATAAGTGTTCCAGCAGTGTATAATAGGAAAGAAAAAAGAAAAAAAAGAAACGGCCCGAGCCGCGGATCGAACGCGGGACCTCTCGCAGATATGCTTGGGTTTAAATCCCTAAGCGAGAATCATACCACTAGACCACCCGGGCGCTTGTTGTTGAAGATGATTGGTTTGGAATGATACTTGTTGCTGAGACTAATATTAGGTTCAATTGTCCTGGATAGTACAGAAAAGTGTGTGGAATTTGGTTATGCTAAAGCTAGACTTTCAGATTACATAGCTTTTGGCTTAACTTATGCTGTCTTGCTTTAGCATCATTATATTTTTACTTCTTTTCATTTTTTTGGTCGAGGGTGTTATGGTCTACTTGGTTCGACATGGGTTATATATCTAAGTCTACATGCCAGGTTAGGGATCCAATGCGGGGAGGGCATACAAAACCCCATAACTGCCCCCCAAGAATGGGAATACTTTTTTATACCAAATACGGCCCGAAAAGCGCAACCGAATGGCTACACAGGAATGACTGAGTCAATTTCACCACGGTAACTATCCACCGTGGCTTGTGCAAATCCAGCATGAGGAAAGGGCGATCTAGTCTTAAGCGATAGCAGTGGGGTATCAACTCCAACAACAAGCGGGGAGGGAGGAACCGTTATCTATCGTCGATTCGCATTGTTTCACTGTCCTCCGCGTGTACGCATAAAGCCACGGTCACTCTCACTGCTCCAGTACTACTGTCTGATCGACTGGAAGACGTCTAGCATATCAACATCGACAAACAATGGCCGAAACCAAAACATGGCTGATCGTCGGTGCGTCTCGTGGGATCGGTCTTGAGTTCGTCCGCCAGATTCTTGCCCATGGCCATCGCGTTATCGCCACCGCGCGCAAACCTGGCTCTGCCTTGGAGGCTGTTGTTCGGGATACAGCGGAGCGTGCGACTGTTCTGGAATGCGATGTGTCTAGCGGGGAGAGCATCACTGTAGGCTCACTTCCTGGAGGCGATGGAGAGAGGATGGAAAGGAAAAGAGGGAAAACGAGGTTAACCCTGGGCAGAGATTCACCGAGCAGTTAGTCAAAACCGGAGTCAAGAAGATCGACTACGTTGTGATCAACGCTGGGATCTTGGAATATCCAAACGTGAGAAACCCTATTCCGCCCAACCACGCCATTCCCATCACCTAACCCTCACTATTATGCGCCATAAACCACCCCTAAACAACCACTACCACAGAGAACCCTCGAGATGTAAGTACTACCTTACTAGCAGATCCCAAACCAAAAATGCCACTCTAATAAATGACCCCCAGGAGCTTCGATCACTTCGCGCGCCACCTGCACACCAACACCGTGGGCCCCATCATTACAGCCCAGAAACTTCTTCAACAGACTGAAGTCGCGATCGGGACAATCGCGTTCATGTCGAGCGATTCGGGTTCCACGCAGCGCTTTCTCTCATTCGAAGATGGGTAAGACGAACCGGCCTGCACGTAGCCCGGCATCACGAGCTAATTCTGGTTGAAAATCCTAGATTCGCCGCGTATGGTGCATCCAAGGCGGCTCTTAACCAGGCTTTGCGTGTATGTCCCTGTTACTCTTTTGATGCAGGCGCACGGAGCAGCGATAACTGACCGTTGACTCGCGTAGCATATGGCAGAGGAGCTGAAACGCAAGGGTAGAGGCACTGTGATTTTGGCACTGCATCCGGGGGAGGTCGCCACGTGAGTTCATTTTCTTGTTGCAGTGCCGGGTTAGAACAGAACATGTCGGGCTAATATGGGGATATTATCCTGCTAGCGATATGGCGAACATTGAAATCACCTGGGAGATAGATGGTGGACAGATCAGTGCCGAGGAGTCCGTCCGTGGCATGCTGGAAGTTATCCAAGAAAAGACTATCGAGCGTACGGGTACGTTTTGGACATGGGAGAATGTGGTAAGTTTTGAGGGAGTTGGTTTGTTGCTTGCTACTTGCTTGTGTTTGCTGACGCGGTGGATAGGAGTATCCGTGGTGACAGCTTGTATAATAGGTTGAGACATGTTAGGGAGTCGTGCAATAAGCCACAGCAATATGCTTTTACCACAAGGCACAGTATATGTCCTTTTTTTTTTGATTTGAGTAAGGCGAAGGATATTGTGGGTTAGAAGCCACAAGGAATAGCTCACCAGGAACCAAGTACAATAATCATGGACAACCCAAGTGAACAAACAAAAGGCCTTGCTACTTCCTAGGTATGTGCCAACATAACAAGGAAAGACTGACCCATGCTTCTCAAACCCTCGGCAGCAAAGTCGGACATCGACGTCCATATGGCCGTGTCCGGCGCTAACAAATGAATTACACTCCCTGTCGACTTGTCGACCTCTCAGAAATAACCCGGACTTCTCGATCTCGCGGTCAATTACGCTACCTCTCCCAAAAAACAGTCCAGCAGCTGCAGAATAGTCAGAATCGCTCGACGCCCTTGAGGTTCTTACAGAACCCCCGGACCTGGGTGTTTTATCTGTTAGACGCCCGTCCTAATAATAGTACAGCGTTTATCCTTAGGTTTCATCCATCATCTAGTCACAAGAGGAATTCAAAATAACACAAACTTTATTGAGTCCTGGTTCGGTGAAATGTTTTTGGAGGAGGTTGGGCCTTGGGGTGGACTTTACAAACGGGGCAACTCATGGCTTGAGTTGTTTGATTAATAGTCCAGTTGATAATCCAATGATGGTGACTACGCAAATAGTCATCATGAAAAACCATAAACAGCAGAAGGTTAGTCAATTATGCTGCTGAGGTTGACCGGTTTCGACAGATGTTTGTATCTAGGGTTGTTACACTGTAGGTAGTATGCAGACTCCTGGGTCAACCCCGAGAGAACCGATGCGCCCGTGATACCCCGTTGACAAGAAGATAAATTAAAGCGTCAATTTGAGTTCGCTCGAGCCACTGCCTAGTCTCCAGCATTTATTCCTGGCTGGCTGACTGGGCGAGCGGCGAGCCACATATTATGCCGAGGGGATGGCGCCAACCGGCTCAATTCGAAAGAAGAGCATGATACATCCATCGATGGCAACCGGAGTAATAATACAATCTCACCGGCTCAAGGTCCACGGTCGAGACGCTTGTCGAGGTATAATAAAGCATGTAAGATGTCTGTTCTTCACACTAACCCCGATTGGCAACCCTGTAAGCGCCGGGGTTATAATTAGATCTGGAAACCAACCGGGGAATTTCCACAGCGAATGACCGTACACCATGTCCTTCTCCACTTCGATCCCAGCAGAGCTCCCAGATCGATGGCAATCACCAACCAGATTGCTCGTCATTGTCTGCAGACCAGCTCATGTTTCGCGTGGCCGTCAACCCTAGCCCCGGAAGGATTCCAGCGCATACCGACCTGCCAATGGTTGAGCGCAGTGCGGCGAGGTAGTTGCGGGCGGCTAGCCTCTGGTGCATCCTGGCTCGATTCTGTTTATAGATACTGCAGCCTGGGTTTCGGGTTGAGAGCGAAGAATGTCGCCGGGCTCGAGTAGGCGACTTGGTAATTTGGGGGCTGGTATATATTGTCTGTGCTCTGCGCTGACGACCTGGTCGCCGATTCACCGTTGCTCTTTGTTTTCAACTGCATACTACTCAGCTGGCTTCGAGTGGTTTGGACGTCTTTCCTTTGTCCTGACTCTCTTTTGTCGTTCAACAAAACTCCTACTTAGCATATTCATCATTGAAGATATCTCTGAGGGATCCCTTCATATTTTAAATTGATACCTACTATATCCGCGTAGACCGTGGATCGACTCAGCATCCGACATGCGTCCTATCTTATACCTCACTTCGTGCCTGGTGGCCACCTCCCTGGCAGCGCCGACCTTCTTCGACGATGCATACAATTACTCCGACGAGATGGCCGAGTTCCTCGGAAAAGTGAGCCAGCACATCCACGGAGACGTCAAAGACCTTCTCCACAAAGCAACCACATGTGATCCATCGAGCATCGCCTTGCCATCGCACGCGTCAGGACTACCCCCTCCCGACGACCAAAAGCCAGCCTACGTCGCTGTAGGCCGTGGCACACAGGTAAGACATGCCCCCCTCTGCCCATACACCCCCAAACAGACACACGGCTAACGACAACCAAACAGAACTACACCTGCACCGACTCCACCTCCAACTCCAAGCCCGAAGCCGTCGGCGCCGTCGCCCGCCTCTACAACGCCACCTGCATCGCAGCCAACTACCCAGACGTGATCCACACGCTGCCCGGCCTGGCCTACAAGCTGACCTTGCCCCCGGGCGACGCCGACCCGCTGCCCCCCGCGAACATCGACCTCCTGGGCCACCACTTCTTCGAGAGCAAGGTCCCTATCTTCGACCTGGACACTACGACCTCCCGGAAGTTTGGCGTCGCACGGACAAAGAAGGTCAGTGATATCGATGCGCCGTCGGATGCGATTCAGGGAGAGAACGGGGCGGTTGCGTGGCTCTACCTTGAGACGGTCGATGGCACGGTCGGGGGTTACTCGGGTGTCTATCGCGTGGACACTGTTGGGGGGGCCGCCCCTAAGACCTGTGAGGGGATGGAGTCCTCGTTTACTGTGCAGTATGCGGCGAACTACTATATTTATAAGTCTTGATGGGTTGGGTTGTTCCTTTGATTCTTGGCTGGGATGTCTTTCTTTTTCTTTTCTGTCAATTTGCATAGTATCGGTGTTATAGGGATCTTGTTTAGACGCATTGCACATTTCGAGTCATACAGGATGGTGACTTACCATTGACATACCATGTAGGTACCTTACAGTACTCACTATGCCGTAGGAATACCTCACAGAGCCTGAGGTATCTCCCTGTAGATCAGTCCTGCACTCCCATTGGACGAGGGCTTGCACATATCAGGTGACCTCGCTATGAGCGGCCACCCACGTGACCGACCGGCGTGCCCACAGGCCCGATCCCCAAAGCGGCCTAGCGCGGTCTTGATTTTCAGAGATTCCAAAGGCTCTGCCTGAAAATTCTCGACCGCCAAAAAAAAAAAAAAGAGAGAAAAGTCCCCGACAAGCAGCACGGCCTCGACCTCGAATCATCGCCAACGAGTCCTTCTCTCTTCTTTCCCTCTAGTCCTTTTGTTTCAATCTCACGAGATTGGCGATATCGACAGGGTCCCACCTTTTCGACTCCGATTCTTTTCATCCTTCGAACCTCCTGTGTGGTGCTTAGCATCCCAGTCCTACGTTTTTTTTTTCCCGATCGATTTCGAAAGAATAATATCATAACACACAATGGCTTTCGGACCCCCTAGAGGCGGACGTGGCGGTGGCCGTGGTGCTCCCCGTGGCGGCGGTGGTGGTCGAGGTTGGTTTTTTTTTCTTTGCATCCCTGGGCGTTTGAAAACGTCGTGACGCCCAACGTGGTTGGAATCGGTTGTGGATGTTTGCGATGCCATATGTCTTTGACTAGATTCTTCTACTTGGGTGGATGGCGTTGGCTCGTCCTGCGATCTTGGTAGAGACAGACTGGCTAACTCGTTGACTGCAGGTGGCTTTGGAGGTGGTGCTCCCCGTGGCCGTGGTGGTGGCTTTGGAGGTGGTGGCCGTGGTGCCCCCCGTGGTGGCCGTGGTGCTCCTCGTGGTGGCCGCGGTGCTCCCCGTGGTGGCCGTGGTGGTGGTAAGCCCGGTGCCCGTGGTGGTGCCAAGGTGGTTGTCGTAAGTAGTCCCACGATATTTTTGGCTTGGGAAGAGAAGGGCCAAGCAAGGGCGAAATTTGATGGATGAAAAGCTGACATGCCTGCTCTACAGGAACCCCACCGTCACGCTGGTGTCTTCGTCGCCCACACCGGCAAGGAAGATCTGCTGGTCACCAAGAACCTGACTCCCGGTGAGGCCGTCTACGGCGAGAAGCGTATCTCGGTCGAGGGTCCCGCCGGCGACGAGGGCGCCGTGACCAAGACCGAGTACCGCGTGTGGAACCCCTTCCGCTCCAAGCTGGCGGCCGGTATCCTGGGTGGTCTGGACGACATCTACATGCGCCCGGGCTCCAAGGTGCTGTACCTGGGTTCCGCCAGCGGTACCTCGGTCAGCCACGTCGCGGACCTGGTCGGTCCCACCGGTAACGTCTACGCCGTCGAGTTCTCGCACCGCTCCGGCCGTGACCTGATCGGCATGGCCACCCACCGCACCAACGTCATCCCCATCGTCGACGACGCCAGACACCCGCTCCGCTACCGCATGCTCGTGCCCATGGTCGACGTTATCTTCGCGGACGTTGCCCAGCCCGATCAGGCCCGTATCGTCGGCCTGAACGCCCACATGTTCCTCAAGGCCGAGGGCGGTGTCATCGTCAGTATCAAGGCCAACTGTATCGACAGTACCGCCAAGCCCGAGGTCGTCTTCGCCCGTGAGGTCCAGAAGATGAGAGACGAGAAGATCAAGCCCCGGGAGCAGTTGACTCTGGAGCCCTTCGAGCGTGACCACTGTATAGTGTCGGGTCTGTACAAGCGTTCTGGATGAAAAGCTATTTGACGTTTCCTAATTTGGTTTTGTTTGATTTTTTTTCTTCTATCTTTCTTTCTTTTTTTTATCCTGGCGTCGAGTGTTTGTGATATGCCGAAATGTTTTATTTACTTTATGCTTCTTTCCTTTAATCTTTGTGTCGAGGTTTCTTACCTGTATTTTTGGTTTGAATCAAGAAAGTTAGACTGGGATGAGTTTGTAATTTGTTGTAGACATTAGACAGGGATGTAGAGCAAGTGTTGCTATCACTAGTTGACAATGGCTAGTCATAACTTGATTATCCAGAGTATCATATACTTTACCTTATTTGCACGAGGGGAGAAGTCAAAGTCTGACCAGGACTCTCATTCCATATCTATTCCAAATTATGCACAGTGAACAAGTCCACAGAAATAAGCCTAAACCCAACCCAACCACACTATCAACATCAACCATCAGTGCATAGACAGCAATAATCCACAGCCCCCCCCAAATGATAACGACAGGGATAAATCCACCAGAAAAGGAGTAACGGGGCTCCAGATGTACCACCTCAACACGATTGACTATGGCAGCCCATCCTATTCCGGTGCTGCCATGAAGCTGTATTGAGGGTAGTCACATACTCTACTAGGTCTGTTTGATTGTAATTACTGGTGTGTGAAGTAAAAACATATATGATCGATTGTTCTTCATCTATAGACTACTCCGGTACTCCCGTATGGCATAATCCTGGAATCGAGGACGTGGTAAATCACTGGGAGACTCTCATCATATCTATACCAGCTACTTCCTATGGAACGTGCGGGAGCAATTGGACATGCTTGTTCCCTAACTTCAACTTGCTGTATGTGCAGGCGTCTATCTCATCATGAGCTACCTCCCTTGGTATGGTCATCCTCGATGCCATGCTGGAGTCGTTCCTGGCTTTATGCTACCGACTCATGCACAGCCTGGGTGATTTGGATAATGCCATGATTTTGCACACATTAGATACCGATGCAGTCACTATCCCGAGGGTGATGGACCGCGGTCGATTTAGAGTACGGCAAGGATTGCTGTACCGATTAGCCGACTCATTTTCTAGTGTTCTCATGACGAGAGGTGAGATGTTAGCTTGGTGCGTTTCATCCATATCATTAGATCAACGGAAGTGTAGTTCCTGAAGATCACTGATCGGGAATTTCGAGCCACAGCCACCGTCGTCATCAATGTTGATAGTAAACTACCGACATGATTTAACCTGCTTGCATTAAGCCATATTCCAAACGAAGAAGCCCGAAAGAGAAAGAAGGAAGGAGTGGAGCACTGACTAATCGCCCATCATGTGACAGGCACGGCGATGATGACATCGGATCCGGCAGCTTCTCCGCCATCGCGACTGCCCTTTTTTGACTTTTACCCCCTCTCCTTCCCCTGCCTACCTCGGTCCCTCCAAGAGCATCTATGCGATCCGTTTTACCGGCTTCTTCCAAACTTGCATTACGACCTTTTTCATCGTCGAGATATCTTCTTCGTGCTCACTCGCCCTCTCCTTGGACTTGTCCTAGACCGAACGCCCCTCTTGGTTTCGTGCCCCGCTCTGTCTTACCTTGCCACGCCACCAGAAGAACTATGGCGTCCGCGACGACTTTTTACGACTTTGAGCCTGTCGATAGTAAGTCTTCCCTTCTATCCAACATACCTCAAACCAACGGCAATCAAAAAAAGGAAAAGATAAGATAAAGGAAAAATGCTAACCTTAACCTCCAGAAAAGGGCTCCCCCTTCCCTCTCACTCCCCTCAAAGGCAAAGTCATCCTCGTCGTCAACACCGCCTCCAAATGCGGCTTCACTCCTCAGTTTAAGGGCCTCGAGACCCTCTACCAGACCATTAAGGAAAAGTACCCCGAGGACTTCACCATCCTCGGCTTCCCCTGCAACCAGTTCGGCAGCCAGGACCCGGGCTCCAACGACGACATCCAGTCCTTCTGCCAGGTCAACTACGGCGTCACCTTCCCGGTGCTGGGCAAGCACGACGTCAATGGCGAAGACGCCGCGCCCCTGTGGACTTGGATGAAAGAGCAGCAGCCTGGCCTGATGGGCCTCAAGCGCATCAAGTGGAACTTTGAGAAGTTCCTCATCTCCCCTGACGGGAAGGTCGTCGGGCGCTGGGCTAGCGTTACCAAGCCCGAGTCGCTGGAGCAGACCATCCTCGCTGAGATCGAGAAGGCTAAGAAGGCGGGGTTGCTGGCGTCGCAGCAGGCTCAGGGTGGTGAGCAGGCGAAGTTGTCGTAAGCGTGTGATGGATTGATTTTTAATTTCCTTTTGTTTGTAGGTGATACCATGCCTTTCTTATGTTGATTCTTTTCGTACATTGAAACTACGTGTATGTGTGTACGTGTGTGTATGCATTTGATTTCTGTTCGTGTTATTCATACCAGATTGCAACGCTGCATAGCGCCTGTGTTCATGGTAATCGTCATAATCGCATCTTAATATATGATACTCCCCGAACCGCTCCTAGCCCATCTTTAGATGCAGTAGACACCAATTCAAGCAGCACCACCCTTGGGGATCAAATTCCGCAAGGAAAGATCGTACACGACGTCTTCCACTTTCTTGACCTGGACGAGTTTAGCATTTTCTTCTCCCATTCTGATAGTTTCACATACACTATACTTAATCCCATCACTCCTCTTCCGCAGGATATCATTCTTCAAGTTCAGCAGCTGGAACCCAGAGAACAGATCCTTGATGAACTGGCTGATCTGCAGCGGACGGTCATAGTCGCCGATTGTGACGGAGTTGACAGCAAGGCGAGACTATACATTAGTTAGTAGCTAGAATATACACATAGAGCGTAAAGAGAGAGAGAGGGAAGGGGGGACAGACCAGCTCTTCAACCATGGAGATCAGAGCGAGGAGATACTCCTCGATTGTGAGATGGAACGCATCTTGCTCTTTGAGATTGACGGGGACTGTACGTTTAAATATAATCAGTTTCGCACCCATATTGAAAAAAAAGGAAGAAAGAAGATGAGACGCACTGTCAAGAAACTTCCCGACCTCCTCAATCGTCAAAAACGACGCTGACCCAGAGCTCTTATACTCCTCTAGACCGCCCAACCAGGCGCAGAGCTCGATGGCGGAGACCTACCCACAGAGCAAGTTAGCTAGCTCACAGAATAGAGTAGCATAGCCAGAGACAGACCAGATTCTGCAGTTCGCGTGTCCACACCCCGTTGTACTTGTAGAACGGGTGCTTGTCTGCCACGGCTTTCAGGGCCTGGACTTCTTGCTTCTGGGCGAGGATCTCTCTGGTGGCGTCTTCGAGGACGGGGGTCACTGGATTGGTTAGTATCTCTTTATATATTGTCTGTCTTGTTTTGTTTGTTCTATTTGGTTTGGGTTGGATAGAGGGAAGGGGGTGAGGTTAGATACATACGCTGGTTCCTGGGGGTAGAGTGAGCCCGTGAGAGGATAGCTTGTGTGGATCTTCCTGGGATGCATCAGTTCTGGACCGATTATTTGCGCTGTCTTCTCCGCTCTTCTCTTCTATCTGCATCATGCAAGACAATTGACTGAATAGCTAGGATATATACCTCTTCTAGCAAGGGTTTGTACGATATCATGAAGTTCCTAAACCGTCCTGTCAGTTTGGATCTAGTTTTTTTCTCTCATCATCCCGCCGAAGAAAGCTCCGTCTTGGCGGGATTGGAGCGGAGGGGAGGAGGGAGGGACTGGACTTACGTCGCGGACGGCGGCCTCCTCGTCGATCTTTGCTTGGAGATCTTCGAAAATTCTGTTCTCGATCATGGTGGTGGTGAAGGGTGGGATGGGGTTTGTTTGTTGGAGACTGGAGGTTGACTGTGGTGAGAGGAGGTGGGTGTGTGTGTGGCTGTTGGTTGGAGGTTTCAGAGATGGCGGGCAGGATTGTTGATAGAGCTTCAGATAATGTTATTACACCACATTCTTCGATCCATCGTTTTTTACTATTACTATTGTTATCATTATATATTGTTACGATTTCCTTTATTTCATGTGAGGTGATATACTCGTCTGTTCATATTTAATGTACGCGCTCTGGTCTGACCTGTATCAAGAACGAACGTCCTACCGCGATCGCGGCGTCTCTACTCAAGATATTACCGATAGAACGGGAAAACTCGACATGCAAGACTTCGTTCGACAAGCTACAAGTCAAGTTGTATTATGATAGGGGAATTAGCTGTACAGACATATGGCAATGGGCCGAGTACCGACAGGTACGATTGCATCTCTTGAAGTCAAGATACACTCGTGGCTATTGACGGGTTTACATACTGAATGTAAACACGGGGACAAAGAACCGGACTAAAAGCTAGACTTTATATTGGAGATACGACTTAAAAACTATTTTCTTCTCCAACCAGCTGGATATACCAACCAAATTGATGAAAAAAAAAGTTCGCGTCGATCGGGAGTAGTGTAAGCCCAATGACACTGTGTGGCCAGACATGCGCAAGCACAGAGGACCGGCCACGGGATCCAAAAATGAGATTAATCAAAGTTGTGTTCAGTTAGAACACTTTCAGAGATTAAACTGAAAAGAACAGATACTACACTTGATCTAAGCCAAAAGGCAAAGAGAGCTGGAGAAGAAAAGAAAAAAGATTAAACGGAGGAGGGGAGGAGGAGGTATTTATACTCTTCCCCTGTTGGTCCGTGCGATGCTAGTCCGCTAGCGCGGTTCAGGGATGACGGAAGCGAGCGAGATCGACTACTGTCAGGTGATTGGAGACAGCCCTAACTGCAGCCCAGCTCCAGCCCTAGCCACTATGCCCGAAGGAGAATCGCTCCCCGAGACTGACTGCCTGGTCTCCACCACGCAGTATCCGTCGTTTTTTTCCCTTTGATCTTCTTCCAGGCGCAGGATACTTACCTCTTTGCGACCATCTATCTATCTATCCCCCATACCAGCCCCTCCTCCCCAATCAGTCGCAATGGCTCCCGCTGTCTCTGTATGTTACCGTCCCTGAAACCGCTTTGCTGTTCCCCCTGATGGGTCGATCGTGTGTGTTTTTCATCTGCCACTGACCGACTGGAATATGTCGGTCAGGGAATGGGAAAAGCACACACCGACACCCCGGGGATTCGACATCAAGGAACAGTAGGCTAATTTCAATGTCATCTGGATGAATAGGCTCGTGGTCGCAAGGCCCAGAAGGTCACCAAGAAGGTATGTCCCGGCTACTCTTATCCTACCCACTCTTAACGATAACAGCCCTAACCAGCTTGTATAGTTCACCATCAACGCTTCGCAGCCCGTGAGCGACAAGATCTTCGACCTCTCCGCCTTCGAGAAGTTCCTCCACGACCGCATCAAGGTCGAGGGCCGCGTCGGCAACCTCGGCGACAAGATCGTCATCTCCCAGGCTGCCGAGGGCAAGCTTGAGGTCGTTGCTCACATCCCCTTCTCCGGTCGCTACCTCAAGTACCTGTACGTTCACCCGACCTGCCTTTACCTCATCCGGAGGAAAACTACGACCCGTTGAACGACCCGATACTAACTATAAACAGGACCAAGAAGTACCTCAAGAAGCAGCAGCTCCGTGACTGGATCCGCGTGGTCTCCACCTCCAAGGGCGTCTACGAGCTCCGCTTCTACAACGTCGCTTCCGAGGAGGCTGATGAGGAGGAGGAATAGATTATTCGTCTATTTTCGCTTTCTCGTGGGGATCTTAGATACCAAAAATAAATTAAAAAAAACTTAGCAAATGATTTGAAATATATTCAGTTGTTAAATTGGGGGTTTTCATTGTTTAGTGTGTTGTAGGTTGTCATTGTATACTGTATAGTAAAGTGAGGCTTGCTTGATAGGGTCTTGTTTGGATGCTGGTTTGAGGTGGCTCGGTTGTCGTGTGGCTGGGCTAGACATAGTATGTACTATGTGTGATCGTCTTGTTCAAGAAAGACTGTAACTGTAAGGCAGCCCTTGTGTCTATCTCTGTCTGCTGTCCTTGTGCTCCCGGCGTTATGAACCGCAGATATTCGAATTGATATCATCGTTCCGCATGCCAAGTGGTCTACCATCATCCTATTCCATTGGGTATCATAAACGAACTATATATGCCAAATTCGTGAGAATCAACCACCACTCCTCAACCACCACTCCCGCGCTTATGTCCAGCCCCAGGCCCCAGACCACGAACAGGTCCAGAGGCCGTCACACCAGGAGGCGGAACGAGGCGGACACCCTCAATCCGCCATCCCTTCGCCCGGAGAGTCTTCCAAGTCTCTGCAGCCTTAACTCTCACTAGATCGCCCGTGGCGACTGCATCCTCCCTGGAATCGTGGCCCCTGTTTCCACCGGTTTGGATATCCCGATCGAGATACCTCTTGCTGAGGATCTTCAGGCTTGTGCGGAGGGGTAGACCTCGCGGATGCGGGTATAGGAGGACCGTGTCGATGATGGTCGGGTGGATGATGCGGCTGGCGTTGAGGTCGTTGTCGATTGCGTGGCCGATGAGCGGCGTGTCGGGCTGGAGGAGCGAGAAGAGGAGGGAGCGCGCGGCTGCGGGCGACTCGACGACTTGTAGTGGGGCGGACTCTTCCTGTGACGGTGGGGTGCTCCCGTATGGTATTGCTTTGGTGTAGTGCTCGGGGAAGACGCCAGAGAAGCGCGAGTTGAGGTCTAAGACCTCCCCTATGGGCCGTACCAAGACGTCGAGGAGGGGTTTTCCTTCGGGCCAGCTGACGGCTGTTAGGCGGATGAGCTCGAGACCTAGGGTTGTGTATCCCATTTCGCAGTCGAAGCACACGGGCGACTGTGGGCCCTTGTCTGGCTGTGCTGGGGTCTCGGCGAATTGGAGGATTGATGCGAGGCGTTTTGTCTCTGAGACTTTGAAGACGTGCGAGTTGCCTTTGGTGCAACCGGAGGAGGTCCCCAGTGTCTCGTTGCAGCAGCTGTAGTACGCTTCTCGATGGCCGGTGATGTGGTCGGTCTGTTTCCTTGTGGGATAAAGAGGCTTCCCTGGGTGGTAGGTGCATTTGCCCCCGGTGGTGAGTGAGCCGTCCTCGCGACGACCGGGAAACACCTGAAACCGGCCACCGCACCGATCGCATTTCTCCCAGCCCTTGGATTCGATGACGCCCTTCTTGGCACCCTCGACTTCCTCCTGCGTGGGTGCCCTTGTCACGTAACCGTGGTTTTCTAGGCCGTTTAGAGGCGTGATCAGCTGGCTCGCAAGCGCGATCTCCTCGTTGACGGTCATGCCAGTCGTGAAAGCTTTAGGATTCGCCTCTGGTGTCGCCGGCGCAAGCTTGTAATATCTATCATTTAAATGAGCCTTGACTTCTTTGACCCAGTCCTCCGTGCTCATTTTGGAGAGCTTCACAATCCGGAGCTTGATGACATTTCCGTATATGCTTGCGTTCTCTCGCGCAAACTTCTCTTCTTCATCCAGTGCCATAGTAACCAGTTCATTGGGGGTCAGAATCAGGTATTTCTCGGTGCTGTCTTTGTCTTTGGCCACCTTGTTGTTCAGGGCAGTCATCGCGCCATGTAGCTTGGTCAAGATAGACAGCCGCACGCCGTGCGTGGCTGGCGTTTTGGGAATCATTCGGGGGTTTAGACTTTCTTTAGGAGCTCGTCTCGGCGGGAGACGTGATTGTGACGGGGCCGCTGTCGCTTGTGTCGACACTGGTCTTGAAGGCGGCGGCGAAACCGCTCGGGACGCCGACTGAATCTTCGAGGGTCCTTGGCTTGCAGGCTTAGCCTTAGCATCGCTGCCACTAGCCACCGCTGGTGAATCTCTCGGTACGCTAGATTGACTTTTCGGGGCCGGTGACGGCCTCTCCTTCGGTGAAGGTCTTGACTGATCTTTTTGCGAAAAACCACTGCTCTTGGTAACGCTCGCATCTAGCTTGGGTTTCTTCCGCGCTGGAGCCTCCGCCGTTGTGTCATCAATCTGCATGGGTTGTGAATCGTCCGCCGCGGAGGGTTCATCAAAGGGAGGGTTGACGCTCTCGTGAGAGAACATGCATGTCATGAGAGAACATTGGGAGCCCTCCGGACAAGGGACCTCCTTGAACAGGCCCAAGGTAGCAAACATGGTGATAAGAAGAGATACGGTCGTCGATGGTCGTGGAGAAAACGGGTGATAGAACAATAGACACGGTTGGACTAAGTCGGTAGAAGCCACTGCTCATAACCTCCCTATTCCTAGAGTATGTACCCAAATACTGCAGTATATCCAGAAGTGACTGATATCCAATCTGCCAAAGAAGACAGATGTGTCCAAGGCGTTGTGGCTGTTCAGTCCTCAGCTCTGAACACGTGCAGTTCACTAGAAACTCAGCCGGCAATGGCTCACGCAGAAATATTAGCCCATCCCAGCCAAGCCATACCAACCAGTCTATTGCTTGGTCTTCACTGTCTGAGTGCTCTGCAGTATCATGTCTGGTGGAAAAAAGCGGACGGGGAAATGATCACAGCCAGGATGTCGAAGTGCAAACACCCCAAATAACACAAAGCTCTTATCTTATCATCGGTCCCGTGGATGCTGAATAATATGATGCCTGATTAATGGGGCATACATTTGTGCATCCAACGAGTGACGTCCTTACTGTTACAGCTGTATATTGCAGGATATTATGTGTTTAAATTTGGAATTGTTGAGGATCGCCCATACGTGATTTTCCCAGGATCGTCTGTACTACGTTTAGTTCAGTTGAGCGACATGGTAGAGCGTATTACCAGTGACTTCATCGCTGACACTGGACTCGCCACATGTATGATTCCATGACATACATGACTAGTATACATCCAAAAAATACTTTTATCTACGCTCTGACTAGACGAAGTGGAATCATTTATGTGTACTCATAATCTCATTATATCATATCTAGTAATAGTATCTCGCCATGAGCCCCCTGACTTAGGAAGACACTAAGATATCCAGACGGTATAGTACTTCCCGCCAATTGTCATTTTTCACCTGGAACGCCACCGGTGGGTCCATACCCTGGTGCTCCTCTATAGAAAAGAACATGCAATTAAGAAAGGAGAGTGAAGGAAGAGGTTATCCGTCCCTGGGCAAGGAAGCCCTCGCAGGGGAATAACCCGAGCCCGAGAAAGAGGGGCAACCGTATATCAATGAAGAGACCGTGGTAGCAGTAAACCCAGGACCACGAATATACGGGGGGTGGCGAGGAAAGGGGGAAAAGGAAGCGTGAGGTGGAGAACTTTGCCGCAAAAGCGCGTTTATCAATTGTAGATGGCACCCGCCTCCTCAGTTTTCTCGCCCTCGAATTCTTTCGGGTTCTTCTTGAACTCGCGGTCCATGGCGAACTTCACAGCCCCCAGAACGTCGTCGGTGACCTGCTTGGGCGGATACCGCGGCTCCATGCCCTCCTGGTAAACGCCGGTCTTGACCAGAATCGAGTACCAGGTGGCGTCGCTGATACGGTCGAACTCGTTGGTACCGCGGACGTCGGACTCAGGCGTGTCACCAATGAAATAAACCGTTCCAGGGGGTTTGTTGATCCCGTGGATCTCCTGGCGCCACTGCTGCAGGAGCTTGGTGGCAAACTGGAAAGTACCCAGCTGGGGCTTGCCGAAGGCAGTCGTCGCGAGGTCCTTGCCGGTGATCGTTTTGTAGAGGGTTTCCAGGGAGGCACGGAGCGCACCCATGCCGAGCCGGCAGTGCTCGTGGGACGTAGACCAGACAACGTCGGTGTGGGAGAAGAACACGGGAGGTCCCTCCTCGTGGGTCTCAGACCGGGTGCCCAGGTGACCGTTCTTGGTCATGATCACGTCCAGGATAATCTGCTGGTCGCCGGCCCAGTCGCGGCTGTCGGCGAACACGAAGATGGCGTCGATTTTGGTGTTGGAGAGATCGCGGGCCCGGGAGTTCTCGAACTCGTCGTCGGTCAATTTCCGGAACGGGGTGGTGTCCTGGCGGGTTTTGATGATGTCGCCGGGGGTGATCACGTCCTTGAATCCGTAACCCTCGGCCACGACGCGGCATTTCTCGCCTTCGCCACCGACCACGAGCACGGTGTTGTATCTCTCAGTCATTTCTCGCATGGGGGTGTGGCCGCAGATGAACTGGCCGGTGGACACCTCGATTTCGAGTTGACGACTGAGGTCTAAACATCGTTCTTCCTCGGTCTTGCCACCACCATTTGTTAAGAAGATATAGGGACTAGACGGAATAGTTAGTCAATCGATCTACTCCAGACAGGGAGGCAGGGAAGGACATACACTTTCACCCCATAAGGATTCTCTCCATTGATGTACTTCAAAGCGCCGACAGCCTCGGGGATCGGTTTCCCGCCTCTCATGAGGACGCCATCGATGTCGAACGCAAACGCAAACTGGTCCGCCGTAGCGACAGGCCGCTTCTCGATGGGCTCAGCATTTGCAACGGGGTTCTCGCCCGAAGACACTTTCTTTTGCGGTTGTTGTTTGGTCATTTCCCTTTCGATGGCTGATATTTCAGGGTCGGTAGGAGGTATTAAGTCCTTCGGAGGCACGACGACGTTGGGACCAGTAGGGAGATCGGTCCGACGTATATCCAGACCGGGGACCTGGCTTTCTAACCCGTGGGTGGTCGCCATTGGCATGTTGTGGTACAGTTTGAACGAGGGGTGGAGACCGGATAACTGGTTTTGGTAGAGACTTGTGGGGCCTCTGACGGAGTATTGTGAGGTTGATCGCCACTGGGGTGTACTATACTCCGTATCTTCTAGCAAACAAAGCGCTAGTCGAGAATTGGTAGAGTTGGGGTTTGTGCCAGACGCTGATTATATCTGGGACAACGGGGTGGAAAGGAGCGGAGATGCTGAGCGGTTACTCAAAACAACTGTCCTTGTAGTTGTAAATCGATACGGTCGAAGGACGATCAGGATAGAATAAAAAAGTCAAGTTAGAAGAAGGGGTTGAAGTAGACCGAGAGCAGTACACTGAACATGGAACTCGGGCCCCATTAAATAAAACATGAGAGTCAATGGAGAAGCCAGCCGTGGGTCCGTCATTGACGACATCGCGGCCGACAATCCTCGATAACAGTATTCTTAATATTCAGGAAGAGGCCAACCCCATTGCCGGGTTTGGCTGAATTGTCCCTCAGACTGTCAATTCCAATGGTGGATCCACACCAAGACACGCTGATTTGTTCTCCATTCGGCGGGTCTGGCACTGTCTAGACCGGTTCTGTCGTTACCATTGATATCATAGGCAAGGTTGACACCAACCAGAGATAAGATTGGACGAGAAGGAGTTTGGAATGGAAAGAGAAAAGGAACAAAATTCAAAAGAAGCGGATATTATAATACACAACATCTTTTTCCAAATACGACCCATCCCCCAAGATATGGAGAAATTCATCTCAACAGTCAATCCCGATTCCCGTATAACAAGTACGAAAGCGCCGAGAGATGAAATTCTCGTCATGACGTCACCGCCACAGTGTTCGGTTGCCGACATACACCACTACGTACTGATCATCCCCCGGCGAATCACGGACACGAAAGGGGCCACGATTATTAACGCGTCATGATGTAACTGCGGCTTAACATCTAAACTTAGTCGTAATGATGTGTTGTTATGGTTTCCGGTTGTAACTCCGTGCTCGGCCAAGCCATAGCCAGAACAGGACAGGCTTTCTTGACTCTAAGAGATGGCATCCACACGGGGTAATTCGACTTCAAGTCATGAATCATCATCAGGAGAGAAGGCTTAGGATTGTGAACAGTTGGTTTCTAGGAAGAACTGGGTCTAAAGATACTGCCCATATGCTTTCATTCGTTGACTCTCTCACTCTATATATATAATTAATGATTATCCAGAATCATATCACAGCAGAATATAATACACGTGAATAAGTAGATAAATGTCTCAATCCACCCGAAGAATCAAGTCAGATCCCAGTCGAGAAGGCGTAAGATTGCGCTCCACCGGTACTGGCTTCTTTTTCGGCATGCAGAAAGGCGTGTCGGTGGAGCGCCGACGGTCAGATGAAGCGCGGGCAGCGGGATCCAACCAGTAGTCGTCGGGAGCGTAAGGGACCGTCAACGTGGGGGGTTGCGGTCTGCCGCGATGGATATCCACTCTCTTGATATCGTCTCGTCGCACAATTCGAGGCCGGGTCACTATCTCTCGTACCGGGCTGACAGCTCGAGAAGGTGGAATCTGGGGGTACATCCCCAGTTGTGGGGCAGGGTGGACATGATCCCGCTGCCCTGTTTTCTGCATATCGCCGACTGGTGTGCGAACCTCTCTCACGGGACTGAGAGACGTGAACCCGCCGGAATGTCGGGACGTCCGGCGGGACCGTGAGTCCTCGTTGATATCGACGGTTTGAAAAGTGTTCACTGGATCATCCCGGGGGTTGCTGTCCGTGTGATGATCGTAAAATGAACGCCGCTGCGCGTTGCGAGACGAGGGCCGCTCGGTGCCTCTTGCGTACCCGAAATTCGGGTTGTGCCAGTAACTCGCAACATCCTTCTCCCAGCGTTCTATGGGTGAGAGGCGGTGTATGTCGGCGCGTCGTGAGGGTTGGATCTTTTCGCCAGCGTTTGCGTATACTGGCTTCTTGCGTGGGTCCCACCCTCTCGGGGTCACCATGCCGGTGTGTGATTTCCCAAAGCCATATAACATCGCGCGGGGATTGGCCGGCAATCCCATCATCGGAGGTCGACCGTTTTTAGGACGGCCTCCATTCCTATAACGTCCTGCTGTACCCGGGAAATTGGGATACTGGTAAAGGCCGCCCACAACGCCTCTCGAGCTTGTAGCTTCTTCCTCGAACATGGTTTCGCCAGTAGCAGGATTCATATACTTCTGTTGACTCCACCGCAGGGGTTCCGGGCAAAGCCCGTACGCTGGCTTGTCTGGTAGGAGGTCCGAAGCAGTGCGTGGGGATGACTGGGTCGGTGAAGCACCGAGGTCAGAAGTAGAGGAATAGGCAAAGCCAATCCGACCTTGGTGGTAGTTTCGTCTCTGATCATTTTCATCATCGTCATCGGCTCTCGTGATGACCACTGCCGGATTGTGGTCTGCAGACTCTGGCGGCGACGGCGACACCAATCTTACCGTGTCTGAGTTAGTGTCTCCTGCATCAGCCATAGGAGTAGGTCCTCTAGGCGTTGGCGAGGGGCGCCTAGGCGGAAGTGAGAAATCCGGAGGCTCGGACATGACCCCGCCAATTTCGAAGAAGTCACGGTCCTTGGGCTGTTGGTTCCGACGCCGATATTTGCGACAGCAGAAGAATAACACGACCCCAATTATGAAAAACCCAGATACACCAGAGGCCACAGAAACCCCTATGACTGCCCCCGCATTGAGGTGGTTAGAGCTCGGAGGCGCAGTGTCAGAAGCCGGCTGATCACTGGTCGTGCTGGGAGAATCTCCTTGTGTTTCGCTGGCCGAAACAGGGCCCTGGAAGCTAGTGACAGATGCGGTAGGCACGTTATTCGTCGTCGTTATTCTTTGCCCGGAGGTTTCGGTCTCTGGGTTCAATGTACTCGTCGAACCGCTGATTATGCTCGTAGGTTGGCTAGGATCGTTCGATATTGTGGACACGACCGTGGCGGTGATGGTGGCATGTGTCCGTGGGAGGGCTCCAGTAATCGAGTCACAAAGGGAATAGACTTTTGAGCCCAGCACAACCTCCATTGAGCACGTCGAGAGGCCACATCGTAAGGCTGCTTCCCCCAAAGTGTATCCGCTCACTGTTTTCGTCCTGCACAGACATCCTAGATCCCACGCCCCGGGGCAGTTACTTTTTTGATAATCGGATGCAATAAACGCCTCGACACACTGTAAGGCGCAGTCCGGGATGGTTTCGAAGTATGTGGGTTTCGACGCCGTTGTCCGGACTATTTGACCTGGTCTAGCCAGGCATAGTGGGATGAAAGAGAGGACTGCTATGACCACACAGTGCATGGCGAGTAGTGGCATATTTCGGCTACTCGCAAACACCTCATTAGCGCATTGATACCTTCATAGCCAACCCAGATGAAAGTCGCTGTCAAACACAACGCACCGAAGTATATTGGAAAGGGCTGATATCCAAAAGCGTCTCATAGCCCGCTGCAATATCGGATCTGCACATGGCCCCAACAATCATAAGGGCGTATAACAGACCATTTCCCTAGGAAATGCGAAAATGAAAGACGCGGGGGAGTGGTTCAAGAATCACAGTCGTCGATTGATGTTGTCCAGAAAACTATGTAACACGTAATAAGAGGGAGAAGGAATCATTCTGAAGAATAGCGTGAGAATCATCTTGCAATTAAGCAATCAAAACCCATCCCCGCGGACTTCATCGTGTCATAGTCCGGCGTCAAGACGCAGATCCCCCTTCCACGACCGTGAGATTGACTGGCTGGGGCATGCACAAGCGGCCATCTCAGACGAGGATGATGAAATCTTACGCCCTATAGGCGCCCTGATGAAACACCCGGGCATCGCGCCCAGTGGTGACGAGAAGGACACCACTAATCGAGCGTGAAGGTGGTAGGCGCTCTCTCCCGGTTGGATAAAGAGGAGTCGAGATACGCGCCGTGTTGGCGCCGACGCGAAGCAAACCGATGTAGGACACCCCGAGTCAGCTGACCAAGGTCGGGGTCTGGGCGCTTCTGGCCCGGAGCACTGACGAGCTTATTTAATTGCAGCGCGATTGACGATCCGTCGCCTACTTCGTTTGTGGGGATTTTGTATACATGGATCGCGTTGAACAGTTGGCAGATTAGGTTGGAAAAATCACACCCCATAATATAGTTTCAGTGAATTGGAATTTATTACGCTGGCAGGAACTACTACTCTATTCTTAGAAAGCTAAATCTTCCACAGCATCTGGCCTGATAAACCAGGCAATTCATTGTTGAAATCACGGGGCTTGTGATATATCAACTCGACCATAATAACACCCCAATTCGTAACACAACACACATGACTCGACACCGCTTTTTGCTAACGTCGTCGCTTCCTCACCATTCTCTACGTCGAGCAACTATAATATAACGGCGAGGTACTGCAGAGAATCATACTTGCATGAACATGGAGGACAGGAGCAAGAGATGGGAAATGATATTTGCGGCCCGGATGAGCCAGATTGTCCCAGGCATCTTCCTCGGAAACGTTCAAGCATCATTCCGACGAGAGATGCTACGACAAAATGGTATCAATGCCATGGTTTCACTTACCGATGCTCGATGGGTCTGGTGGAACTCTACGACAAGGGAGGCGGGGATTCCAGCCAGCCGGCATAAGTGGGTTCAATGTGCAGACCTCTCGACACAGGACCTCCTCGCTCATATGAACAACATCTGCGACTTTATTGACGAGATGATATCGTCCGATCTACCATCAGCGCACTCTTTGAACGTCCAACGACGCCAAAGCCATGGGTTAGATGACCATCCACATGATGCACCTGCAGGAGCGGTACTAATCCACTGCGACCTGGGGGTGTCTCGTTCACCAACTATTATCATCGCCTATCTAATGCGCAAGTATGGCATGAAGCTAGAGCAAACAAGGGCTTTTGTTCAACTGAAACAGAAAGTCAAACCAAGTGCTAACTTCATCCGACAACTTCAAATCTGGGAAGCGCTGGACTATCAAGTCTGGGAAGATGAGGGGCGAACCATTCCCAAACCGCTATATCAAGCATTTCTCAACGACAGAGCGGTTCTTCTGCATAAAAGGGGCCTGACAGGGAATGAGCCACTCGCACCTACCAATCTTTAGTTCGGTCATCGGGGGATCAATCGATTATCCGAATGAGCTTGCATTTCGGAGCTCCTCATCCTACTTGTCATTGCTGTTTTCAAGCGCTGCTCAGCTGCATTTGTTGTTTCTTTGTCTTTCACCATGGTGTTTCGGTTGTTCCTCATCATACATCGTCTTATTTTCATTCGCTGGTACTTTACTTAATGGGACATACACGCACGGTCTTTGAATTCGCCCGCCGAGGCACGAGCTCGTCTGAAATCATTCCTCTACGGTTTGTAGAAGCTTTCCTGGAAACTACATCAGCTCCCCGTTACGTCAAATGGGAGACCCAATGCTGCCGCGAATGATTCGGATCACGGACTTTTGAACGTCAAAGTTGCAGCCTCTCGCTACATGGCGCACCTGGAGAATGTATACGGCGATAATCTGCCAAATATATGGGTGGACTCATTGCGCATTATGACCGTCACTAATGCTTCGTTCAAAGTCCAAGGATTAAACTGTTTAATAATATCGATGACGGGCGGACCTGTTTACATAGATTATGCATCGCGACTCCAGGCGGCATAGACGGCTTTCCCAGATAGATACTAATTGACCGGCGCTTGATGTCCCGTCTCATGTCACGCTGCATCTACTATCACAATTAGGCATCTGCTGAGTTCAATAACGAGTATATGCCTGCGTAAAATACTGCAATTGGTCTATAGAATCAACACAACTCTCCCAACGACTTACGGAAAATTATCAACAGGCTTCAGACAAGACAAAGCGTTGCCAATGCCATAATCCGATCATAAAAGTAAACCAGAGATAAAAAATCATGATTAAGGGTAACGACAAAAAAAAAAACAGAGCCCAGTTGAGCTGGTATCATCCGGAACAAAAAATTCCAACGTAACAGGACATAATAATCATAACAGAAAACAGTCAAGGCATAGGAAACAATCAATCAATCCCAACTCCATCGCAATGACAACACAGCGAAGCTGGAACCACGTCGCTAACCTTCACGCAACCAAACCATCCAATGGGGTCGCCGCCAAGTGGCGCGGCTGCATTTGGCTAGACTTGGGTGGGTCGACCATCATTCCACGGGAAAGTAGGTACTGCTGACACACATCACCGTTCCCTCCCGTTGAATTTGGAATCCGAAAGACGGCCGATAGATTTTCCACTGAAGGAAAAAATCAATCAATCGATCGATCGAATTGATGGACCCGAATTGGCTGGTGGTGGTGGCGGGCGGTCGGATGGAAAAGAGAGGTTGAAGCGGGTCTAGTATTTAAAGATAATGTACCTAAAGAGGTGTATTAGCAATTGCCACTTGAGCGTAGACGTAGACTCATGAGGTCGTAGGGGAGGAATGGTAACAGAACATACATAGCGTGGATGATACCGGGAATCCAGCCCAGGATGGTCAAACAGATGTTGATGAGGAGATCAGCACCGCAGCCGCGCTCCAGGAAGACACCTAGAGGGGGCAGGATGATCGCAAAGATGATCTTGCAGATGTCACTGTTTCGCAGGTTAGCTGTCTGGACAGAGGCACTGGACAGAAGCCCATCGGAGCGAGATATTGGAGAGAATACTCACGAGGCGGTGAAAGGCATGGTGAACGGATGTGTCTTTTGGACAGACGAATTGAAAATAGATGGTTGGTTATTGGTTTGATTCTAAGTTGGAGAGTTGGGAGAATGATAAGAGTACAGCAGTAAAGAGTAAAAGAAATCAGGAGAAAAGACGGGAGAGAATCGGCGGGCTCTTTAACTGTTTTTAAATCAAGGGCGGCAACTCCTAATCCACCAGAGGGAAATCATGGCACGGCTGTTTGTACCTCTCTCTAGCCCCGATAATAATAACCACCACTACTAATTTGCCATTAATTATACTAAAGAAATGATATTTATGGAACCCGAGAACAGGCTCAGCGAGTAATGATGCGTATTCCTCCCCATACACAGCCAAGATGGTTAATTCCTTTAGGTCAGGAGAATCATGCTTTCGATGGATTGACCAGACACGACGTCATGGATCCACACAACCCTGTGGCTCATGCGAGATGCACATCTTTTGATTGGCGTAACGCCACTACTAAACATCATTATTCTGGGATTTCCCGCTGCCTAGACTTTTTTTCGCATCCCGGCTTGAAGACTTGGTTGATACGGCGACACCATCGGCTGACTTCTGCGTCGTACGTGGGCATGCATCTTGCTATCCCCAGTGGCTGAAAGGTGGGAAAGACACAGCCTCGGCTGCAAGGGATTGTCAGGCTGTCTTTTTCTTCCTCATTTCCTGGTCCCGCTGTCATGTCACCTTCTGTCAGTTCACAGTTTGCTTTATCCTGTTGCCTGGGATGGAGGCTTGGCAAGTCAGGGGGGTTCGAACTTCGGTGACTTTGGGATTTGTTTATCTCCCAGGTTACCACTATTCTTACTGGGAAGTTAGTTCCAACATGCATGTGCATACTATATATAAACTGAAGCCGACAGCTCCCAGGCTGACTCCATATTGAATAACAGCCAGATGGGGCGCAGTGGTGGGCCAAGAGCAGCCCTACAGCCCTATCTGCCTGGACTAATGCTGAAATTAATCCCAAGTACGCGCCAGGACCTTGAGAGGGGCGAAAGGAACATTATTCGCTCCTGTTACCCCCCCCCCCTGGAAAATGGGGTTTCTACCAATCTCTTAATTGTCGAGGCAAGGTACTCGAGTCCACGCCCAGAGCTACGTCATTGCTACCGGTTGGATAGTGTCGTCTAATTTGGCAACGTCCATGTCTATCCCAAGGTAGTGGTTTTCAAATCATCTATTCTACCAGATAGAAATGAGCTATTTCTATTACAGCTACAAACAGTGTGTCAGAATGAACTAGACGGAGTCGATGTAGAGGTGGGTTGGGTATACATTTTACGATGGTTATTCACAATAAACAATGCTGAGATGGAATAGTGTGACTGCCTAGGCGTAAGGTACATTATTCTGTACCAAAACAACCCCATCACAAGACCCCTGCAAGTTGATATCATACCTCATCATCGTCCAATTCCTCAGGGTCATATAGAGCAAAACCCCAGGAATGCTAGGGCTCAGAGCCAATGACCGATATGTCACTGACTCCAGGTCTTGGCGCCGACCGTCAAAAATGTCATTCTCCGCGAATCTGATCGCGCAAAACATCCCCCTCCGCCCTGTGAACCGCCACAAATTCGCCAGGCGATCTGGGTCAATTGGACCCATTCCTATCAACTCGACCAGTGTGGCCTCCATGCGCACATGTCGATGAAATTCGGGCTTGCCCCGGTCGCCGTGCCCACGCGGGCCACCCAGCCCTTCCGGCGGGTGTCTGGCTGTCGCTCTTTACACATCAACGCCCGGTCCCTTCGGCGAGCTCTACCTGTCGCACGGGGAGAACATCGACGCCAAATCTCGTCGAACTCGGGCGCTCAAGCTTTCGCATACACGTGGCTGACGCAGACCCCTGAGAGTATAGTAAGCAGCTCGCGTCTCTAACAGCCGGAGCGACTGGCTAACCGTTCAAGAGACTCCCGAAGATGTCTTGTCTAGTCTGCCTTTACCTCCCAAATCGCTCGCGAGCCCGGTCGCTATTCCCGTCCTTCTGGCCACCCCGGCATTCGCGCAGTGGATCAACACGGAGAATGGGTTCCTCGAACAATGGGTCAATCGATTATACCGCGACGCCGACGTGGTGGACTCTTCCGGCTCCGTCGACACCGTTGTTGCGCTGGTCGATAAACTTCCCCGACCTTTACTGCGTACCGGAGAAACCAGAGAAAATGGCCATGTCGAAAATGTGACGGAGAGCGAGGGAATGTCCGTTGTGTTTGTGAAGCCAGAACAAATCCAAGGGAAAGCGGCTCCGCCCCGTCGGCTGAGGACTATGGAAGCCGATGAGTCTGCCCTCGTGTTTTCGATCCAACAAACGGAGCCCTCTGTTCCTGAGAGGGTGGTCCATGAAGTCGGACTACGTCTGGCTAATACGATATTCATCAACGGCAAAGAAAATACGCTCTTCGGCGCACGGTGGGCCTACAACCAGGAGGCGGGCAAGTTTGTATTGGGCCAGTCCATCGACTTATCGAGCTGCGTTGTTACATCTACGGCGAATGCTATCCAGAGCTCTACGGTACTTCCGTTGCATCCCGTGGGTCAGCGGAGAAGGGTGATATCTAGTATGGGCAATATTCTCCGTCAGATATCGAAGCACACCGACAGCCAATCAACCACCCCGATGCCCGCGTCGTCTGAACTAGAGACAGAGCTTCCTCGCTACATTGCGGAAAACAACATCCTCGATCAGAGAGTCTCTGTCTGGGCCCTGGTTGAGGCTCCTGGTGGGGATTCGCCTGTCCAGGATGGATCCCAGGAGCCTCTCACCGGGGCTATCCGGACGGGCGGTAAACTTCACCGTGTCATGAGCGGAGGAGGCGGGTGGGGAAAGAAACAGGGCCTTCTGTCACTTGACTATGAAACTAGCTTTTTGGACTCAAGTGAGACGCGTGGGCTCTGCACGATCGATCGTGTGTTTTCCGGCGATAGCCTGGCATCTGAGATGGAACTGCCGTCGTTTGGTCAAAGTGCCATGATTGATGATCTAACCGAGCTTTCCCAGGTCGCCAAGGCTGGGGATTATATTCAATTCTTCGTCTCTGTGGACGCCGATCACTCGCATGGCAACTTAGACATGGCGAACACTCAAGATGCCGTTTCGTATCAATTCGGTGTTGTGTCCGATCTTGAAGGTTCAACCATGCAGGCTGGTGGTGAACAGCCAAAAGACCTGACACTCATCCCTCAGCAATTTGGCGCACTCTCCGAGAAGGCAATCACCTATCTCCAGCCTGTTGTTCGGGCCGAGCTATGTCAAGGCGAGGAGGGACTGGGAGGTGTAGAGGAGTCTCGGACGAAGTTGGATATCCCGGGGACTCGTGTTGGATTAATACTGAAATAGGCCTGCAAGGTTACTTATAATGCATGAATAGACATGTAAAATACGACGCATACAATCTCCCAAAAAACCCCAGTAGGATGTAGGATACATTGTGACGAGTGATGGTTTGTATGAGGCACGGGACGACGCCAAGCCGGGATCACGTGGGCGGCCGTGGTTCAGCCGCGAAGCAACAACACCCTTTGCGTCTTCGCCTCAACTCTCACCTCCAGTCTCGTCCTCAGAAGCTCTCGCATCATCGCAACCCTTTGTCTACCTGGGTGAATCTACCCATTTCCCGCTCTTCTCAACTATCTCCTTTCTAAGATTCTCTATCTCGAGTCCCTCGGGTCCACCTAACCCTCCAAAATGGCCACCGAACTTTGGTACGTAATCCCTCCGACCGGACTCCTTTTCCCAGACCTTGGACTGTCATGTCGGGCCTATACCTCAACGTGACTCGTGTGCTCTGTTTAAAAAATATATTCTAATTCCTGCGTTTCGATAGCCCTGTCTATGCGGTGAGTACCACTGTCCCAGTCCCACGATAGCAAAGCTCTGCACAGTCCCGACGGATCGGCTTCGTCCTCGTGTCGATGCACTCAACAACTCGGTCATGTTTTCGGGAATCATCTCTAATGAATGTGACGTTAATAGCCCTTCTTTGGCGCGCTGGGTTGCACCTCCGCTATCGTTTTCACCTGCTTCGGTGCCGCCTATGGAACCGCTAAGGCCGGTGTCGGTATCTGCGGCATGGCCGTCCTGCGGCCCGACCTGATCGTCAAGAGTACGTCACAAGTCTCTCAACAGATTGAAAGGAGTCTTGTGGTGGATATGAAGGTGCTGACTCCGGGTGAATCATAGACATCGTCCCCATTGTCATGGCGGGTATCATCGGTATCTACGGACTGGTCGTGTCCGTCCTGATCGCGAACGATCTGAACCAGAAGGTCCCGTTGTACACTGGTTTCATCCAGCTTGGAGCTGGTCTCGCCGTCGGTCTGGCTGGTCTGGCCGCTGGGTATGTGCTACGATTCCTTTTGGGAATAAGCTGAGGCTAATTTGGTTTAACAGCTTTGCCATCGGTATCGTCGGTGACGCTGGTGTCCGTGGAACTGCCCAGCAACCCAGACTCTACGTCGGCATGATTCTGATTCTCATTTTCGCTGAAGTCTTGGGTGAGTCATTTTCTCAAACACACCTCCGCTACTGTGTTTGAATCTCCCCGCTAACCTCGGCTACCCGCAGGTCTGTACGGTCTCATCGTTGCCCTGCTCATGAACTCTCGCTCGAGCATCGACGTCTCCTGCTAAGGAGCCGATCACCCCATCGAAATTGACGTACGCACAAACCGCCAAGCGAGAGACTAAATTCTAGCCTACTCTCTTCTTTTGTACTGGGTACAACTGGAAAAATCGCAATTGCCGAAGATCCCGAGCGCGCATCCGCTATTCTTGGGCTTTGACAGACGAGTTGGATGAGTTGGATGGGCTGCTAGGGCAGGATGTTATAATCGAGCAAGAACATATACGGACGGCACTACCCAGTGATGTAGCATTAGCTTTGAAGCAGTGGAGGAGGTGTTGTGTTATGTCAAGAGTAAACAGCATCTTATGGGTAGTGTGTTTACGCTGGGCTGTATTCTACGAATGTTCGCAGTGGTCCTAGTTAGGATCGCTACTTTGCAATGTTGAATGGTCACCTTTTTCCTCTTTTCCAGCTTCTTTTATCCTTTGTCTTCCTGCCTGCCTGTTTGTATTTCTTACTCTTATCTGATTTGTAAAACTGCCTACTGCCTACCTAGCAACTACTAAGTACTTGACTGTATCTCCTGCCTACCCAACACCGCAGAGAATCCGATCAAACCCCCATTTACAAGAGACCTACTCTTAGCGACGCCTCGTCAAGAGCAAAGTAACACAATAGTTGTGAATAGCTGAGTGAATAGAGATAAAATACTAAAGACGAAAGATACTTTAGGAATGGGGATATGTAAATAATATTGTCTATAAGCGGACGATGCGAGAGAACTATGCAGTACGGAGGACCAAAAAAAGTCAAAGTAAATCCAAACACCACAAAGCTGAACTAGCGAATCAAAGAAAAATGAGGACCCTTTATGTGGAAAAGGAAGAGATAAAGGAAAAATGGAAAGGAAAAGGAGGGTTCCAAATCTCATATATGAAATACTGTGGAGCTGTGGTGTATTGGTGAACAAGACTGGTAGAGGATAAAAGAGAAAGAAAGAAAAGCTAGAAACGGTGTCAATCAAGACATACAAACAGTATATCTCACGATCAAGCCTTATCGAGCTTCCGTCTCAGGGTCCTCGTCCGCCGCAGCAGCTTCTTGAACTTGTGCTTCTTCATCTTCGCCAAGCGCCGTCTCCGCGTGCTGATGGCGTGCATGGTGCGGTTGTTGCGCGAGCGCTCGACGTAAGTCGCGCCGGGGTTGCTGTGCGGGGCGTCGATGACGGCGTTGGACTCGTCGGCGGCGCCGGGGGCGTCCATTTCCGGGGAGCGGACGAACGGGCCCGTGTGAGCCTGGTAGGTCTTGCGGCCCTGGGCGTCCGTGGACTCGTGGATGGTCAGAACAGCCGAGTAGCTGTTGTTGTCCGGCTCGGCGGCGGTGGCAGCGGCGGCGTCGGCGTCGGCGGCGGCCTTGGCCTCGTCGAAGGGCACGGGGGCCGGAGGCGGGTTGAACGGGCGGAAGCGCTTGGCGAGATCCTCCACGGAGACCTTCAGGTCGGCCATGTTGAGGCTGCTGTCGGAGTGGTGGTCCATCTCGAAGTGGTTGCCCAGGGCGCTGCCTTCTTGCTCGCCGAGCTGGTGGGCTGAGCTCTCCATGGTGTCTGCGGCGGCGGATAGCGTGAAGATCACGTCGTCCGCTTCCTGCTTGGTGGGCTTCTTCGCCGTGAAGATAGCGTTGAAGGCTTCGGCGGTGGAGGTCGGGGGGACGGTGGTCGAGACGGAGATGGGGCGATGGATGGAGAAGAACGACGCCACATGGACATCTGCGAGAGAAGTAATATGATTAGCTTGGACGAACCTGTAGTGTTTAAAAAGGGAGGTATAGTTCTGAACTCACCATGAGGCTGCAGGTGCTGTGTCGAGGGAACGCTGGGCAGGTTGGAAAACGCTGACGGCTGGTTCGACTTGGGACCGTTGCGGCCGTTGTCCTTCCCACGGCGTTTCGAGGCTTTCCCTTCACGTTTCTCCCCCGAGTTGACACCCTTCGCGGGAGCCTGAGACGAGGCTTCTACCCGCCGGGAGCCATCGCTGGGTTTCGAGGACGAAGACGAGTACCGGCGCTGACGCACATGTTGAGTGGCGCCGAGAAGACCGTTGGAGGAAGTTGACAAAGTCTGAGTGGAAGAGCGAGAAATGCCGGAGATGGGCGCAAGAGGCGTCCATGCCACACGGCGCAACGAGGAGGATAGCATTTTGGTCAGTGTCGTCAAGCCCAAGAGCTAGGCCGATGTTGTTCGGAAGAAAGTCGGGTAGAATCGCCAGAGGCGAAATGAAGTCAAACTGATCAGGCGGAATCGCCGATTAGGTAAGGCGGATGATCTTGCCTGGTCACGTGGTACGTGGCGCATCGTACCTGGTTGGCGGCCTCAGGCAAAAGGCTGTGGCAGCCTTAGGCACATGTAGGATCTGCAAATTGTATACTTCGATCTTCAGAGATTTGAAGTTTTATATATTCTTTATTTTCTCGAATGCCTCTGCTCTTTGTGGATGGATTTATACATATTCAGACTAATTATGACAGGCTCGCTTATCAGTCAAATTTAAGAATAGTTTTGGTGAGAGCCTGCGTATGAGTATGGGAGATTCTTTGGTCTAAAGTACAACAAATATATTCCCCGTTATCAATAGTTCACCTGCCACTTCCTCAATGCACTAGAGGTTATTCAAATGGCCAATAACGCTCAAATTCAGCCCTTTCCTCATCAGTCTCAGCCAATTGTTCCAACATCTGACCTTTAACTTCCGTGAGAGCAGCTTTGCAATCATCGTATCGCTCATGCTCGATGAAGCCTTTGTCTGGCCATAGATCACCCATTCTCTCCTTGACCTCCGCGACAAGCTGGGTCCCTGCCACTGCATCGTCACTATCCGTTTTGATGCGTTGAATATCTGCCTCCGAAAAGTGAAAGGGGAATGGGCTGTCATGAGTAACGGCAGGTAACTCCGCCCACGAGTCCTTCAGATCGACCAGAAGTGACTGAAAGTGCGCCTCGCCATATTCAAACATTCGGCGGGCAAGAAAAATCAGTCCATATGCTGCTGTCTTTCGGTATTCAATGACTTGATACAGATCCGGGTTTTTAGCTTGCATGAGTTTCCGCCACCCAATGAATAGGTTTTGGATGGTATACTCATGCACGGCCGCATATCGTTCTTTGGGTGAAAGACCCGAGAGTTTCGGCCGTGATATTAGATCAAGTGTCTCAGGCTCAAGGCAATCCCAGTCGAGAAAGGCCGGATCCGGGTTATGATTGAAAAGAGATGAGATATGACAAGACTGCCAGTCGATAATACCCGTAATCTTTCCGGGATTCTGTGGGTCTATAAAGATATTATCATCATGCAAATCATCATGCCAGAGATAGGGACTAGCGATAGCTGTATCCTTTGGCATAAGAGCATTGATGACTTGTTGGTACCATGCTAAAGCGGTGGTTTTCTTTTCTGTGTCTGGCTGGTAGAGATTTGGGCCACAGAACAACGCGATTTGTTTTGGAGAGTTTAAACATTGTATTGCCTTTAGCTCTCGCGTCCTAACTGCTTGTAGGTATTGTATCAAAGAGGTCCCTGTGATCTTATTAGTAACAGGAAGGAGCATGGTAATAATATAGATTATGACATACATGGCCCTTTCTCAACATCTAGCACTGATCGACCAGCATCAAACCAATCTCGGCTTGTAGCTGGGCCAATAGTAAACTCAGAGTCTCTGACAGACTCGCCATCCTTAGCATAGTAACTGCCCTCTAGTGGTTGCACGTCTCTCTTGTAGTATAAGCCGCCATAGTGTGAGAATGAAACACTTAGCCATTGCTTCTGAAGATGTGTCACAGCAAGAAGCACTTGAAGTTTTTGAGGCAGGGTCATTGTGTCCCAAACTTGAGACAGCGGAACACCTTCAACTTTATCCGTAATAATAAATTCAGCCCCAACAGGATGCGATTCCGCATGCGAGTTCCATGTATATACTCGAGGTGCTGGCGTGTTGAGAACTTTTCTGGCCTCCACAATCAGCCAGGTCAGTAAGACTCTATGATCAGATAGACACGATTGCAAGACTCTATAATTATGAACGAACGTACAAAATCCATCGTAGCAACTTCACTAGCAGTAGTGAAGTGCGGTGCCCCAGCATTCGGGTTAGGCACCTTAGCTACAACTTCCCGACCATTATCCATAGACATAAGGAATGCCTTGTTGAACATACCATCAGGGAACTTCGTAATTGAGATACACTGAGCGGCTCCGACCTAGTCTGCCGCGATACTCGCGAGCCTATTCAAGTCGAATCTGACCTCTCGCTTGCGCAGATTCTCCGCCTCGTCTATGACGAAACGGCCTCGCGTGAATTTGAAGAATTCATCTCTAGAGTTCCAGTCTGCGACGAATGAGTCACATGTTGCATCGCGCCCAAACTGGCGTGTTTACCTTTCTGGGGAGAGCTCATGCCCATGCTTGCGGAACAGTGAGCGTAAGAGGACATTGAGCGGCTGTGTTGCTTCGGACTTGGTATTATACTTTGGATCCACCGCAAGAGGAGCGAGGATGGATGCCGACGCATGCTCCAGGCAATGTGGTGATGCCTTTGACCATACCTATCTTCCAGAAGATCAGATAGCACTCTATCACGCGAACATCGGACTGTCGGGAAAATGGAGATTGGTTGTAAATAGATATCAGTTCAATGATTGCTGAGCAAATCAAAATATGATGATTATGATGATGATGATGGTTCTGTGGAGGAAGATTGGATAGGAACTATGAGACTCTCAAGGGGAAACGAGACAGTCTGCATGGGGCCCTGCGTAGGACAGCTATTGGTGGCTTACTATTGAGAAAACATTCTGATGCGTGTCATGACAGAGATAGGTATAATGAATACTCCTTTATATCGAGTCCGAACAAGTTAAACGTAAATTTTTATATCAATGAGAGTAGATCTAGAATTACTTTTCGCCGGTTTCATTGCCTGAAAACCAAGCATGAGTATATCAAGGGTGCTAGATTGGATGAAAGACCGGCGACTCTAAAGCTCCCGATTTACAGACACAGTCTGCTGCAATTTAAATATAGTAATCCGATATGGTGTAACGGCTAGCATCGCTGGTTTTCACTCAGCAGATCGGGGTTCGATTCCCCGTATCGGAGCTTAACTTTTTGTTTTTCTTTCTTTGTGCTAGGTACTCCGCATGGTAGATCTACCTCTTGGCAGTTCCCTACGTTTTTATAGCCAGGGTTGTCAAAGGAAAAAAAAAAATTCATGCTTACCTTCCAGTTTTTGAGTATACCCTTGAAAATAAGGTGGTTATGAAAAATAGCAAAAAGTAAGCTCCGATACGGGGAATCGAACCCCGATCTGCTGAGTGAAAACCAGCGATGCTAGCCGTTACACCATATCGGATTATTACGAAGAATCATGCGTGCTTTTTAGTACCTTCACCTAACGAATATCCATGGATCGACAATGTGATAGAGACATTCAACCCTGACGTCAAAGAACGGTGATTATGGTTTGACTTGGATTCTTACTTCCCCCCCTATCCTTCTCTTTTCTTCTTCTGCACTCAATATTAATTTCTAAACATCCAGTGACAACCTTTGCTTCTTTTATATCCATTGGCTGTGATATCAAGCGATTCATAGACATTTCGGATGTCAATAAAGCAATAACTTGGGGTAGATACCCTTGGTAACGAGGATGGCCACCATGCGAAACCCGGCAGCCTTGACCGACCTCCCACTTGAGCTATTATGGATGGTCTCTGAGTATCTGTCACCAGTTGACCTTGCTTGTCTCGCCTTAGGGAATCGTCATCTGCTGCATTCCTTTGCTGGGGCTGCTTTCAAAAACTTCTCAAACGGCCGCACCGGAAATCCCACGGATGACGCACGTATCCAGCTATTATCTCGGCTTTCTTGCGACCTACCGCAGTACCATCTCTGCTTTATTTGTCTTCGACTTCATTTGTGGAAAAAGGCTGGGCTGCCAAGCTATCATTTCAAGGTCAACCACCGCACAGATGCCTTGGATTATACCAATTGGTACCTTATAAACGATCTACCCCTCTCTCACCACCCATCACATACCCTTTACAGGTTCCACTTCGTGCATCTACAGCTTGCCATGAGAAGGTTTTACTACGGACCGGAGTTCGGAATCCCCGTTGAGTCATTGCTCTACACAGAGATCAAAGCAAGCCGATTCAAATCTAACGGCCCGCTCTTACTACACCCCCCTATCAACAAGGCATCAGAAGGAGATACTCAACAGGATAATATGATGATTCTATTCTCTGCTGAAGCTCGAATCTGCTCTACGCCTCCGGCTTTATGTATGCGGACGCAAGATATAGCGGTAGTAACACGACATAATTTACCACGGCTGTGGCCATGCCGCGAAAACGGACCTATGAGTGTCTGCCGGCATATCCCCACTTTTGACCCGGGCTTCGACGACATCTTGGCCTCTCAAATTAGGCATTATTGCTCTACCACAAGCCCCCCGGTCCCAGCCGACCAAGGGAGTTGTGATAAATGTAATACCTCTTGGCAGTTGGAGATTCGAACCCTGGATGAAACTCATGCAAGCCTCATTCTTACCATATGGATGGACCTAGGACCGGGGCTCAGTGTGGAAGATCCTCAGTGGAAGTATCGTCTTTTTAATGTACCCCCCTCGCTTTCAGCAAAACACGAAATAGTGGACTCTCGCCTACGGTTCGAGAGGGACTCTGTTCAAGCTAGGTCTCCAAATGCTCTGCCTGAGGATGAGATGTATCACCGCAATATGTCGTTGCTAGAAGGGAAGAGATATCAAACGGTGATGACTCCAGTAGACGGTAGAATCTACGTATTGCACGGACAAGCAGAAGCAAAAGCAAAGACAAGTCCTTCTCGCTGTATTATTCTCTGAGAAAAGCCAGCTAGGGTATCCAATGTTTGTTTAATCTTTTAGAGGAACGCAATTCAAGTCTTGGTTCTAGGGCTGTAGATTGTCGAAATCCCGCGTGTACTTCGATGGATCCACTACGATATTTCTGGAACGGGACCAAATCATGCGCTAAACCTAGTTAGATCTATGACAGACACTCTTCCTAAATTATATCGATCAAACCGCCGATACAGAGCCATCAACCTACCATCTCAGATTGCCGGATTCCTCATAATTATAGCAACCCCCGAAATGGCAGAATTAGAACCAAAGAAAAGCGACCTCGATCTTGGGGGTAGCTTCCTCAAGGACCTACCAAGTTCAATCGACAGATATCCCTACGAAGACGAGTCGTGCTTTCTCCGGGTCTTCAATCTAAAACTTGATCATTCCGGATCCTCAAGACATGGAGACAACGACTTTATCCTATTTCATATGAGTCGTGAGATGATTGAAACCCTGTTCGATCCAAGCAACGAACCAACTACCCTTACACGTAACTGTTCCTCTTTTGATCTCGACGAGCAACTAATCCTGATTAAAATGCCTTCTCTCGAACATGGGTGCGCAAGCGGTGCTTCAGACGACGCAATCATGGCAGCACTCCTGCCAATGGGGCTATATGGCCGCCTACACAAATACCCTGGCGTAACTATCCGAGGGGGAATGAGAGGAAAGCAACCTGACTGTGACTGGGGCCCTAGGAGGCCACCGCCTGGTTATCCAAGGAAGAGGCCCTCGGTTGCTTTAGAGGTTGCGTGGTCTGAATCAGATTCAAAATTGAATTCCGATGTTCGATTCTGGCTGGATCCAGCCCAGGGAAATGCCAGGATCTGTCTAACTCTGAGAGTAGACAAGCACGAACCAGCAATCCGTATTGAGAAGTGGAGTCTTAAGGATGGAAGACCCCATCGCTTCCAGATTGTCTGGGTGACTAAAGTGTCAGACCAGATAACTGTCACAAACCACCCTCTTATCATACCATTTGAAGATTTATTCTTCCGTCCACCATCTATACCGACTGAACAAGATATTGAAATATCACAACGAGCCCTTCAAGAGATTGCAGAGAAAATCTGGGATATGCAGGACTTCTAAGCCTCTTCCTTCCCTCTTCTCCATATGGCTTCCCTCTTGTACTTCTATTTTTCTCTCTCGATCGGTTTATACCCTGGGTTTAGTCTGTTTTACGTGCTTTCTAGTTTTTGAAGATTTCCGTGTTCCTAGATGTGGATATCACGTTTCTTATTCAATTCTCTCCTCCGTAGGCATACTAACCTACTAAGGCCGTTTCCCATATGCAAGTGTAGAAGTTAACGATAGGGGTCAGTACAAATATGGGCTTAACAGTACATCCGCATGATCATAAAAGATAATATTGACTCATCCTTAACCCCTTCAAGATATCTAGATCTACTACTACTACTACTACTACTACTACTACTACTACTACTACTACTACTACTACTACTACTACTCATGTACTAGTCGTACTATTCGATAGGTTATATATATACTATATAAGAGATAGAGATAGAGCTACGTCTCTGCCCAGCCCAAGACATATCACCCAAACAGCTAATGTTCTGCGCGCCATTACCAACTTAGCCACAACAATATGCTAAATCCGATAAATCCTTCGGATTTATCACCCCCAAGACCGAAAACTATACCATTAGCGCACAACTAGCAACGCGGTGGCTGACCTTTCCTCCATGACAATCATCCGCGTTAACCACGGGATCCACTTCCTAGATGGAGATAGATAAGATTCAATCAAGTTTAATTACGCCTAGCTTGGTTTTTCTTCGAGATTTTAGCCGCTGGGAATTCACAGATTTCCGGTCGATCGATCGTGTTATTGTATGTCCTCTATCTGATAGCTAAGCGCATGGAATGAAAACTATATATCCGGGTGAAACGGTACAAAAGGGATGGAGTTTGAGAGGGAAAATCCCAGTGGGTAGACAAGGCTGGAGAGTCGGCGAGGGAATCAATCAACGCAGAGATTAGATTAGTGAGAACGGTAAAAAGAGAATGGCGGGATCGTCCGGCACATGGTCAATGTGTCATGAAGGAAAATCAAATTAATACAAGAGGAGATGGTATCGATCTGCATTATATAGGAAAATTTGGAATGAGACCCTCGCTGAACCGAAAGAAACGTAAGGTCACCGGGTACTATGGGCTTTTCATGAGGCGTGCCGAATATGTAGATAGATGCGTTAGGACCCGACGCCCTTGGGCGGGGGGCTAGGCACAGAGAAGAGAGAGAGAAGTGGGATATATAAGGTGGTGGTGTGTGGTAGGTCCGAGCGAGCCGAAATGGCATCGTATGGCATGGCATGGCGTGGATATCGCTCGGGAGATGCAATGCAAAGGACGGTAGATTAGAGAAATGAAAGTCGAAGGCTCGTGCTCGTGGAGGATCTCGTGAAAGCCAAGCGTCCCGGGTGAGGACATCTGTCCCGCTTATAATATGAGGGTGTGGAGGTTTTTCTGGATTATCATGTCCTGCACCGAATCCATGGTTGCTTTCAGCAGGGTTGTATCAGTGGCGTTTGTGTAGTGGACGTAGATTTCGCGGTCTGGTATCCGGTTGATGCCACGGAATCGATCGGCAAAGTACCTGGCGGCAGCGTCGAAGTCGACGTTCGAGCCGTTGTAATCGGGGAAGTGGTTGGATACCGGGGACACGTCGAGTTTCGCCTTGAAGAGATCGATCTTGTTGAGGAAGAGAATGATGGGTTTCCGCTTGAACCATTCTCCGTTGACTAGAGACTCGAAGAGCATCATGGCTTCGTGCATTTGGTTCTAAGTAGACAAGGTTAGGATGGCATTTTCATCAGGGCATGCGGGATGGACTCACGGCATTCTGGTCTTCTACGAGACACTGGTCGTAACCGGACAAGGCGACCATGAAAAGAAGGCATTGAACGCCCTCAAAGCAGTGGATCCACTTCTTCCGCTCAGACCGTTGACCACCAACGTCCATCATTCTGAAATTCATCTGGCCCAACTCAAACAGGGTCTCCGTGATCCCCGTCGTCCGTAAACGAGCTTGCAGCATGTCTTGATTGTCGGGAAGCCAGCCCGGTGTGAAGATCCGGTCAAGCGACGTGAAAAAGCTGGGAAGTATTAGCACATGTTGGCTCAATGTACCCATATCCTGGCACTTACTAATGCAGGTTGTCATGAAGAGCAAACTCATGCCCCCGAGCGACGGCCTTCTGCACCCCTTGGTCGCCCCACATGCCTATCATAGCGTCGCGTACTTTGAGGTCTGAAAAGGCTTCGTCGCAGCCTACGTCAGGCTCTAAACTGTCCACTAGAGCCGCCAATGGCTAAAGCAGGAAAATCCGTTAGCCCAAACTGCTCATGGATAAGGAATCATCAGCCTGCCTACCTGCGTCTTCTCGCTCTCATATTGGATATTCTCCGCGCGGATAATGTCCAACAAGACCTTGAACGCAATTACAAGGTTGGAATAGATTACCGCGCGTGTTTGGCGCCGCTCTTCATCAGGAAACCCTCCCGAATGAATAATCCGCATTTGCTTGATGATTGTCGATTTTCCGGACTCTCCAGCACCTGTTGTGTCACAGTCAGTTCCGACGGCTTCCATAATCACCGTGTGATCTTATCCTGATACATACCAAGAAGGAGAATCTTGATGGTCCTATCCAGATTCTTTTTATCATTTTTCAAAACCTTTTCAATCCGAGCAGTCCGCTGAAGCGCATCCTTGTCCGTCGCGTCGACGGGTTTCGAGCTCATACACCCCATTTTGAATTACCTGCCCCACGGATACCGAGATAAACTGCATATGATAGTTAGATCTCGATTCTGCTGCCCACATATGTAAGAAATTCAGTGGGGCTGTCCCCGAAGTAACTGTCTTTGTCTTCGAACTTGAATCAGGGATGCGCTCGGACTGTGTCACTTGACCATCCAAGAACCGGCGCCCGAGACATACAAACAGAACTATCATCGCAAACACGAGGACGGGGGCAGAACCACGGAAGCCCCAAAAATAAGACATGAAAGAAAGAAAGGCACTTACATCAATATAATCCAACCAATACCCGGCTCGAATCTGCATCACACGAATACGTTAGTCAGAATGAACCTCTATTGAGGAGTCGCTCATGGCGCAGTAATACGCATATGGTCTAACATACAGCGCGATATCGGATCAACGGAGGCCAAATCGTCGGCGCTTTCTAGCTCCCGAGCGCGTCCAAATTCAAGATCGCTCGATTTCGAATATACCTCCAATGTGTCCTTCAATCGATACGTTGAGTCTTGACCAGCGACACACTCCTTTTGTGTCGTTTTGAACCCCGAAAAGATTCCGTCGCAAGAAGCCGCAAAGGTATGAACACAACGAGATTCAAAGCTCCGAGTCTGGCCCTCGTGTTCCCAATTCCAACTGAAAAGTGCTTTGCCAAGGCGGAGGTATTTAGTTTCGGGAGAGTTCCGGCGTCCTCAGCTGGGCGTTCAGGAGTACTGTTTCGACTCAACCGTGGAGGAGATTATATCGTAGATTCTAGCCCCGCGACCGAGCGTGATCCCACTGCGTTCCGAGTTCGGGATCGGTTCTTGGTAGGAGAATAGGAGGGACTGGCGCAAGTCAAATCGAGGGTTCGAGGATGGAGGAGTGCCGACAGCAGCTAGGTCCGCTAAGCGGGGAAGAAAAAGAGAGAGACACCGAGGGTTTGGTATATTAATACCCTGGTCAGCGGTTCATGTCTACCGACCCACCAGGCGAGAACGGGCAAAAGGGTAATAAGGAAAGGGGACAAATGTGGGGGGGGGGGGGGGGGATGAGAGAGGGAAGTTAGGAGGAGTCCACCCGAGTGGGATCAAAATAGGGTGTACGGTGGGAGGTGATGTTGCGCAATTCACAGGTTATATTCAACCAAGACCGATCGGAGAGGGGGTCATGGTGCCAACGCGGGTCGGGATGCTAAGAAGGTTTGGGAGTAGTCATCCTGCAGTGGACATTTAGTTCGGGGGGAGGGACTTCGGTACTAAGAACAATTTAATATTGAGGACTCCATACGGCGAAATTGGGTAAAAGATTTCCGACGAGAAAGATGAGTCTTAGCCAAGGAGGAGAGGGAGAAGTTGGGAAGACCGGGCTGACAGGCCGTAGCTGGTTTAGTGGTCATCTAGCGGGGGGAACTAGCAGGCTTCGGAGGTATCTATCTCCAAAGTAACCTACCTCTTTGGTCATAGAGTCGATGGGGAATGAGTGTGGAATGTTCATTTGAGTGGTCCAGCAGACGTAGCGGATCCACCGGAAGAGGGTCCATTCATCTTTCATGGTTAGTTCTCCATTCCTTCTGGTTTCTGGGCCTGTCTGGAGCTGATTGGAAAATGGAGAGATTAAAGTAAGTACTAGATATGCAGCTCCTGTCTTTCAATGGGTTTTGATAGTATTCCAGTACAGGTAGTCAGGTAGATGCCGGATCCCGGAGGCGTACAGAAGTTTACAGATATACAGAGACATCTGCCGTCAGCATGCAGAGGTACTCCGCCTACAGGAGTAGAATCAGGTCACTCCTTCAATCCTTCTGCATATACATGTCCATAAGTATCCAGAATCCCGTGTACCATCATTGAATATCAAGTACTCGGTCAGTCCGTACAGGGTAGGATGTGAAGAAACAAAAATACACCGGGCATAATACCATGGACAAAACACGTTTTACTGAAACAGACAGGTTCCTCAGGCGTCGAGGATTGCCAAGTGCTGCAACCGAACAATCGCCACGAGGTTGATACGCCATTCGACGCATTCTGAACATGCACGGATCGACAATATCAAAGTGCCCATCATAGTCATACAGGATCCCAACTTCCCAAGTCATGTTGGTTGTCGTACAAGAAACGCCCCATTCATTAATCATGGGTCGGACATTTTGCTGGTTTAGTTCTGCAGCGGATTTACTCTCCGTAACCGATATTATCACTTGCACTAGTCAATCCTGCCAACGTCCTGTCAATGTATCCAGAAAAAAGAAAGCAAAAAAAGCAATGACTGTCAGTTCCGGTGCCTGTTGATCTTTTCTGAAGACCCCTGTCATTAACGCGATGGATTATTACGGACCCGGTCGTAAGAGATCCCAGCGCGACCAGTCCTTCTTTTCTTATTTTCATTTCACTTCCATTTGATCTGTTGGTTTTTTTTGTTTTCTCGAGATGGTGAATTTTAATAATCTCTCCTGGGTGATTGTGGGGTTTAGGGGAATTGAATATAAAATAATTAAAGAAAATGAATGATCAATGATTAAAGATAAAAAATAAATCTATCGAGTCATGTACCGGTTTTGTCACGACTCAGTTGGGAGGTCAAAGTGTATTTTATCATTGTATACTCCGTACGCCCCGTCGTGGATTAATAATCGGAATGTACACCTGTACTCCGCACATAACGATGGAGTTAATCATACTGTAGGTCAAAGACAGATTTTATGACGCGTTCCAAAGTCTATTTCTTGAGTCGAACTTTATAAGCTTCACGTCAGCCTAAATTCTGAGAATTAAATTGTTGTTTAAAAGAAACAAAGAGAAGGGAAACAATCACAAATGCACATACGGGTGGCGCTCGGTTCTCGGACTTCCGGTTTCATCTGCCCCGAAAGCAACAAAACATACGCCCCGTTATGACACCAAGGCAGGGACAACCGTATCCATTTCCAGTCCGTTACAATACATTACCAGGTCCTCGACTGCTTCTTGACTTGTCTCCCGTACACTCTGGTCGAGGAAACTCACCCGCTCGCAATGCTTGCTTCGATGGGGATCTCGAACAGATCATATGTTGTTGGATATGCGGAGGTATTCGGGTAGCTACAGGTCATAAATTAAAAAGAACCATGTTCGTCCGTTTCGATTTGTGTGGGAAAATATTCAATTCTAGTCTTGGCCTGCTCAACCACTCCACATGGAGTACGGTACTTCGCATGCTCGCGACCAGAGGTTCATGACCTATCTCTCTATAGGCGCCGATCAAGTCTTATCTATCATGTCTTAAGAAAGGCGGAGTTTCTGAACCTAAGGCTCGGGGAGGAGAACAATATCCAGGAACCTTGTTCATAACAAGATCAATATTGAATTATGCACCTCCGATCAACAGGGTTGTTATGCGGGATAATTCTGTCTCCTAACTTTCGTTCTTATCCTTATGCTTCTCACCGGACAGTGACACTCATCCATACATACGGGGTAGATATATGATCGTCCACCATTAAGCAGTCATGGGGCCGAAGCCAGAACTATAAGCCGTAGATATGACAGGTACCCGTTGAGCAACATAAGCAATCCGAGCTATCTACTAGTACCTTTTAGGAAGTAGACGTTGTGCGCGTCCACAGCGCTGAGTATGGGTGAGAAGGAAGTTCATTCACCATTACGGAGTACTGTTGGCTCATTGTCCTGTCCAGACAATCTTTGCAGGCCACGATGTTGGTCGAAAGCCTGGTGTTCTTTAAGTGGGTTCGTTCGTTCTATCATTAGCCACAATGCCATGTCATTATCATATTGCCTTTTTCTGGGGTCAAGTCTCGTATTGGGTTCGATATATCAATTCATTCATTTTACTTGATGTAATTGTATTTAAATAATAAAAAATTATATTTTTTCCCTTTTTACTTGATTGATCTCATTGTTGTTTATTTTCTAAAAGGAACCGAAATTAGCCCGTTTCACGAAAAAAAAGTAGGTTTTCTTCCTCCGACTCCACACGCCAAGCAGGACAATTAGCGGAGTGGCTTGACAAGATCCGACCCCTCAAGCGTTGAAACGGGGTCGGTGCATGTCGTTGTTGATCAATATCACCCGTAACAAAGTACCTACTTACTCCAGAGCAGCCGGTCTTGTTAGTTCAACAGCCAGCATCTTCGTAGACTGTGTGTGGCATGACCTGTCGCAACCACGCGAGTTTCTCACCTCCAAATCCCACCACTGCGGTGTGCCGAATAGTAAGTTCAATGTATCTCTTCATTTCCCATTATCTGGGTAGGTCTCCGCACGTTGCTAAGCGCCCCCAATTGACTCGGGGACCTGCCCACGCTTTCTCGAATTAGGAAGTACGAGATGCGCCCCGGGCCTGGCGGGCCTGGGCAGCTAACCACAATTCTTCAATTCTTCAGCAACAGAGTATATAGAACCCACTACCCAGAGTCTCAGACAGGTACGAATGCCGACAGCCCAGTGCATCTGTCATGTCCACCATCAGAAAGTCAAGAGATGTCGCGTGGTTCTATTTTGAGGAGTCTAGAAGACCTGTCTACTACACCTAGTTAATCAGACCTACTAATCATCCCGACCCACTGTTTTCTCCCGGCAACTTGTTCATCCTGTATTCCCTCCAGACTCTCCCCGTCTAGTCACACGACCCCCTTGTTCGTATGGCTGGTGGTGGAGAGGCAGAAAAGTGGATAGTCAATGAGATGGCCGTTTCAGGTTTTGACAGCTTGCCATGTCTTCCCTTTCTCCCTCTCCCTCTCTCTTTTTTCGAATTTTATTTTTATTTCTGGTTTTTATTTTGGTCTCCTTTCCATCCGGCGTTTGACCCCTTTCGCCAGTATCCCGATCGGTCGATCCTTATTTGCCGGTGCTATTTTCGTGGTGATGGGTGGATAGGGATCTATCATAGGCTATGATCTTTTGTTTCCGACTCTTCCGAGGTTGTATTTCTAAGGGTAAGACTTGTTGGCGGGGTGTGAGGGAGAGGATATTGTTATGGATTTGTACGAGCTATATATCATAGACCTTGAGTAGAACTCTTAGTTGCTAATCTATTACTATAGTTATTTCCTTCATATTCGATTTATGTATCTTCATTTCCTTCTTGAACCAATTTGTCTTAGTCAATTCTTCTTGTTTAACTATAACTAGTTAATTATAATATTTCTAAAACACAATAACGTAGATATAGACTTCGGATATCACCTCTACCTAATATGTCTGTTAGGTAGTAGTATTCTGCCGAGGGCGGTATCCCATGATTCTATCGCTACACTTGATCAATCTGTAGCTGTGTTCAGCTGTAAGCCCGGTTGGTCATATGGAGGAGGTAACTAATTATTCCTTCACTGTTGCGATCGAGCCATACCATCATGCTATATATTGTACCGATTCAAAAACGTCCCTTGCTCTGCTGACAGTACCTACGAGATAATGGCCATGCATGGTTGAAGACCAATCAGGAGTGCTATGCTCCGACATTCTCCCAGAACGATTAAGGGGCTTTCTTTGTGTCAGGATTCTCAAACACAACATCAAGGAGCCACCTCACTCACATCCCCCACGATTAACCCAATATCATTCCCCTTGGCACGACCGCCGATCATCTCGGATCTAAAGAGCTTGGGATCAGCCTAGTCGTTACATATTGATATCCCAAGTTCGCCAGTATACAACACACATGGACAAAGCAGAGCAGCAAGCGCCGGCTGACCGTGGGCACGACATCTCCCCGGTCACGAAGCGTACAGCCTTTGGAAATCCGAGTACAGCTCATGACGCGAAAAGAATTAAACACATTCAGGATGGGGCAACAGAACTAGCACCAGAGGTTACAACCCCAGCTACTACAGCTCCAACCCTCAAATCTCTAGCTACAATCCGTAGGGTGGCTTTCCCTGAGAAGGTATATCACCATCTCTACCTTGGCGACTGTCAGGAAGTGTTCTAATTACTTTACCCCGAGTAAAGCCTGCGGTTGTGGAAGAACGAAATGGCGAGATCGAATTCCAAGTTGTCAACAATGATGGTTCCCACGAGAGTATGATCATTCTTACAGGACTCAAATGTCTGTTTCAGAAGCAGCTTCCAAAGATGCCGAAATATTATATCGCGCGTCTTGTGTATGACCGCACACATCAATCTTTGGCTATCGCTAAAAGGCCTCTGGAGGTCATTGGTGGGATATCATTTCGAGAATTTCGAGATCGCAAGTTCGCTGAGATTGTCTTTTGCGCTGTCTCATCCGATCAGCAAGTAAAAGGCTATGGTGCACATCTCATGGCTCATTTGAAGGACTATATCAAGGCTACTTCCCCAGTGATGCACTTCCTTACCTATGCTGATAATTATGCCATTGGCTATTTCCAAAAACAAGGGTTTACTAAAGAGATCACCCTTGGCAAGTCGATCTGGATGGGATGCATCAAGGATTATGAAGGAGGCACACTGATGCAGTGCTCCATGCTTCCCCGAATACGATATCTTGAAGTTGGTCGTATGCTGCTAAAACAGAAGGCAACTGTCCTAGCCAAAATGCAACGCTCAAGCAAAAGCCACATAGTTCACCAACCTCCGCAATGGGCTAATGGCGTTACTCCAATTGATCCACTCTCCATCCTCGCCATTCGGGAAACTGGCTGGTCTCCGGAGATGGATGCATTATCACGAGAACCACGACATGGACCCCATTTCAATAAACTTCGACGTTTTCTGAACCAAATCCAAAACCATAAACAAGCATGGCCGTTTTCGAGCCCGGTAAACAGAGATGAAATCCCTGACTATTACAATGTCATCACATTGCCAATGGATCTGTCGACTATGGAAGAGAAATTGGAGGGCGATTCTTATACCACTCCAAAAGACCTTGTCCGCGACCTACAATTGATCTTCAGTAATTGTCGGCAATACAACGATGCAACAACTGAACTGTATATGCTAAATGCGCGGGCAGGTTGGAGAAGTTTATGTGGGGCCTTATCAAGGAGATTCCGGAGTGGCATGAACTACTTGAGAAATAACCGGTCAAGAGCAGTTCGCCGTAAGGAACACCTTTCGTATCAACCCCGGGCCACGTCCAAAATGATGAGATCATTGAGATGTCAGCATTGTAAGATACCACTAACAACCATTGATAGGATCTCAGTATATAGACTGGGCTGCTGAAATCATGGCGTTTCCCCATTTCCCAACTAAATGTTTCGAGTTACTCCATGCGCGTAGGTCTGTTGCCTTGCGTGGAGCCTAGCAGTCAAAATATACACATGGAACGGGTACATGTGCGACACGGCCTATATTTTTCAAAATCCCTACTATGCATGATACTACTGGACATATATTCTTCTCCTGCTGTGTTATTTTTGTCCAGATCCATTCTGTCATCTTAGCTCGCCTGGGTCCTTTGGAGAGCCAGCCAGCTATTGCAGAATTCGAGTAGCAGAGCCTACTCGACAGCTTCAACAAGCTGTGGAGCTCACATGGGAGCATTCAGAACCAAATAGACATAGTTTAGGCTACTGTAGCATTCTTCTGTGACCGAAGTATCCATGAGATTTTATTCGATGCGAAACACGTTATTCCTTGAGCACTTTTATTGACCCGTTGGGGTGTTTGTATATATTTTGTCTATACTTCGTATATCGGTTCCTGATTACCTAGGTAGCCATACTGCAAGTCTTCCAGCACAACAGTATCTAAAGCATACAGAATGTGTCCGTCAAACTCTCTCATTCCTTCTGTCCCTTTCTGAAATGTCCAGAACAGTAACACATTTATTTGTGTTCCACTATGCGCCCTACTGCACGATGACATGCCAGCTGACTCATCACGTGGCCCTGTGGTGCTATGATGAAATGTCGTGGCCTCCCCGGCGCTTTTCTGGTGTTGTCTCTCCATCATCAAGAATTGAGCGTATCTAAATATACTTGATCTTTCCTTCCACTTATCATCCAATTGCTGTATGTGTGTGTATTAATGTGGAACGTGAGACGGGCGACGAGTGAAACAGCATGTCTGCCTCACCCCCTCCCAGGTCAGCTTTCGGGAGCCTACTACATTAATGGGTAGATGGACACTGACAGCCCATAGCTACCATGATGAGCCCGGAAACATTCCACCCCCACGAGAAATGTCTACACCTGAGCTAGAAAAGTGTCGTTTCTTCCACCCTGGCTACAATTCCGACCATGATGGGATCCAGCTGCCCGTGAATGTCCGCCGTAGCAACCAAACATCATGGCTGTCCCTAGCTCGTTATGCCGTGGGCACAGCCATGCTAGCTTCAGTATACTTCTACTTTTGGACAGGACTGTGGAGTGAGCTCGAGACCTTGCCTCCAACTGCTTATGTTCCCCTACTGATGTTTTCTCGACTTAGATGGCCTAGCTGACGATGCTTCCCCGCATCATACGGCACCCCCTCTTTGCGAGACACCCGAATGTGTGCACGCTGCTTCTAATATTCTCGCCAACCTGAATCCCAATCATGCGGAGATTGACCCGTGTACCGATTTCGATCAATACGTGTGCGGGGGCTGGAGAGAAGGGCATGACATGCGTCCTGACCAAGGCTCTATATTTGCGGGGACTCTCATGGCGGAAGCAGCCCAGACGAAGCTTCGCCATGTCTTGGAGTCACCAGGGGCGTCAGATCCGTCCGACGCAAACAATTTTGAGAAACTGAAGGCAGCTTACGGCGCTTGCATGGATGAGACTGCGATCCGCGAGCGCGGAAGCAAGCCTCTCGAAGATATGCTGGCTAAGTTTGAGGATATATACGGCAAAAGCTCCAAAGAGAGATCGAGCGCCAATCTCACCCATGCGATACAATTCTTTTTGGATTTTGGAGGTTCTGCATTATTGTCATTGTATCCTGCTGTATGAAAGCCCCCTTCTGCCTCTGCGAGCACTCGCTGACAACATAGCCTGATGATCGGAATCCCGACTCCCTTGCCCTGTTTGTGAGCCCTGTTGCAGAGATTGGGCTGCCAGCGAGAGAGTATTATAACAACAGCGAGCTTGTGGCTGAATATAGCACAGTAGCAGAAAAGGTCCTTGGAAGCTTCGCTGGGAAGAAAGCGACACGGCGTGTCGAAGACCTCATGGAATTTGAGAAGAAACTCGCAGATGCGAGCCCGGACACGGAGACCCAACAGGATGTGACGAAATATTACAACCCACACACTGTGAAGGAAACGGAATCACTCCTCCCGCAAGTTGACCTGTCCAGCATCATCTCTTCTCTGGCACCAAGTGGTTTTGAAACCGATCGCTTGATTCTGGGATCGCCCACGTACATGAAGTCGCTATCTTCCATTTTGAACGACACCCCCAGGGAGATCGTCCAGCTGTTTTTCACATGGAAAATCATCCAGGTGTTTGAGGATAGTATCGAGGATAGCCGGATTGCGCCCCTTCGTGAATTCAACAACGTCCTCGAAGGGAAGGATCCCAAATCTACCAAAGACCGGTGGCGAAGGTGCATCGCTTCGCTGGATTTCAGTCTCGAATGGATCCTAAGCCGTTTCTACGTCCTAAACTCCTTTTCCGAGGAGTCGAAGAAGCTCGGAGATCAGATCATATCGGACATCAAAGATCGCTTCGTATACACATTAGACCAGACGAACTGGATGTCCCCCGAAGTGCGAAAGCTAGGGATAGAGAAGGTCGGAAACATCGTGCAGAAGATCGGATATCCCGCCAAAAGCCCTAATATCATGGACCCCGTGGCGGTGGAGAAATACTACGAGAGCTTGGAGGTCTCAAAGGACGCCTTCTTCGATAATGAATTGGCCGCCGCGAAATTTGGCACCAGACGACAATGGTCAAAACTGGGAAAGCCAGTCGATAAAGACGAGTGGGACATGTCTGCTCCTACCGTGAACGCATACTACAATCCTCCCGGGAACGAAATTGTTTTCCCTGCTGGAATCATGCAACCCCCAACATTTTACGGACCGGCAGCTCCTCTCTACCTGGCTTATGGAGCCTTTGGGGCCGTCAGTGGGCATGAACTGTCGCATGGTAAGTCGTTCTTTATGAAGACTTGAGAGTTTCGCTCACACTTTTCTTCCAGCATTCGATTCCACAGGCCGACATTATGACCAGACGGGGAACTACACCAACTGGTGGGACGAGAAGACGGTCCAAGCTTTCGAGGAGCGTGCGCAGTGCTTTGTGGACCAGTATTCGGAGTTTACCGTGCCGGGCGAGAAGTCGGAGCCTCTCCATGTCAACGGGCGTCTCACTCTGGGCGAGAACATCGCCGACGCCGGTGGCCTGGCAGCTGCCTACCACGCGTGGAAGAAGCGTGACGGAGCGAAGGCCGACGCCCATCTGCCAGGGCTGTCTGAATTTAGCAAAGAGCAGCTGTTCTTCATCTCGTACTCGAATTGGTGGTGCAGCAAGACGACTCTGCAGGCGGCCCGGGAGGCTATCTACAATGACCCGCACGCGCCTAAACCAGTGAGAAACATCGTGAGTATCTTGATCAAACCTCTGTACTTATGGTGGATCTTCTAACTTGGATATCTTACAGGCGACCATGGCAAACTCTCGGGAATTCAGAGAAGCTTTCAAATGTCCGGAAAAGAAGCCTACTTGCAAGCTCTGGTGAGCTGAGCAGGAGCATTCCAGTTTCCAGTATAGGCTGAATATTATGGAGTATCACGAAAACCGCAATAATGGTTATCCCCACCATATCACTTTTCCCACATATCATTTCTCCGTAGACCACCTTTTCCCGCGTATCACCTCCTGCCATAGGTCATCTAATCTCCGTAGAAGAGCCACTCAAACGGCGACATAAACACGAATACCCTCCCACTACAACACTCCCATCAAACCCATCCACTCTGTCACACACAGCTGAACCACATAAAAACAACAATAACACCCACCACACATAGTCTAGCCCATATATGTCACCGTGGGATCATTGCAACGTGACCACGACCACAACCAACCCGGTCCGATTTTAGGTTTTCAACCGGCGAAATCAACCGTCTCGCTGATTTCTTCCGGGGGGTTGTAGGGGTGGCTGGAGGGTTCGCACCTCAATTTGGCAGGTAGTATGGATGGAGTGGAACGGGGGGAGCTCCGTTGGACCGCCTGAAGAAAATCCCTGTTCGACCGTAGTGATTAACCCCGTTTGTGAGCGGCACGAGCTAACCTGCTTAACAGCGGCCAACCAAATAACCGACTGCAGGGTTTGGGCACGGTCTGTGCATCTGATGTCATTTACATGGGTTGAGACTTGAGACCCCCAGGGCTTGGGGTCTTTCACCGCTTGGTTGGCATTGCTTTTGTAGGCTCTTGTTAAATAGAGAGGAGCAGCGGCTGAGGAGTGAGGAGCGTGGGCGTCTGCGGCGGCTGGATTGTATATGATATTCCGTATAGCTATATACGGTGTGCGAAGTATCCGTACATGTTAGTATACACAATTTGGAGGGGAATTCCCCGACGATCTACCAAGTATTTAATCAATTGATTAATTGAAGCTGATTGAGATTAATGAATGATTGCCAGCCAAGACCGATGATCGCACGGGCTGTTCTTGGGAGCCACAATCCATTACACAGACTGAGCCAGAGTTTGCCGCTATTGCATGGTTGGTTACATAGGGTCAGTTGTGTTTCTCTGCTTGGGGGTATTTATAGGGGGATTATGGATCCGTTGTGTTACTGTGGCTCTGGTGTCAAACTTGTTGTAGATCGTAGTTACCTACTATCCGTACGTGACTACTGGGACTCACTATGATCAGGTTGCCATTTTGTAGGCTAGTCAATTGATATTGAGAGAGCATTGAATTTGTTGTGCGATGGATAGATCGTGAATGGGTAGACATCTTTGATTGATTAATAAATATTTTATTATTATATTTTCTGATCTATCTATCTATTTCTTCCGTGTAGCCCATACTTCCTACCTGCTTGATTATGGCCAAGGTAGATAGGTACCTGTAGGCAGGCAGCTGACGATGTATGATCTTGCATTGTCACAATCCACCATTGACCGATCAATAGGGGCGTCAGCCGCACAATTCAACCCTTGAACCCACTATGGACCAGGTAGGTAAATGCAGCATGCTACCTTACACCTTACTCCCTTCGGTAGTGAGGACGGACTCCGTAGTTCATAATCTCCATGCTGGGATGAGATGCTGCTGCCCAATAGAAACGGATGTTTCGCGAGTCCGTCTGCAGGTGCGGAAACTGGGGTTTGATGGGATTGTTGCGGTGACAATGTCATCCTCTTTTTGGATTTATTCGATTATTTTTATTTTATTTTATTTTATTTTATTTTTTCAAATTTTCTATTCGTTTTTTTTCTTCTTCCCTCTTTTAATGGTTTATGCCTGATTGTTTCTGTCAGAAAACCTGTGGTAACAGGGGCTTGCGGATCAAAAACAACGAGTTCTTTCAAACCTCGGAGTCCCTAAGCCGGGATCTAATAATAATCCTGGTATAGGCAAGTCGACATGACGATGAATCATTTCCCCTACCTCCCGCAAACTAAGAGCCCGCTAAAACGATCGGTTGGAGACCCGCTTCGAAACGGTCGTGACTCGCCAGTCGCGGTGGAGGGTTGGGCTGGATAGACCTGGATGGGAGAATTGATAGGCTCCGAGAATTACCTCGGTCGGTAAGACCTGATCCGACATTGCCTGTCAGGACTGACTCCATCTTGGCTTCAATCTGAGCTCTCCCCCGGGGCTGCTTTGCTTGACCGTCCGTTGGATAATGGATACTTGACTTAAGTTCGTTTAGGTAGTCCTTAACGGCTCCCGGGTGGACCGGGTGGCTGCCTGTCTGGTCTGCCAATTGTGTTGCGATCCGTTTTCTTTCTTTCTTTTTTAGGCTTTCTCCTTTTCGTCATTTGTTTTCCGGTGGAAATTGATCTTTTTACGGTTCCGTCCCCCTTTTTCTGCTAGATCATCACGTTGTGGTTGGGAAAAAAGTTGATTGTTGGACGTGTGTTATCCAGCCCCTACTCGTCTGTTCCATCTCTTTGTTCCTTTTCTTTTCAGATGGTTAGGGGTCGAGCTGAGAATGTTCCAGCCTCGGGGATCAGCTGCTTTCCTGCTAGAGTTTTCTTCCTACTTGACTAGGGCATGAGCTTAGTCGCGGTCTAGCTCCGAGTAGTGTTGGACCAGCGTCATGGATGGGCAAATTCGTAATCCCGAGATTTAGAGCAGTGGGAAGCCCTAGGATTCTCAGCCAACAGGAACAGCAAGAAAAGGTAGAGTAGTCGGCAAAAAACGAAAAATAAAAAGAATAAAACTCGATACATCAATTCTCATTCGGCTGTTGGAATGGTAGTCAGACTGTCGAACCTACCGACACACTGGTTCAGCAGACTTGGACGAAACTATTCCATGTGAATCATGCAAAATCAAGACGGAGGTTTTTTTTTTTTTTTTTTTTTTTTTTAAGCTCAAGATTGAAGTTTGCATTGTCCTCGAACAAGGACAAGGAAAGCGGTCCCCGACCGTCCGTATCCTTTCGTATCTCTCTCGAGTTTCAAGTTCCAACGCTGAGGGCAGCCTTCTCCTCGTTAGCCGGGTCCGTGGCGGACGCAGGTCTGTCGATCCGCGCCGCTCACGAGGTAGGTAAAGAGGGGGTTCCATCGCTGATTATTATTCGCCGAGTGGACGGAAAGAACAGAGGGCCAGCCACAAAGACGGCAGCGAGCTGAGGAGCACCCAGATGTGACCTGGGCTGGATCATTGCGTTGGAGTAGCTGTTGTTGTGTCTCCTATTATGGGCTCCGTCCAAGATGGAACGATAGCTTTAGCTGAATTGATGCATCGCGTCTCCTCCCCCCCTCCTGGCACTATTTCCGGACATGATTAAGATTGGCCCTGGGTCCCACGATCTGGGAGTGCAGATCGACTGTCAGCTGACCGGATCCGAGAACTCGATGGGTGGGAGTGGGTCGAGGAGAATATGCGGTTCAATGAGGATGAGCTGTGAGGGCGGATAACATACATCATTGTTGAGTACTTTGGAGTAGACGGAGGGATTTATACTAGACGGGAAAGCCAAGGTTGATTGTGTCCAAACCCATCGGGATCGTGATTGATCGATCTTGACAGATCTGTTTGACAGGTTGGTGTGATATACAATCAATCTCCAGACTCAATATCTAGAATATGATTAATAGGACTCTGGAGAGATACGATGAATGACTCAGCTGTGGATAACTCCATCCCCTCCACTATTCCTCATTGATTGGTACTTGGCTCCGATCAAACACCAAGAATGATCCTCCCATTACAATCCTCACACTAACAACAAAGCCGAAGGATGAGGAGGTTGGCATGGACGGAGGGATGGAGGGAGAAATCCTCTCCTTGGGGCTGTAGAGGGTTCCGCCAGGCTGGAACCACGTCTGGTAGTATTCTACTGTACATAATATGGAGTACATAGTATAAACTAAGGTACCGGAAGAGGAAAAAGAGAAATAATAATCATCAACGAACGGTTTGAAGTTCCGGCGCGTCTTGTTCTTCCACTTTACGGTTCGCTCTTCCTCTCTCCACTTTCCTTCGTTTTATTAATATTTATTTATTATTGATTTATTCTCTCTTTATTGTTAGTTGATTTACTTTACTTTTTTTTATTAAATCCTTTCTCTCCCTCTCCACTCCCTTCTCTACTAATAATACCGTGAATCAAGTGATTATTGACCTACCTCACCCTATATACTCCTGCCATATACCCTACCTATTTACAGTCCACACAAACCTTTCCCCTCTCCTCCCTACTTTCCCGGGGACTCATTCTCTATATTTATCCGACCCTTTGGGACGATCATTACTCTACGGGGTTATCTCCCGCCTCCCCCCCATCGTTGACTTTATTCCCTGGGGGTTCCCTACATTACAATCTGAACCCTGGTGGGATTGACTCCCGGATTCTTCACCCTACTCTGTCCCCTTGCAACATAACAACAACCTTTCCATGTTTGGTACCGCTGGGCCATTCCCAAACGTCTGATCGTCTCCTGGTTTGCTTGGAGTCTGGTCATGTCGTGTCGCAAACACGGTCTGCGATCCTCTGGGCGGCTCCTCCATCCAAATTCCGTCTAGCTTTTCGCATCTTCGTGGATGGGACCCTTCTCCTCGCCCGGTCGCGTAGAGGAGAAGTCCATCCGCCATGGAGTTGACCTCCGCAACCCGCGATTTCTCCCATAAGAAGACCGTGTCGACTTCAGCTGACCTACCGCCGCCCTCCGCCGAACGCGATCCCCATCACGCCAATGCCGACCCCCCGTATGCGGCGTCGACTTTGCGACGCGCCCACACCGTGGCGCAGGGGAGGACCATGGGCGAGAAAACAACCATCAGCATCAAGGCTGCGAGAGACAGGATGGCAACGTCGATTCTACGTGTCAAGGATAGTCACGAACTTCTGCGGAAACGCTCCTTCAGGCGGCCGGACATTTTGAGACACCCGCGTGATGGGACTGCTGCGACAGCTGCAGCTCCCGCGACGGCACCGACGAAGGAACGCCATAACTTTACGGTGGGAAACGTGGGCCAGAACGGAAAAATCTTCCTGAGGTATGGGACGAACTCGTGATATCCGGGACAGGCGTGTGCGCCTTGGGTGACACGGGGGCCCTGGACAAGAACAGCTCACTAACTACGTCGGATGGTTGCACAGGCCGATTCAAAACCTGCCCCTCAGGGAGCCGCGACTACCACATCTGGCTCCGCCACTCGACCAGGACAGTGACGAGTCCCTTCGCCCGCATGGAAATGGGACCCTAAGCGCGTCCAATGAACCGTCGCGATGGTCAGGCTCCCAGCTCTCGGAGTTACGCCCCGATTTAATCCCCGAGGAAAGTTGCGAAGACGCCGACTCCATCCGCTCCCGTTCGACGCGGGCCGGCTATAACTATTCACATCACCGCCTCCGCCGGAGAGCGCATTCCTTTTCCACCATCTCCGAACAGAGGTCGATATCGCGAGCCGGACAGTCGGGCGAGTTCCGGATCACCATCAATCGAGCGGACGAGCAGCGACCCAAGTCGGCCGATGGATCGATACGCTCACCGCTGGATGTGCCGGTGGCTAGTGACCGGCTGGACGCGCTGCTCTTCGGCGACGACGGCACCGCGTTGCATGATTCGATCTATTCGCGTCTGTCCGACAGATACCGTGTCCCACACTACCTGAGCGACAACTGGCCCTCGAGTCTATATGTCGACGGCGTCGGACGGCCATCCTTCGCGGCGTCGATGTTCTCAGGAGGACAAGCAATAGAGCTCGCGCCAACTCCCGCTGGTCCCGGGAACGGCGTCCAGTACGAATTGCAGGAACCTGTCGGGCCGTCCGTGTTCGAAGATCTCGTGTCGGAGATGGACGCCGAGTCGGTCGTTCGATATATCCCCGGCACCAAGGACATCGGCGCGGCCACCCCGGCGCGTATTGTGGCGCAGATATCCTCCGAGTCCTTCATGGACTATGAGCTCGTATCCGATTTCTTTCTCACCTTCCGCTCTTACCTCTCCCCGAAGAGCCTTCTTGCTTTGCTGCTTGCTCGACTGCAGTGGGCGATCAGCCGACTCCAGGATGATGGCAGAATCATCCGCATTCGCACATTTGCCGCTCTCCGACATTGGATTTTGAATTACTACGTGGACGATTTTATCCCTAGCTACGACCTGCGCGCCCTGTTCTGTGAGACGATCAATAACATGTACAGCGATGTCAAGGCTCGGGAAAACGGCGGAATGAGCGATCTGAAAATCTTAATCGACCTCAAGCGCTGCTGGTATGGGAAGTGTTCACAGTACTGGGAATTCCAAGATCAGCATGTCACCTTCCAAAGTCCAGACCTCCCCATTGTTCCCTGCGGCGAGGGCGCTCTTGAGTCAAACCGCGCGGAGGACTATCACTCCCTGGCTAGGGCTAAGAGCAGCCACGGGATCGGTCTCGGTGAGGTGGAACGCCGCTCTATGACGAAACACGACCGCAATGGTTCCGCAGCCACCGCCAAAAGCATGCCGATCTCCGGGGAGAGTGATCGGAGCGTTCAAGCCACCTCCTGCTCAGCTTTGCCCCGGCCTCTACAACGCATTTCGATGCCCCATACCGGGCCCAAGGGACCGCATCCAGTGCCTCTGGCGCCGCTCAAACCGGTAACGCCTGTGCATGGGTCACCCTCGGTGTCACCGGTCCTCTCCCGACGTTATCACTTCCACTGCCACGCCCACAAGCGCAGCGGTAGCTTCTCCGACTCCGTCCGAGACGACAGGGCTCCGTTCGCCTCACTTACACATGACCACCGCAGTTCCTCCTCCGTGGGAGCATTGGATCTCGGCGGGTTGATCCGCGGCGAGCTCTATCCTCCGGCAGAATCATACATGACGATGATGGCACCTCCTTCGCCCCCACTGCCGTCATCCACCAACTCTCCGGGTCCAGTTCGCCGGGGCACTTCAGAATCCATGCACAAGCCCACTTCTTCAGGTTCCGGTGTCAAGACCATCATCGGGTCGATTCGCCGTGCCTTGAACAGTCGCCATGGTGCCAGTCAAAGCCTCTCCGGACGCCTTGTCAACGCCCCTCTCAACCACGCAGTGCGAGCGAAAACGTCTACTTTGCCGGCCAATGTTGCATTCGGGTCGGATCTATATCGCGATCGAAGGGTCGCAGCTGCTTCTCAGAAACTGGTTCGGATAGATGTACTGTGCGATGAGACACTGCACCACTATCGCCGCCTCATGGGTTGTAATCATTCGAAGACGTTTAACCCACTCCACGCGTCCACCACTTCGCAGCAAGGGTCTGACCCAGATTTCCAACCACCAAGTCGGCGAATTACCAGTGCACCAGGCCGCGAAAGGATAAAGAGCGATCTTACCGGAGGCAGCGAATCTATCGTCATTGTCGATGACACCGGATTTGGGTCTGCTTTGATGTCAGGTGCAATAGTGGCGGAGCCGGCTGGTATGGATGAAACTCCCGATTCCCAAGGCGCGGAGAATCCACCGACAACACCAAAGGCACCATTGGCCTTGCGCGTACCGTCCCACAGGTCAACCTTGACGGGCGACGAGTACTCATTGCCGCTCTTCTACGAAGGTTCTGATTATGCACGGGTCAGTCAAGCCTCGGGGCTTCTTCAACCGCTGGATATTGTGAAGGCACGGAGGTCCTTGTCAATGGAGAGAGCATCGGCATCATGGAAGAGGACGTCGCCGTCCCTACGCCTTCGGAAATATGCCTCCTTCCAGAGTGGTATCTTCAGACACAAAGCCGTTTCGGGCATCGGGCCAGAGTCCTCAGTTTCTGACCAGGTCTCGCAGAGTCCCCAGGATCGAGCGGGCGGGCCAAGTCTCCGTAGGCGGCCTGGCGGGGACTTGCGTCAAATGCGAGACGGGCGTGGCTTGCCTACTCGCGCAGAATCCGGGTCATTTATATCCGATTATTCTTATCATAGTTCCTTTCTTGACAGCAGGGCTTCTCGACTCCGGGACGCCGCCTCACGACCTCAGACCAGCCTGATCCCCCCCAATCCACGGTTTTCCCTGATTCAGACCAATTCGTCGCAGGAGATTCGGCGCTCATTTGAGGCTGCTATTGCGCAGTTTGCCCAGATCCCCGATGACATGGACGACGATGGGGGGATCGAGTCGACATTGCTCAAACTTGAAGGCAAATGGGGAGACACCCATGAGACTGATGATGATGGGCAGCGCCAGTCTACCCGTGATGAGGTCGCGCGGGAGCTGGAAATGATTTATCGCAGCCATCCCCATCTTCGGCAGGAGAGTCGCAGAGGATCTGGCCCTGGCGGTTGGACCCATTCTGCATTCCCCGGAGAGAATCTCAGCTACTCGTCTGCCCGCGGGCGGATCGTTCCACATCGACCTTATTCTGACTCCGTCGCCGACTCGGAGGATTCATATAGTTCGATACCGCTCCTGGAGCGCGGCCTGAGCGACGAATCGATGAAGAGACCCGGAGCCAGCCAGATCGTTCGTCCCCTTGTGCCTCCTAGGACTCAGCCAAGCGACTCCTTTACTCGGGGTACATCCGACGTGGATTCCTCTCATAGGTCTTATGATTTCGTGAAGGAGACCGAGAGCATGAGGGGAATACCGCGGGGTTCGACTTTACCAGCGCCCGTTGCCCAAAGACCGCGGTACCGGGCAGGCCGTCTCTCCAACCTTTCGTCTGAGCTTTCGGTCGACATGATCGACCCGCGCGAAGCCCGGGAGCCACGGTTGTCGATAGATACCCGGACTCTAAGTGATTCGTCCCTCGGAATCCCCCCCCACCCCCTCGCACACCCTCCTTCTCCTCCAATGACCATCCAGAATCCTCGGTCTGTGATCTCTTGCGCAACACCGCTGGACCCCATCCTCTTCCAAGCTCAGCCCCCGACGCCAGACCCTTCCCCCCACAGGAACGCCGAGCAAGCCAACGGCCGGTCTATCGGCGTTTCTGGTGATATCTTCTCCCATACCGAGATGGACCGTCCACACCACGGTCTTTCCCAGGCCCCCGGGCCCAGCCTCGACCACGTCCCCTTTGTCCTGTCGTGCGAATCACAGACCCTCGCCCAGCAACTGACCCTAGTGGAGGTAGCCGCACTAAGCGAAGTAGACTGGAGAGACCTCGTCGACATGCGTTGGAGCAGCGGCTCCCCAGCCATCCTGAACTGGGCCGAGTTCCTCGCGAGCGAAGACCACCGGGGCATCGACCTGGTAGTCGGGCGCTTCAACCTGATGGTCAAATGGGTGGTCTCGGAGATCATCCTCACGCAAGACATCCACGAGCGCGCGTTGACCATCACCAAATTCATCCACACCGCCGTCCACGCTCGTCGACTATGCAACTACGCCACTGTGCTGCAGATCGCCATCGCATTGTCCTCGACCGACTGCTCCCGACTAGAGGAGACCTGGGCGCTGGTGCCCCCGGGGGAAAAGTGCCTCCTGAAAGACATGGAGCTGCTGGTCCAGCCGGTGCGCAATTTCCACGACCTCCGCGTTGAAATGGAGTCTGCCAACGTGCAGGAAGGCTGCATTCCATTTGTCGGTATGTTTACCATATACATATACCCCTTAAAGTAGTATGAAGACGATACTGACGGATGAAATAGGCCTCTATGTCCACGACCTGACGTACAATGCGCAAAAACCGGCGCAGATCGAAAACCGGAAGGGCGAGCCGCTGGTGAATTTCGAGCGCCATCGGACGACGGCTAAGATCGTGAAGAATCTTCTTCGACTGATTGACGCGAGCACCAAGTACAACTTTGAACCGGTGCAGGGCATCATCGAACGTTGTCTTTGGATTTCCGCGCTGTCTGAAGAACGGATTCAGAATCGGAGTAAACAGCTTTGTTAAAGAAGAAGAAATCAGAAAAAAAAAGGAAACAAAGGGAAGTAAAAAAACAATACAAAGAGAAAAAAAGGAGAAGAAGAAGGAAGCCAAGATTACATGCATGATGGCGTTTGTCCGGTCATTGTTTCTCTTTTCCTTGGTTCTTTTCTTTTCTCGACTAATACCCTGACGAAGTTATTCCTTGGTGATCACGAATTTGAGGCATCTTTGATGTCCGCAACATGTATAATAGATAGGATTTGCATCGGGTGGAGGTTTTGATTTATCTAATTAATTAATTATTATTATTATTTTTTTTTTCATTATTTGGGTTATTGTTTGTTTTTCCTAGAATTTCTCAATTAGTCAGTTATTTTGATGGTCTTGTATAATGAAGCATACATGGAATTCCTATATTCACTGTCCCAAACATGTAGAAGTAAATTACATTCACTGGTGGAGCATGAGACGTTTGGGATTGATCAGTGGAGAGAATGTCAGACGCGGTCAAGGAAGCTCAAGCGCTTTCGGCCTTCCAGGTTTCCACTTCTTCTCCCGCCTTAACCTGACTTGTCTCTTTCAACACCTCCAAAGCACTGTCAAGATCAAGGAGGTTATTCATCCTCCCTCCACTCGACTGTCTCCATGGAGCTACTCTTATTCCCTAACTGTTGATCCGTGTCATTCATTCATTCATTCTTCACCCATTTCCCCGCCCTCCTCCCTTTCCTCTCCCTTCCCCTCCCCCTCCCTTCCTCTCCCCTCAGTCCCAAATCCGGACCAGACCAAATCCATCATGGATGATACCCCCGTTGTCCACCGCGGGGCCTCCAACGACCTCGAGCGCACAAACGGGAGTCACAGCAACAGCAACAGCGACAATGACTCGGACCGTCCGGACTCCCCGCAAATGCCTATGCCCGGTGGTTTACCGGATGACTTACCTACGTCGTTGGATGACCGTCGTTCGATCCCCGTCTTCCCGCAGGAGACGGAGATGTATGACGCCTGGCAAGGTATGCAATTCATTCCCCGTTCGATCGCCCCCTTCCCCTTTCCTACCCCTCACTGCGTGCATATCCGCTGTTTGTCTTGGTTTGTTTTATTCTATTTTCTTTTGTTTTGCGAGTTGCGGGGTCTTGCGGAATTTGGTCCGGTTGCCTTGGTGTGCGGTCATACTGTGCGACTGTCGTGAAGGGAGACAAGAGGGGGCCCAGACACCACAACTCGATCGAGAAAAGGAAAAAGGTAAAGAAAAAAGCTAACCCCCCAGGCCAATCCCAATTCCTTACTACCCCCGTCGCTGCGAAACCCTTGAGCTTCAGCCTCGCCCTCGACGATCACGCACACGACGATGAACACAATCTACAAGCTCAGTACGGTCGCGGTCTCGCTCCTCCCACTGATGACGACAACGAGTCGACGATCACCGCCCGCTTGGAGGACAGCGACGCCCGGCTGATGGAAATGCTCGCCGCACAAGCCGCCCACCGGGAAGTCGACTCCCTCGGCGCCGACGAAGAGACGATCGCGGCGGATGAGAAGCTATCGGAAGCGGAGAAGAAGGATATTCTACAGCGGAGCTTGAATATGGCGGCTAGCAATGGCGATGTCGACCGCGTACATAAGCTGCTGCAGGGCAAGGCGAATCAATACGTGGATGTGAATAAGCCGGACGAGGAGGGAACGGTGCCGTTGATCTACGCGAGCTGCTTTGTAAGTGGTCGCCTGCCTTGGTTTTTGCTGGGGGGAGGATGATGGCGATTCTGGGACTGCACTGACAATCCATGCTAGGGCCACCAAGACGTGGTTTCCGCGCTGCTGAATGCAGGCTCCAACGTCGACCAGCAGGATCGCAATCAGTGGAGCGCCCTCATGTGGGCTATGACCAATCGACACAAGACCATCGCCAAAATCCTCCTGGACCACGGAGCGTCCCCGGATATCAAGTCCTCGTCTGGCGGAACGGCCTTTGACTTTGCCCAACCCGGCAGCGAGATCTCCGATTATCTTCACGAGAACGGGTACAATTTCGGCCCCGAGGCCGTCGAGGATGATTTCTACGACTCTGGATTCGCGCAAGGTCGCTTTGAAGAGGAGTTCGCGGAGAATGAGATGAAACGCCGGATGATGATGGAGGAGAGCGCTATCAACTTGGAGGTGGACTTGTCGAGCCTGGGGCTTGATGAGAAATTCGACGTGAGTATCCTTCTTGTCTGTTGTTTCAGCGGTGTCAGTCCGTGGGCGTGATGCTGACCGACCCACAGTCCGTGGATGACGAAGAACTCGAAGGGGAACAACAAGAATTCGTCTGGGATCGGTGCCTCAACGATCAAATGTTCGTCTTCCAGGATCATGAGCTGGAGAGGATCCTGGACATCATCATTACAAGAATGAGCCCCCAGCGGTCGCCGTCGCAGAAGCCGGTTCCCGCCAACCTGCTCTTTCTCAGTGCGCGATACGCCCACTATCACGCCAGCCCCGAACTACTGGCACAGCTCCTGGTTTCCGCCACCGAAAAGATCAACGACGTTGTGGAACGCCATCAGTGGGACATGACGATACTCGCTTTCTGGATGTCGAACGCCACCTTACTGCTACACTACCTGAAGAAGGACGGGGGCCTGGTCGAGTCAACCGTGGAGTTCCAGCTGCACCTGGCGGAGCTCATCAACGAGATCTTCATCCTGATCATCCGGGACGCGGAGCGGCGGATGAACAAGGTGTTGGACGCGGCCATGCTGGACCACGAGACCATCCCCGGGCTGGAAGATGTGGCGTTCCAAAATGAGTGGAAGCTCTTCCGGTCCAAGAACAAATCCAAGGCCCCCGAACCCGCAGAGAAACGCTTCCGACCTCCGTCCCCCAGGCGGCGCGCCCAGATCTCTCCCCGCAACATTACCTCCCTACTCTCCTCGACGCTGTTCGTCCTCGATCTGTACGACGTCCACTCCGTCATCACGACTCAGATCCTGTCCCAGCTCCTGTACTGGCTGGGGGCGGAGATCTTCAACCGCATCATGACCACGAAGCGATACCTAGCCCGGACGAAAGCGATGCAGATCCGGATGAACGTGTCAACCTTGGAGGATTGGGCTCGGATCAACAACCGCCAACCGGAACACTACGAGAACGGGTCGACGTCGTGCACGGGGGAGAGCACCATGGAGGCGGCGCGGCGACACCTGGCCCCTGTAATCCAGCTGCTGCAGTGGCTGCAGTGCTTCTCTTCCTTAGGGGACGACTTTGAGTCGCTGCTCACGACGTTGATGCAGCTGCAGCAGTTGACGCCGGCGCAACTCCTCCACGCGGTCAAGTCGTATCGGCCGGAGGTGGGGGAGAAGGGACTGAGCAAGCCGGCGATGAAGTTCCTCATCGAGTACCAGCGTGATCCGGACCTACTGCTCCGCGAGCAGGGGAAGATGCAGGACGCCGCACGGCAGGGGACAGCGGTGAGCGCCGAGGCCGGCCAGGGCACAGCCGACGGGCGCCCGGCGACACCGCCGCAGGGGCAGCCGGCTGTGGGCGACCCCCGCCCGTCGACGGCGCCGGGGACGCCCGAGGCGAGCGGGCGGACGTCGACCTCGATCGCGTCGCCGGGATCGCTCCGCGCGTCCTCGCGCCCGGCGTCGTTTCGCCTAGATGACCGCAGCGTGGCTAACAACGTCTTTCTGGACCCGTCGCTGACGCTGCCGTTCTCGCTGCCCACGAGCACGGATATGTTGATCAGCTACGGGGCGGGCTGGGGAGGGACCAATCGCGAACGGGCTCGCAAATACATCCCGACGGTGCCGCCTGAGGTACTGAGTCGATTTGACCGAGATGGGTAGATTTTCCTTATTTGATTTCTTTTCTTTTTTTCTTTGTTTCTTTCTTTTTATCTACTTTTTTGTGTTGTGATTGGGGGAAGCATGGGACGGTGTGATATACCCCGCGCTGTAGAGATTCATTCTGGGACGGATTCTGATCTTTGAGTATATATACATGAACTTTCTTCTTTTCTTCTCTCTTTCCTTTCTTTTTCTTTATTCCGTTTATCCATTTGGTTCGAAGGAAACTACCAGCCATCTAGAGCCAATGACATCCGTCACCGAGAGAGAAGGTCCGCTAAGACGAAAGGGAGAAGGAGATGAGGCCAGACAGCACACCCCGATACTATCTATCAACAGATGAGGATCGACCGGTGGGGTTACCGGATCGGGCGACGGACAAACGACGCTGATTCCTGAAACCCGGCAGGATCAATGAGCTTCTAGATGAAACATGGAGGGAGATTGACTGAGACGGGCTCCGTGGTCGGGGTCCAGGTGGACCCTCCGAGATGAACGAGAGCGAGAGCGCATCATCGGTAGGATACCGGAGAGAGTCTAGTGTGGTGTAGGATAGATCATCTCAATCGATCTCCGTGTTTGGTGGTTTGTTGCATCAGGCACCGACATTTCCCTCCAATCGCGTGGGATATCTGATTCTTCTTGCTGCTTTCTTACCTTTTCCTGGCACATTTTGGATTCTTTAGTTCTTTCTTGATTTCTTATTCTTTGCTTCCTTTTGGATTGACTGTCGCTTTCATGACACAGGTTCCAGGGGTTCCCTCCAGTTCATAGTGAATCCTGATTAGGATTCCGTGCATCCCGCCGGTCCGACCCGTGTTCCATTCAGACTCGGACAATTCAGCCTTCTCTCTCTCTCTTCTCTCTCTTCTGCATTTCTCCAGTGGAGTGCTAGGGAGTGCACGAGTGCCAGGTGGCTGTTTAATCTCTGCCCATCTATCATCGCACTGATTTCCTCATTCAACACTGTCTCACTCCAACGGACTCCCAGTTCCGGTTAGACCAGGTGGATCGTCCGTCTTCTTTGGGTAAGTGTGCCTTGCCAGATCGGGGCAGTTCCTGTCTCGGTCTTTTGGCTTCTTCTCTTGTTCTTTCTTTCTTCTTTCTCTATTCTTTATTTATCTTGTTTTCCACCATGTTTCTCTCCCTCTCCCTCTCTCTCCCCTTCTCTCCTTCTTCTCTTCTCCCCTCCCCTCTCCCTTCCCCCCCTCCAATTCTGCCACCCCCCCCCAATGGGGCTAGAGAATGCTCCTCACCTTGAAGCCTTTCAAGGACGGTATCAAAGCTCCCCATGAGTACTCGGTCATTCGACAGTCTCGTCCATCCCGGCCCCCCCCCCCCCCCCCCTCCTTGCTGGATCCCTCCGAGGATCACCCCATGGCGTCGTCTCGCCCGGGGTTACCTCCGCCCGCCTCCCTCGCCTTACCGCCTCCCGACGCCGCCTTCACCATGACTCCGGCCACCCAACACCGCCCCGCCGTCCCGCCCCGCCCCCGCGACCGACCCACGATGACGCTTCTCAGCATTACTGGCAGGCCCGCGCCGAGGAGGATCGGAGACGACAGGAGGAGGAGAGAACCCGTCAGGAAACCCTGCGTCTGGAACAGCGTCGCGTCGAACAAAGCATGCTCCGCGACTCCCTCCAGGCGGGCGTCCCCCCGCACATGGTGCCGCTCATTTTCGCCGGTCTCAACCCCGGCGCAGCGGCCCCGACCCTACTGGAGTGGTCCCACCCCTACCCCCCGCAGCTGACCCCGACGGCCCGCGCTCCCGCCGCCCCGCCCTCGCTCTCCCTCTCGCCCCGATCTCCCCCGCGCCGGTCCTCCCACCTGCGCCGCGAATCGCGCTCCGCTCTCCCGCATCACACCTACCCGGGTCCACCGCCGCCGCCTGTTCGTGCCCCGGGCGTCCTCCTCTCGCAGCCCCTGTCGTCCTCCACTGCCGTGTCTCCGACTCCGTCGTCCCTCGGTCGTCCGACCCCCGCCGGCGGGGCCCCCGAATCCCGCGCCGGATCCCGCGCCCCCTCGACGGACGGCCCGGCGCCCTCGCGGCCCATCAACCTCAGCCACGTGCACTACGCTCCGGGGTCCTCCGTCCCGTCCACCCACTCCAGCCCGGGCCCGGCGGACAGTGCCCACCCGCGCCAGTCTCCGCCCGCCCTCTACTTCCACCACTGGGTTCCCCCGGGGCACTCGCTACCTCACCCACCGTCCGGCCGCACCCACCCCGAGTCCCCGGGGACCTCTAGCTCCCGGCGGTTCGAGCATCCGAGCTCGCCGGGCCGGAAGCGCAAGGCGTCTGGACCTCACCCGCCGGTGCCCCCGCCCTCCATGCGTCTCTCGGCGAGCCCAGCGCGGGAGGCCTCCCGCACGAGGCCCCCCGAGGTGTCTAGTCCGGCGTGGGATCGCCGTCGGACCGAGGACCTCGAACGCCCGCGAGACCCGCCTCCACCTCGGCCCCGCGTCTCGCCGCCGGCGCCGCCGGCCCACCGACCGCCGGCTACGAGCCCCGAAACTGCGCCCCGTGAACGCGACCCGAGGAGCCCTCGACCGGCTGTCCAGCACTTCCAGCACGCCCCCGCCTCAGCAGAACCGGGGGAGGACCGACCCCGACCCGGCGCGTGATGCATGCTGATGACATTTCCATTCTTTCTTCCCTCATCTTCTCTTTCTGTGACCTCCCTCCTCGAATCCATCCCATACCCCAACCATCGGTACATCCGCGATGTACCCCGCCTCGACTGGTTCGCGGCACAGACAAACCACGGTAGAGGGTGGATATGGATCATCCAACAGCGGGAATGTTGGATGAACAATATATATAGATTGTTTCTTTAGACGGTACAACCTTATAAACGCGGTTGACGGATGGGTATCGCAATAGCATGCATGATCGGTCGTTGACCGCTCGCTTTCATCCTTGAAGGAGGGGGCGTTGTATTGGAAGTAGATTAGACGAGCTCGACTGTTGAATCTGGACGGTGATTCTCTGTTTGGGAAAGGAGTGCTTGATTACTTTCGATCTGTATATACTTACACACACTGGTTCACTGCATCTGTACAATACGATTCGAGATCGATTAGAATGACCGCTAGTTGACTGTCATTGATATGATATTACTCTTCATTCTCTTATGTCTGTTAGGTCTAGCTAGTAGTTACTTAGGTAGATGGTTACTCTATGATACGTGCGGTTTATATGAACAAGTATATCTAACTAACGAACTCGATTGGATGAAATAAACAAAGGAAGATAAACAATAAACTATAAGAAAGAAGATACGAATCAAGAATGGAAAAGGAACTAGAGGGAGATAGATGGTTGAGTGGACTGGTTCCTAATGAAAAGGTATCCTGGGAGTGGAAAGGGTATCAGGAATGGATGTTATGATTGATTGATTTAGTATTAATTGGGGCGCTATATAGGTAGGTGAGGTATCGATCGATAGTTGGATAGGGATGGGGGTAGGCATATGGATGGTGTATGTATGTATGAACGCATGTAGATGGGTATGAATGGATGGATGTATGAATGGAATGATGGACGGATGTAAACAAAGATAAAGGATGAGAAACGAAACAAAGAAACAAGTAAAATGATAGACGAACGGTTTAACAAAGGTAAAGGAACAAGGAAAGAGTAGTGTAGTGGAAACGTATTGACAAGTCGGCACCAAGGAAATAAACAAAGCGAATGTAAAAGAGCAGCACTGTGGAAGATAGGTAGGTAGTAGGAAAGTATTAGAAAAGTCCCGCATATGTATAGAGCCTCTCAGTCCTGGGTATCGCAGACATGGAGACATTGACATGGACATGGACATGGTTCTCGTGATGTGAGTGAGTGAGTTGAGCCGTGAAAGTAGTAGGTAGGTTAAAGAAGAGGTATCGTAAATAATAATAATAATGATAATAGATAATGATAACCCGACTTTTGGGGGTTCAGTTCGTCAGCAGTCGTTTGTCCATCACGTTCTTCCGGGGGATCGGAAGGGGGAGTAGGTCCGGGAGAAAGAAAGAAAGAAAGAAAGGGTTATTATGCGGGTATTATAATAATTAAAGCAGTCCAAGTCCGTTAGGTAGAGAGGATGCTCGACTGCGAAGGACTAATGCGTCCTCTTCCGATGGACTTTCCACTCCGCTTTGGCGACTCGCATGAAAATCTCGACGTCTTTGATAGGCACCCAGCTCGTGAGGACCTTCATGGCGTTCTCAAAGTCCGATTCGAGGATGATGTCGCGCATGCCGTCGATGAGCGCCGCCGATGTCGCGTGAAGGACGTCGAGGCCCTTGCCGAAGGAGCTCACGTGGCCGTTCGACCGTTTGCTGGAACTGGTGATATCGTCTGCGTCGCCGAGGAGCATGAACACGTCCCATACGCGGAGTTGGGCCGCGAATGGGATGGAGTAGTTGAATAGCGTTAGGTACCACCGGGTGCCGTACGCAGTGGGTGGGATTCCGAGTTCGTTCTGTGCGTTATCTTGGTTAGTCTGAGGTTTCTTTTGGCATCACGTTGGATATGTGTACGTACCAGTTGCGTGGCGACTTCGCCTCCCGCCAACCACTCGCGCTCGAAATCACCCAAGGCTTCCATGAGCCCCTCGAACCCTGACCGGTACAGCTGTTCTAGCCCTCGTAGCTGCCACAGTCGCACGAGCATGATGAACGTGTGCTCTTCGTCGAAGTAGGCCAGAAGGGTCGCCGCAAGTGCGGCCATACCCTGGACGTATCCCGTGTCCGGGAAATACAAGGACATGGCATGAAGTACACGGAACAAGAGTCGTTGACCCCCGCGATAACGCCGGCGGAACATGATGTGACTGGTGATGGTGCGCGGGACATCGATGTCGATCTGCACGTCGTCGGGCGACGAGACCATTTGATACTCGTGGTAGGCTTCGATGAGGTCTTCCTCGGTGGGACTGTCGCTATGCCTACTGGCGCTTGCCTCGAGGAACGAGTACCACGCGGTCGACCGCCATCGGTCCGGGATGCCTTTCCAGGTGCGCTCGATCAGCTTCGAGCTCTGCGTGTCGAACTCGAACCTCATGCCGCCGCCGTCCTTGCTCTTCCTGGCTGGCCGCGCCATCTTCGTCCACTTGTCTTCTCTCTCCCACTCCTTCTTCCGCATTGCACGTGCCGCTGGCGTGTTGAGCCCCTCACCAGAACTCGGGGGCTCCATTGGAAGCGTCAGCATGTCTGCCGCTTCATCCTTGTATCGACGATCGCGATTATGAGGGAGATGGTTTGTTGCCTGGCGAAACCGTGTAGTCGTCCGCCGTAATGGCGCGCTATATGTGCTTTGCGACGAAGTGGGTCGTATCGAATGTTCCGAGTTCTTGCGCGTTGGTGGCCGACCATGAAACGACCGGTTACTTGCCAGGGCCGAGGGTGGACGGATGGAGTGCTTCCGTCGGGGGGTCTCCGACGCAAGAAGCAGACTGGTCGACACGCGCTGTATAGGGCTTGGATCAATACCTTCAGCCGAGTTGCTAGTGGGGGAGCGGATGAAGCCATAACGGTCCACATCCCCGGCTCCGATATTCTGCCAGTATTCAATCCCTCCAGCCAACTCGTGGGCTTCCTTCTTGAACGTCGCAGCCGCCTCGGGACCGATAGACGACGCTATGCTTTTGGTGTCTGCCCCTTGAGAGCTACTCCCGGAAGGCCCCGATACCTCTTTGATCGCGGCACCGTCTTCCCACAGCATTCCGTTGTCCATCGCCAATGACTGCGCCACTTCTGAGTCGGTCACGTTCTCCTCTCCCTTGTCGTACATGAGTCTGACTCGTCGCGACAGCATGTCTTCGTCTGCGGAGATGGCTCTGCTGGCAATAGTGCTTTGCCGGACTCGAAGTGACGACGACGGCGGTTTCGGGCGCATCACGGGCGGCGCGGGTGGTTCAACCTCGGGGGCGGGCGATTCAGCCTCAGGGCCGGGCGGTTCAGCCTCAGGGACGTTCTGCTCCATCGTGGGGCTCTGTGCGGGCAAAGAGACGTTGTCTTGTGCAGGCTGCTGACTCTTGTCTTCTGGTTGCGGTTGTCCCTCCCGCGCAGGCTGCTCACTATGCTGCTGCGCTTCGTGTCCTTCCACTTGCTTCTGCGCTTCATGCTCTTCCTCCTGCTGCTCAAGTTTCTTGCGGTCCCCTTTATTGATGAGACTTCCGCGTTTGGAAAACCTCATCGATTGCGACCCAAGGCCGTCCAGGGACGCCGTCGGGATGTCCAGCGAGATGCCGTTGAAATGCGGCTCAATCTGGGGCACGGGTGGCGGCGAATCGGCCTTTCTTTCAAACTCGCCCGACCTCTTATGTCTCAGCCCACCCCATTTGCGCTCCGACCATCGGGAACCGGGGCGGGACCCAGGGCGGGAGCTGGGACGAGCCCCCGAATCATTGACGACGATGTTCGGAACACTGCGCAACGAGCGCAAACTGACCGTATCGTCCGCGAGGCTTTTCCTATCCTTCGCGATGGGTGAGGGCGGCAAAAACCCGAGGTCTGCCTTGGTGCTGCGATGCGACGACGGGCGGAGTAGGCCTGGATGATCGCCCGTGCGCCCGGACGATGCGCTCGTCCGAGCTGATTTGGTGTCAGAGTATAATGAGTGGACGGGCGTTGGTAGCGAAGCCGATCGGAGAGCTAGATTCTCGTCCATGGAGGCCGTTTCGTCGTAGGGAACGGCATGGAGGGTCGTGGCCGGCGGCGGCTCGGACACCACGTCGGTGGATACGGACGTGGATCGTTGGTCACTCATTCTTCTGACATGACTTGCCCTTGGGTTGTTTCTGAAGATCCTGGCTCGTGTGAGTATGCGACGACGGTGCGAGGGTTGTCCCTCTGGTCCAGGCGACGAACGTAAAAGGGTATCAAGGGAGGAAGGCAAGAGGGGGGGGGAATAAGGGTCGTCGTGGACGTCGTAGCGGCGATTGGCACAGTGGGCTCACAGCGGAGTTGAGGGTATACAAAGGAAGGAATAGTAAAGAATGACAGATGTGAAGGGAGAGGTTCTTTGCGCAGTTGCCAGTCGGGTCATGACCGACTCCACTCGAGAGGGGGCGAAAATGTGGAGGATCTGGAGTTTGGGAGGTTGTCCTAAAGAAGTTGGTTGGACCGCGGCTCCTGGGATGCTTGGCGGGCTGGACAACCTTAACTTTTTACTATTTTAGTGACCGTTTATTCTATTCAAGAATCAGGAACATAGGGAGGAATTGACCGAGAATAATACTGAAAAATATTCAGAAAAAAGATGTATGATTTACTTATCATGACCAAATCACTAGTATCAAACATCAGGCTGAGCCTAGGGATGTTTGTACGCCATGGATCCAATAAACCCCCCAAGCTGTTGAGAATCCTCCTCGCCCCTCTCTTCTCCTTCCTTGGACTGGCCGTTTCGTCGATGAAGATGATTATTATTATCGACCAACCAGCCACCCTTCATCGTCACTAGAGGAACCAAAGAATCCCCAAGCAGGGATCGCAAAGGGAGAGGGGGGGGGGGGCGGCCTGAGGTCCACAACGGGACAGCCTTGGGCCGCGCAGGTTGCAGCAGTGGAGTCTCAGCCTCTTGGTGCTTGATTGTCAAGGTCAAACTAAACTGGAGCAAGTCAAGTCCAGAAGCACACCCCGAACCATTCTAGTTAGTTTGGAAATGATAATAGTAGCATCTGTGGTGGATTATGGGGATCGATTGATTACTTGGAAGGATCGGAATTGCTGTACCACGTTAGCATTGGTTGCGTTTCCGTTGGCGGAAATTACATCCAGGTTTAGAGCTAGAAAAATAAGGAAAAATAAATTAAAAAATCATATAGATGACTAGAAAGAATAGAAAAGTAAAAATAAGCCCTAGGCAGAACTCAATTCAATATCAGCAGACAAAGGGGCGGGAAAGCCACACGAGCAGATCATCCGCCACCGTTGGATAACGACATCGCATTCATGCATGAATCATCAACTGTCATCATACATCTCTTCCTAAGTACCTTTGACGCCCAATCCCAGGAGGGGAACGACACCTCTCCTCCGCGACGGCGACTCGTTGATTGCAGATTTCTTTCATTGAAGTATTCTGATCCACTTGGGTGGCTATCTACATCCAGTGTAAATGCAAGGATCTTGTCCTTTTCTTCCTTCTTCCCTTTTTTCCCTTTTGAGCTTCACTCCTCCTTAGCTTATGCCGCTTCTGCCTGTTGTAATGTCCTTATCACTCCCCCCCATGTTATCGCTGTGTATCGGGGAATGCATGCCACCGTATTTCCTCCGCTTTAAAATGGACGCACGCCGTAACTCCTGTGTGACCAAGACCTGCTGGCCATCAATGCAATGCCGTACCCAAAATCAAACGAACCGTGAGAGACGGTATCACAATCAGCCCGAATAAGACTGTTGCTCAGATCCCAGGGTTAGGCCATGGCCGCATTGACACCCGGCCGAGATGGCTCGCGCGTGCCACGACCCGGTTCGATTGGCTCTTTGGGCAGCAGTTCGATCTGGCGCACCAGGAAACTCTTTTCGTCCGTGAATTGGTCGTCATCCGTCCGGTCTTCCAGGAATCGAGGGAGGAACTTGAGGAGACGATCCCGATTGTTGATGAGGATCCGTTGTACTGCCACCGATTTGTTGGGGTTCGCGACAAACACCTGAGCCACAGCTGTTAGACAAGGCTTTTCCAGGATCTCAATGGGAAGTCAGACATACCTTGAACACATGGAATCCTTCATATTGCACCATCTTCCGATCGTCTCGCAACAATTTCATGCATAGCTTGAGGTTTTCGCCGCTCTCAACGTAGGCCATCATCACGTTGTAGTTGGCGCGGTCTAGCAGGATTTCACCTAGTAACTTGATGCTCTGTCGCTTGGTGACGTACGAGTCGGATTGCACAAGAACGTCGTTGAATTTGGTGAAGAAGATGTCAAAGTTGGTAGCCAGGTAGCCCGTCACTAGGTTTTTGTGCCGGGTCAGAATCTCCTGTTAATCGCTCCTTGTTAGTACACGCGAAGAGAGATTTGGGGCGTCACTTACCCTGAAAGTTGTGAAAGCGTCGGCACTCAGCTCAAAGCTACCCCTATCAATCCACTCGAAAAACTTCCAAAACACGCCGTTCCCGTCCTGAGGTGTGCCGGGCTTGACCTCACTGAGCCTGATAGCTGGTTCTCCTTCCTCGGACTGGTCGTACAAGATGATTGCCGCCACCACGTCGTATTTCAGTGCTTCCCTCAAGATCGTCCCACATGGCATTGCACTGTGAGAGTACTTGTAGCCTTTGCATAGCTCGACGATGACCTCGGGTCGGTTGTGGACAATGTAGGAGATGACGGGGGGGTCCCCTTGACCCGTGCCGGAGTTTTTGAAGCGAAGAATTTGGGAGAAAATGGTCTGCACATCTTTTCTGGCTTCGAAAGAAAGACGATCGATGAGACAGGCCAGGTCGTAAAGTAGATCTTCTTGCAGGGTAGCTTGGACGAGTGCCTGTACTTGTTCGGAAGAAACTTCGATCTCTAAGAAGGCATGGGAATTAGCAAATGCGCTGCTTATGACTCTATCGCATTCATCCCAGGTATCCCATCAGGAAGCCTGCAATCAATGAACCAACCTTGTGTTCCTTGGACCATCAGTTTCATGTGGCCGAGCTGTTTAGACAGGTCATCTTCGGCCTATGAGTTCTCAACCATCAGCAACCAATCCCCAGCGAATCTTGAACCACGAAACTAAGAGATGAGATAGAACACGTACCTTTGTTGCCGCTGGAGCTTGAGAATCACGCAGCCTATTCAACCCCTCCTTGATCGACCGAGCAACTTCTGATGGCTGCCGAGACCGACCGCGATTGAAGAAGAAAGCCATACTAGCATGCAGGAGCTTATGTGAGGGGAGTGAGATTGCTCACTTGACAAGAACAGTACGTCACAGGAATTGAGTAGCAGATGCAGAATATGTACGACCAAGCAACCCAGTTCCTCTGGAGAAGAGTAAGGCAAGGATGGTGGAAACTGAAGACTGAGGGGGGAAGCGGTGACGCTGTTTGGTGGTGTTTGGTGGGGGGGAAAGGGAACTGTTATCGGCGGGAGTTCTGGTAGTTCTGGGCCCGTCGTCGGGTCGATAAACAAAGTCGCAAACTCAATACGGCGGGGCAACCGGACCTTTTTTTTTTTTTTTTTTTTTGCCGTCCCCATACAATCACCTGCGGATCTGAAGTTTGCGACACCACTTTTCAATCTACATTATTTATTACAAGATAGAAGGTTTTGATTAGGGGAATTATTGGATCGCCTTTTTCCTTTCTGGTCTCACTCCGTTCATCCACGGAATCGTTTTAACTTCAACTATATCTGCCCCGCAGTCCGTCGCTATGTCGGCTACGCAACCTTCCAATGTGGTCCCAGTCAAGGACGACGATGCGCGATCGTCTGCCTCGGAGGATTCTGATATCAGCAACGAGGAGGGATGGGAGGACGTTGAACCCGATGACGAGACCCAGCCCGTGGTGGGCTTGTTCTCCGAAAAAGTCTATCCCGATGTGCACGCCATGTTGAAGGAGACCAAGGAGAAGTACAACTTCGATCTGCAGAAGATCCAAAGAGAGCTCGGTGTGTAACAAATTAAATTCGAGCTCAGCGCTTGAGTATTCCTTCCGCTGCTTTTGTCCGGTTGATTTATGATTGAACGATGTCGTGAGCATTCAAGCTAACATCTGCCTTCCTTCGCCCCTCCAGGTCTGGACTTCTTGGAAAAGATCAAACTAGTCAACTACCTTCGATCCCAGGTTAAGGCCGGGAACATGTCCCCCGACGTGTCTACCAAAGAGAAATTCGAAGACGATGCCTACCTCAAACCCGTTCTCGAAGACGATGCCCTCCTGTACAGCCTGGACGACATTGAAGACACAGAATCGGAAGCTCCCCGCGGCACCGAAGCGGATAAGCGCGTTGTGGAGCTCCAGGAGGAACTCGAACGTCTCCAGAGCCAGTTCTTCGAATACAGAACCGCCGTGCAGAAATCTATGGAAGACCAATTGACCCAGGAAGACGATAAAATTGTCGCCGCTGGGCCATCGACGCGGACGGCTCCCGGCAAGGCCGAGGAGATTGATGCGGATTATTTCTCGTCTTACTCTTACAATGGTAAGTCACTCTACATCGCGCGTGCTCGCTGCCCGGTTGCGCCTGCTAATGATGCGCCCCAAAGCGATTCACGAGTCCATGCTTAAGGATAGCATTCGCACCGATTCCTACCGCGACTTTGTTTATGAGAACAAGCACGTCTTCAAGGATAAGGTTGTTTTGGATGTTGGATGTGGAACAGGAATCTTGTCCATGTTCTGCGCCAAGGCAGGCGCCGCCAAGGTCATCGCGGTCGACAATTCCAACATCATTGACCGGGCCAAGGAGAACATCCACGAGAACGGTTTTGGCGATGTCATCACGTAAGTGTCAAACTTCTCCCTACGCCTGAACTCTCTTCGATGATCAATTGCTGACGAAATTTAGGTGCATTCGTGGCAAGATCGAAGAAGTCGAATTGCCTGTGCCGCAGGTTGACATCATCATCTCCGAATGGATGGGTTACTGCCTTCTGTTCGAAGCCATGTTCGACTCCGTCATCTACGCCAGAGACCGTTACCTCGCACCCGGGGGTCTCATGGTGCCCTCGCACGCTACCCTCCACATTGCCCCCTTCGCCGACCCAGACTTCGTCGCATCGCACGTCTCCTTTTGGAACGAGGTCTACGGGTTCAAAATGAAGAGCATGCAGCTCGGCATCTACGACGAAGCGCTCGTCCGCAGCGTGGAGCCGTCGGTCATTCCCGCAGAGTCAACCGTTTTCCTTCCTCTCCCGCTGCACACGATCACGGTCGAGGAGCTCTCGTTCCTGAAGGAGTTTGAGGTCACTCTGAAAGACGACATCGACGCACTCGACGGTTGGTCCATTTGGTTCGATATCTTCTTCATGCCCTCGAGAGATGCCCCCATCGCGGACGATGCTGTCGTTTCGGAAATGAAGAAGAAGGGCATCGTTTCCTTCACCACTGGGCCCTATGGACCGGAGACTCACTGGCAACAGGGCGTCCTTCTCATTGACCACGGCGATAAGAAGCCTGTGGCCCTTAAGAAGGGCGAGACCATCAAGGGCAAGGTCGGCTACCAGAAGAAGAGCGAGAAGTCTCGCTCTTTGAACCTGTCTATTGAATGGAGTGGAGAGAATGCTGGGAGCGGGGCCCAGAAGTGGAGCTTGCAGTAATTTGAAAGTCTCCAATTATTTGCTAGCTTCGCTTTATATATAGATTGGTTGGAACTGGCTTATGGACGATGGAATGATATTGGGGGTATATAAAAATATGTTATGCTTGAATCTGGGTATCTAAATGAAGAATTCTTGAAGCACCAGTAGTTACTCTTCGCGTGTACGATAATGTCTCGTTTGGGGCTCGGGTTCATGACGAGGCCTGCTATCACTTCGACCGTGACGGCGATGATGATGGTGACGATGATGTGAGTGCGAATGTCTCTCCGAATGCGAATGTCTCTCCGAGCGAGAATGCCTCTCCGGGCGAGAATGTCTATCCCGTGAATGATTTCTCTCCCGACTTTCTCGACGGTGTCGCCTGTGGTGCCGATGTGACCTCCCTTCTGAAGCCCGTCTATCTGGTGAACCGTCAAGTTTGAAGTCCTCAAGACTATCTTGCGACTGCGATCTTCTGCGACGGCGAGACCGGTGTCGTTCCTCTGACTTTAATGCTTCCAGCTCCCGCCTCCTTTCCTCATTCCACTTTTTCCTCTCCAGCTCGACCGACTTCAACTGCCGAACACCCTTCTTCATAGCCGCAAGGGGATCATTCGAATTCATCCGGGCCTTTTCCCTTTCACCCCTCAAAACATCTTCATTGCCCCATACATCTTTACTAGACATAGACTCTGGCGCCACGGCATTATTCCCTGAAGACGAATACCACGGTTTCTCCCCAACAGACTGACGAAACCCCGCCGCGTTCGAAAAGCGCATAGTATACTGATCCTCAAACCTCCGCTCTTTCTCCTTCACTTCCTTCTCAGCCTCAGGATTCTTCTCCGCACGCCCACGTTTCTCCTCCGACGGAAACAAGTTGATATGACCGGTACTATCCTCAAGCGGGGCATCGCTTTTGCGCGACGGACCCGCCGGCTCCGTCCTCCTCGCAAGCGCCAGCTGCGCATCTTCGCGCGCAAACCGTATATCACGGTCCGTGTCGTTTTCGCCCGCCAAGCGTCTCCGCTTCCTCGGATGCTCTGCGTAGCTTTTACGGTCGGCCTGGACCGGCGACGGCGACCGAGGGGCAGGTGGCGGGGTCGGCGGTCGTTCACCGCGGAGAATCTTGATCCGTCGCTCGGCGTCGACCTCCTGCATGAGACGCTCTTGTTCCTCTTCTCGGGCTTTGGCTTGCGCTTCGTCGCGCCGGACGCGCGCGATGTTTTCTGGGTTGTAGACGTTCCATGATTTCTTGCCTAGTAGATGCCTGGTATGGGAGAAATCGCGGGTTAGTTTGGGTGGGATGGTGCGTTGGTAGATTGGTATAGCTTACAGAGGCATCCTGACGGACTTCACCCTAGTGGCGATGATTGGTATAGCTTTGATTCTCTTCGGTGGGACCTGAGAGATGGGCTGCTTGTGGTCGAAGATCACAGTTGCGATAAGGAATCCAAGGAAGGCGGTGAGCGGTATCAGCGGAAAGATAGGACATTCTGCCCCCAGATCAGGATTGCCTAAATAGGAAGGTGGAAGTATAGCCCGCGAGGAAAGAGAAGTCGCGTTTACAGTATCGAACCTTATGAAGATTAAATACTTAGAAAATTTGTAACGCAAATGTATAGTATATACGCCCCTATTGAGACAAATTGGATGGGTTTTAAATACTATCATTGGACTTGCGCGAGAAATTGTCAGGACCTCCCCAGTGCAATAGACTGGTCCGGACAGTTAGGTTCAGCATGGTTCTTTACCAAAATATTACTATGTGAATATTAAGACATGAAATTAGCAGTAGATTTTCAGTTGAGTAATTGTTTGCTTCTTCTTCTGTTTTGTATTTCTAACAGATAGTAAACCTAGCAAAAGTTCTCTTAGTCTTTCCCAGTGCATCCAACATGTGACTTATGAGGGCTTCTGATTCACTATATATTCACTACCAGCTACTTGCTCCTCTTCCTACTTTTTGCATTTCATCACTCTTCCTTTAACTTACCCCTTCTCGGCATCAGTTTGAGACCATCTATCCTTGATATAATCATCCAAGCACTCTGCATCTGCTTCCTTTATCACTCCATCTCTCGTTCATTGAATCACTTTCAACATGGCTGCTACTCCAAATCCACAGAGTTCCTTGAAAATGGTTTCTCGGTCAGAGTACAATCTGTTGGAAGAGTGGGCTCCTCAAACCCTAGACGACTACTCATGCATCAAGAATGACGGCCGATCCGCCCAAGAGCATCAAAGAGACGTGCAGACTCTACCCAAGAAGCTTCAGGGGAATCCCTCTCCCAGACAAACTCGACAACGGTCGTCTTCGGTTTATGAGGAATGGAAGGCTCAGGTGTTTTGCTCTCGAGTGAACAACGCCGCCCCGACTGAGCCCCGCGCAGCACTGAGCGATGTGAATCCCTCTGATGTCAACCATCCTGCCTCCCAAGCCGCTCATGACACCCACATAGAGAGGGAAAAAGTCAAAGACCATCCGCGTGTAGTGGTGGGAAAGGTTATCACCAATGACCAGAAACCTCCTCCGAAGAGCGCAGGACATAGTGGTAAGTGATACAGGGTCCCAGATGATTCGCATGCACGCAATTTGTCTAATTGATGACTATCTTTTCAGGTCGCAATCCAAAGCCTTCCACCCGCAATAGCGAGCCTCACAATCCGAAGAAGACCAACAAGCAGCCACCCAAGTCAACCGATTCTCATAAGCCTAATGCAGGGCATAAGCACCCTATTGGACCCAAATTTGTGACACCAAATGGTACCCGGATCGGCGACGCTGATCTGGAAAGGCTGGCTATAGGAGTCAAAACTCAGAACGGAGACAAGGCGTGTTTCCTCCTTAGCTTCATAGCAGATCCCTGGAGTGGTATGAAACCAATCGAGACCATGTGTTTTCCTCGCAATGACTCGACGCCGCCCTTGGAGCAGGGAGCATTGGCTATCTTCATCGACAATCTTTGATTTTCCTTATTACATGCTGCAGGCCGTTACGTGGAAAATATTCAAGTAAATGATAGATCACGGGGATGCGACACAAGGGTTTCTTATGTATGGGTCCGGAAAGCGCGAGAGTTACACTGCAGCAGTTACACTACAGCACTAGACGAGATGCCGCTGGTTGACGGGTTGTCTAGCTGTTTGTCTACATGGAGTAGATAAATCGTCGAAGAGAAACCACAGAGTTTGACAGACCTTTTTTCAGTAGGGATAGTGTAATGTTTCGAAGTTTGAGTTGATTTCGTGTGAAATCAAGGCGAAACATTCTTTGCGCATGAATGTCTTACTTGATATTGATCTCGGATAGGGTTATTATTAGGCGCGAGATTGTTATGGTAGCTTTTGTAGGCTGTTCATCAAAACCGTGCCATGTTAACTGTTATTTGATTGACTTCCAAGGAAAGAAGAGATATCAAGACGAAGGAAAAAAGTTACAAGGATGAGAGAGTTGAGCCGAGTATATGGTAGAGAAAAGCATGCCCTTTTCATTGTACTAGGGACTTTTCAATCTTCTAAGCATAGACTCGAGAATGCTTTGTTTGCAGTTGACCCCTGAATTTAACAGTGCATTAGGCAGCTTCTAGCCTACATTCATTGTCAGGTAATGAAATCCATGGCCAATAGAAAAAACCCCTGCATCTACGTAGACTTTTGAGTTTCGGAGGTAGATGATTCTTATTACCTCTTATTGGTCCCACTCAAAATGATACTATCGCAGGTTTTGATGGGTCATATCCTCTCCATGGCACCCTGTCAGGGGTGTGCATACCCCCCTTTCTTCCTCTTCCTTGATTCCCTCATCCACATCACTATAACTGACCTCAACATGGTGTTCACCAAGGTTACACTGATTTTGACCATGGTCCGTATTGCCAGTTGATGGTGAACAAAGGTCCGACTGGGGTAACCAAAGTCCGACAGGTGTCGCAACTTCCTTGACTTCAAGATCCTGCATCATAGAAAACATCAGGTTTCCCACCCCCCCCGCAAGCCACAAGTCCCGTACTGCACAGGAACCCACATCACGCTAAGGACCCGCTGTTTGGGTGGTATCCACCCAGCTTGGTTGTTTCTCCAATGGAAAGGGACCAATCCCAGAGGTGAGGTCTATTTAAGATTACGCTGGTCTGTCCTCCTGCAGCTATAGCCCCATGTATCTCTACCAAGCCTAAAGGCTAACCGCTCCCCTGACAAAGAAGTCCCCCCTGCACCATTGGCTACCAAGCGGTATTCCTACAGGCCTAGTGTCTCGACTTTTGTCCACGTGTGCAGTGCATGGGTGCCAACGGGTTCCACATCTCGTTGTCCCGAGCGTGGAGCCTCCCGATGGCGCCTGGTCAACTCCAGCGGTAAAAGCGGCGGGCAAAATTGGTCGCACCCGGGGGGTGGAGCGGAGCGGGGTTGGGCGGAAGCTAAGCGGTCGCCCTCCCGCGCTCTCCCGCCCACCTACGTCACCAGCGGGCCGTTCTACACGATATCATGTGATTGCAAGGGTAATTTGACCTGTCCATTTGACTCTGAGCCACCCCCCTTGGGACTGTGGCTGGTGTGTGATTTCCCCTGTCACACCCCTTGGGCCCCGTGGTGTGTGCTTCGGGGATGCTCGGAGGACCGTGCTCCCAAGCTACATACCTCAACGGATATCCCGCAAGGTGATCGTGGGCTTGCGCATGACCTGACACGATCGTCAGGGATGGGCCCTATGGTGGTCTGATTCGATGTCCCGTTGGTTTGGTACCTGGAAGGAACCAGGGGGACAGCACCACGTGAGTGGACCCAGGTAAAGGTAAATTTGACCTTCTCTTGTTTTCAGGCGGTGGGAATGCAGTGACTTCTGAAAAATGAAATTGATTTTTCCCAGGTGATAGAAACAAGAACACGCCCGCCCAACATCAGTTTGTGGGAAATCGAATATAAACAGCAAACCGTCCCAAAACGCCAATCCGCGAACCAGCCTATGGCTGGATCACAGAGAATTGACAACCAACGATCCATCCCTCGAACAAATAATCAAACATGGACTCGTGACCGCCGCCAATAGATATATACCGTGCCTTTGAAAAAGAAATAATAGATGGAAAGATCTTTTGCTCCACCGAGAGATCAGTTGTCGTCGTCAAAAGTGTACTTCTTCGCCGCTCGTCGGTACTCATCAGGGTGTGCACGTTCGGCCTTCGTCTTCAGGACACTGGTAGTGATATCTGTTAGTATGCTACAGCCTGCCCAGCTTTGTCTTCTCCGCAGGAAATTGAATTTTGCAAATCCGACTCTTGTATGCTGCCAAGAAAGCCCAAAAGAGCGGAGAGCGGCGGAAAATCCACCATATGGCGGAGTGAAGTCCAACGGCCGGTATACCGTAAAGAGACAACAACGCAAATGCAGAAAACAGTTAAACACTCACTTTACGCGTTTCTGGGTCCACTCAAGATCCCGCTTGGTCTCACGGGCAACCTTGATACCGTCTGAGAAATTGGCGCGGGCACCTTTCAGGCGGCGCTGAGCGAGTGCTTGCAATTCAAGAAGTTCTCGCTGCTTTGCGTTCAATTGGCCGGATCTTTTTAAAACTCGTCAGTTTGCATTCTCCTGGTCGAGGCTTCTTCTTCCGCCCAACTTTGATAGGCAGACAGATCGGAGCGGCCAAGTGATACTCACGTTTGCGCTTGCTTTGCTAGGCCTTTGTCCAATGGAGTCGGATCAAACACGTTCTGCATGCGATCACTCAGGACATCCATGACATCGACCCCGGAGTACGAAGCGGCACTGGACTCATATTCGCCTCCCACGCTTCCGGAGCCATAGCTGAACCCAGCGGAGGTGCGACTTCCCGTAGTGGTGCTAGTGTCGGAAACATCTGGAGGAGAACCAGATATGCGACTGACGGGATAGAGGCCGGCCGGAACAGGAGCTTTGGAAGGAACATTGATAGGGAGGGCAGGGGATTGATAGTGATGGGTGGCCATTGTGGTAAGATATGTCAAAGGACAACAGAAGTTGAACTAATAAAACAAGGTGCAATGATCTAACAAGTGTTCAACTATGGTTGAAGAAGTATGATACGAGAGAGTGGTTGGAACTAGGTAAGCTGATATGGCCGGGCTGGGATAGGAAGACGAGGACTGGAGAGATGAGAAAGGAAGAAGGAGGGACAGGATGATCGAGGGAAAAGTTGACGCCTTTTATAACCATCTTCGGAAGTTCTTCCATCCGGCGGAATGGGTCTCATGGGGAGAATAGGTTGACAAGAGGGGGTGGGAATGTGATGGGCGAAGCCATCATTGGGCACTGGACCATCCCGGAAGCCTTTACTCCCATTTCCCCCGACTCCCATCCTTCCTACTCCTCCAATTCTCTCCAATCCCAACCCACCAATTCCACCCGGTTTTCAACTTCTGGCTGCCAATTCGTCCCTTGCCCCGATTTGACCCCGCTCTGGGTGGAAAATTGAAACCTACGAAGCGGAGACAGATGGACGGAGACTGGTCCAGCCCTCTCTATCCTCCTCCACTCGGACATCCTCCCGCACGGCCGTGGCGAGTCTTATCAGGCATTGACCCAAAATAGTCTTGGAAATTGCCTCATACAATTGGGCTACAATGCGAGAGAAAGTACTCTCGCAGCAAGATATAAAAGGGAGTTGGTGGGTGTCCCGCGGACAGGCTCGAAAAGTTCATATCTGGCCCGCTCCGCGGATGACCGCTGCTACTTATGACGGACTCGTTCCTTCCACTTCTCCCATTTCCTTCATTCTATCTCTTGCTGACGGCTCCTTCTTTTTGTGCTTCTTTCGATCTCCAACCCTGTTTTTATATTCATTTAGCCCTTCTCAACCGTATTCTTCGTCTGGAAAGTTCTCAGGTTCCTAGATCCGCCATTTCCGTGTTTCCAGCTCCTAGACCCCGTGCTACCCAATTTTCAAGAATATCGGGAGGCTGGGTGGCTGGGAGAAACATGGCCCCTGGGACCAGACTCGAGATGGACTCGGCATCGATGTGATACCAAAATTGTCCGAGGACGGGACTACCGCATTGTGACAGCCCCGATTTGTCGAACATTCTCTATCCTCTATCAGAAACGCTCTGAATTCGGGGACAAAAAGATTTTCTAACTGTGTTTTCACATGGTTGATGTACTTGCCTATGTCTCACAAGAATTGCTATTCCCATTGACTGAAAATGAGACTGGCGTGAGGCCAAATGTTGGACATTGCTCATATTGGTTGAGATACCAAACTCATGGCCTGCTTGGTGTATATATCAAATAACCAGCTTTCATCGTGCTAGGTAAGTATGATTCCAGAAATTCATGGTCCTGCAGCCGGGCGTGGGCGCGGAAACTAAACGGAGGATAGGGAACTGACATGAAAACAGGACCCGCGGCCCAACATCACAGGACGTGAGGGTTGACAGATTTGGACACCGTTGCATGGAATGAAAAAATCCGAGTCGATTGGTGCCGGTTATCGTCCACGACTGATGCGGATTCGTGCCCCTGTCTTGCGCATCCATGTAACGAATGCCTAAGATCGCTCAAGTGGTACTGCATGGTATTGTGATAACATCGTCAAAAGGGATGCGAAATTGTGTAACGCAAAGAGCTCACTCGTTTCTCTGCATACTGAATGAAGAAAGAAAGGAACCCGAATCCCGAGACATCCTTGGATTCCACTGATCGGCGGCTGCCTGTGAATTTTCTGGCTCAAACAAGACCAGTACTCCGAGAATGGAGAACTCGATACCGTGAGCCGACGACAAGCGCTTTAGGCGCCGCCAATGTGAAGAGATCCTTGAGAAACTGGTCCGCGGGGAGCTTCGACAGGCAGCTTGTTTTATGGAGGGATCAAGTTTTTGCAAGTTGAGTGACCGGCTTTATCATGTTGGAGCTACGACATTAACTTGAATATGGGGGATGAGACCGGATGCTAGAAAGGACAGAAAAAAAGGGCCCACCTTTACTAGCGAGGAAAAAGATCTCTCGCTGATATATTGGTCACGGAGAAACTTGCTTAGCCCAACATGCAACTCCCCATGTCCATTCATATTCCAGGAAGGGGGCAAAGGCCACCCAGTGTTATCCACTCCGTTCACGGTTAAATCCACCCGAAGCCTAATTGCAGTAGTGACAACCATTCGCTGGAAACCCCTTTCATGCGGGTATCGTCATCGCCCTCCAACCTTGCTGCCTCACGGTTGTTGCCTGACCAAGTCTGGCTAGCGGTCCCTCCCGGTTCTCGACTATGTCTGCATATCATTTCGACAGCGAATGCACAGGGAAATGGCCGCATCAAGAGCCCCTTTACTGGCTGTTAGCCCGACCGGACTGTTGGGTTACACAGTGGACCAGCTCACTACTGGATAACCTGAGAACGACATGAGGGGCCTCTAATGGCTCCACGACGGCTTTGCCAAACTTGGGGGTGTTTCCCTGTTTCCCTTGCCACCGGTATATCATTGACCTAACAATGATATCTATGATATGACACTAGTCGAAAAAGGAGCAGTTGGACCTCTAATAAACTGAGTCATGATCTTGACAGACTGGATAACTATCGCCCCCTCCATCTATCCCGTGAGGAGCCTCTATTCACCTCACGAGTTCATGTTCCAGCTGATCACGATAGCATGAATTGGGGTTCCCTTTTTGATTGGGCTCTGTACACGAGTCTCAAATACGGTAGCCTTCAAGGGTCCGTCCAAGGTTCCTTTGCACAATGCCAACTGTGCCCAACGACTCAGCTGAGGCCCGTGTTAGGGCTTATCATCAAAGACGGGAAATGAATGCAGTCATGCCACCGCCCTTCCAGAGAATTAAATCCTTCTGTGTTTAAGATTGGTCCTCTCCCAATGATAGTTGAGCCCGCACCCCCCATGTTCGTGGACGCAAAATTGGTCGCAGGGAATGTGGGGTTAGGTTGAGATTCGCCTATAGTGCGTTCGTTTGTTTTTTCTAGCCTTCCTTCCTCACCGCCACAAGCAAGACTGATACCTGAGTACAGGTCCAACCAACCGGCTTCGCAACCTATTGGGTGTCAACGATAATCAGGCCGTACGGGTCTGTTACCCTTCTATGTTTAACTTTCTAGAACGTAGTGGGTTCTCAACAAGGTTGGACCAAGCAGTCCAACGACGTGACCCGAGAGAGGCCGGAGCGGATGCCAACACCCCCATGCTCATGCCTGACCTACTTAAGGCACATTTTCTAGGTAAAGCGTCTAACCTCTCCCTGCATGAGAAGCCCCTCCTCAGATGCTCGTCATAATAGACGGCATGGCATCTGGAAGCATGTCTGTCACTTGCCAGTGCCGTCATCAACTAAAAGCGTTGGGCATTCTGGTTTATCCCAATACTGATTATCCTGGAGCCAAGTACCTCTTTACTTTTCAGTATATTCCTCTTATACTATTTTATTTCCCTCTCCGTTATGATTTCAACAGCATCCCACCCCCCATCCAGTCTAGGCATTTATGCCACCAGACGCAATGCAGCTCATAGAGGGGAGGGGGAGGGCGAGGGAAAAGAGCGGAGATGGCGCTAGCTCACCACTGCGTTGGCACCTGTCGCCCCGATGAGGTATGGCGCCACAAGTCCTTGACTCTGCTAATGATCTACATCTCTTTATGGAAAGCAGCGAAAGACAGGCCGTCAACATGGGAGACAGAAAATAATTAAATCAAATAACAATAATAATTAAAATGAACATGTGCAAGGAAACATTAACACAAATGGTGTTGACACCATCAGACCATTTCCTTCTCACAAATAAGCGTACCAAGATGCGCGTGCACCATATAGAAAAAAGTCAACACTAATCATTCGGACGCAGACTAAGAAGTTCCAGTTACACAGCAAACGAGGTCAGTCCGTCTCTATCGGCGATTTCGCGTATATCTCAGATGAGCCACATGGTTAGCAAGGGAAGCAAGGGAAGCAAGGGATGTCATGTCACAATGACGTTGGCATCTTACTTAATATACCAGGTAGCTAGCTACCTATTCAAAAAGGGAAGGACGGGACTTCGGTAAGGTGGCGCCCATGTGACCGTTAGTCGAGGTACTCAGATGGACCATACAGAGGGATTGTCCGTACAGCGCCCATCTTGGCTGGTTGGCCGTCAGCGAGACTAGGTAGACATGAGTGAGTGGGTGAGTGAGTGAGTGGGTGGCACTTGATCGTACGTAGATTCCACCGCAGGTTGGTTGATGCCCTTTCGGTCGCAGATGCGTTTTGCTGCTTACGGCAAGACAGAACAGAGTAGGTGGATAGATGATTGTTGATACACCGGTAGTATACCACAAATACTACTATCATTGATATTGAATTATATAAGGGCCTAAAGATCCAGTACAAACATAATCCGTTCGGTCAACTACTATTCTGATAACATGTAGTAAGTACGCATGTATGTGTGCAAGAGAAAGAAGACCAGATTATGAGTTGATATATATATATGATTAAGATGGAAAAATACTCTTAGCATCAGCAAATACAATTCAGAAGATAGAAAAAAAAAGAGTTCGTGCTCATAATAAGCTGGTATCGGGGTGTAAAGCCAAAGCCGTAAAAGAGGAGGGGGGTGAATAAAGAAAGGTTTAAAAACAATATAAATGCTCAACAAATCCGAGAAGACAACAAACTGACGCCATGCACGAGGTGCGAAGGGTTCAATGAATATGAGTCATATAAAAAAAGCTTGAAAAATCCGGCGGCCCCCTGTAATGCTGAAAGGTATCACTCAAACTTGAATGCCGAATGCAGATGAGATGCATGGTGTGGAGAATAGTAAAAAAGGAAAAAGAAAAAAAAAGCAATAGCCAAATATCAAAAAAGAAAACGGCCCGAATATATAAGCCGTCCAAAGACAAGTTGCGAACAAAGGTAGTAGTATAAATAAGTCCAAGCCCTCAAAATCATCCCAAAAAAAAAAGTAGAAAGGCGCCTTTCCGTCCGATATAGCTCTCGCCAGCCCAAAAATGGGGCCCAGCCCATGATAAGAAAAAGACAAGACAACTAGTAGCAGGTATACATCATGGCACGGGAATAGGTTGTCACAGGGATTTGTAGATAATGCGAAACAAACGACTTGGGGAGCGCGTGGTAGGCAGACGCCTGGAGTCGTCATGTTGCATACTAAGTGCGTACCCTTCCGATAGGCGGGTGTCGCCCTGTCTGCTCTACTCTACTCTTCCCGGTGACTGTCCTCACTGTCGGGTCTGAGACGATCTCGGAGTAGGAGCAGAGGTCGGTTGGGGTCGAGCAAGCCAATCATCATCTTTCCTAATTCGTTGTGTTTGATAGGCTTGGTGACGTAGTCGTTGAAACCTGCGCGCGCTGCATCCTCAAT